TCCTCGAATGCTTCAAGAAGTAGCATGCGCCAGTAGTCTGGTGTTTGTGATGCTCCACCATCGGTTTGGGTTTTTGGTTGGATAACAGGTTCAGAAATTGGCTGTTGTGAATGACGATTCACACTAACAGATGGAGATGTAGTTTTCTTCTTGCTAGCTAGTTTGTGTCTGACAAGAGCAACTTTCTTTGTTGGAGTTTTTGTTGGATGAGTTGGAGAATTCGACAATGTAGAATTGTTGTCTGATAATAACACATATTTCATGTATTGACTCTCGTCTGAATTGTTATCTTGATGTACGATGTCTTGATGTTGAGAGGCCATTATGATGATGAGGACAATGAGCAATGATAGAGCAAAACGGTTGGTGAAGAAAGTCACTAAGCAAAGCAATGAGAGACGAAGCTCGAGTATGCAGAAAATTTTTTGAGCATAAAAATTTTTGAGAATGCTCAACCAAACTCATTTATTGTTTACAATCGAAACATTCCTGCCCTTCACTACGTTCAGAACAAATCACACCTGTCACCATTTGTTGAACTACTCAACCAACTTAGCTCACTATCCAATGATGTCGCTAGCACGAATGTACTACTCTTCAAAATCTATCGAATGAAATGCTTGGATCAAGCTCAACATCAAAGATGACGAAAACCCCGACCATGCACGAAAGGTCTACTTTAAGCGAATACAGTTCAATAATTACCCTTAATTTGAGGATGAAAGTCATATCAACACATAGATATACCTCCATCCCCGACGATTTCATAAAAATTAAAAATCCCATCATTAAGCATGTCGAAAAATTAAGATTACAAGTCAAGGCGGTCACCTAACCAAACCCTATATCAATTTGAGATACAGCTGATCAGTATTTATTGAAAAAGAGCTATATTTCATATTTTCGCTGGACCTCTCTATCATTTTGAACTTGGAATTTTTGAGTCCAAAATATTTTTAAAAAAAATTTCCAAGTACTCAAAAACCTTGTGTTCCAATTTCATTGCTTCTCTCTGGTTTTACAGTTTGAAATACCAGTCCGATAATAAATAATCATCCTCTCTTCATTTACAACATTAAATTTTTTTTTGGGCCAATTTACCTTCAAAATTCAGAGTGAAATAACTCAACAACCACTTCACATCTCTTAGAAATTTCAACACCATTAGAAAGCAAATGAAAATTAGCCTAGGATTTGAGTATATCTCGTCCTCACCAGTTAACTTCGGACCGTGGACAGGACTTATTGAAATCAAAATTTTTTTTTGATAGTAAAGTCGTTAAAATGGCTCAAAAAAAAGAGTAGGTGGAGCCAAACCAAACCCAAGATTTTGCAAAGATGCTAGCTTCATCCTCAACAAGAGATGTAAACAATGGCACCCCAGCATTTAATCACACAAACGGGAGTAACAGTACTACAAATTCCACCTTCATATGGAGTGATGATATTAATGTAAAGATTGGTTTGTATGTGGGATCAAGAGGAATTTCTAATTTTATGAGTCTTCTGAGCAGTAGTGTGGTCAGGGTTGTAGGGTTTTCTCTCGTTGCGACACTCACAGATTTGTTGTTGCATTGACTACTATACAAGTTCAAGTTTCAAGAAAACAAGAAGAATTGTCATGGTGTTGCTTTACTTGGTCATTGTGTTAGCTGGAGTGGTTCACGTGGCTTTGATAGTCACATTTATTGTTTTGTTCAACGGATTGGTTGTTTTTCAGGGAACATGGACATACCCACTTTTTGTTAACGTATTAGTAGTTTTTGAGTCCATTGGACTGGGTGGTTATGTTATTGTGGTCATTGTTACACCCATCATCAAAACAATATTATTTAGACTGATCAAACAGGACGAAAACAAATTTATTGAAGGGAAATAAACTTGTCTGCCACACCTTCATAAAAAACTATTTTGGTTGGAGATGCTGTTTTCTTGCGCATTTTCTCATAATTCAAATTGCTTTGGCGAAGAATCGTCAAATATTGAGGACATAAATTGTTCATAATGGCAAGTAATGATGGTTCATCATAACGGGAAGTATACAACTCTAAATGTTTCAAATGTTTCAAAGATGATCCTGAAGCAAGATTTTTCATAAAGTTATTGTATTGGAAGAGTCCATATTCTATGCTTAAATATGTCAATTTTGGAAAATTTGAAACAGACAAATATGCAGCGTCCATTCCATCAAACGCTCTAATTTCGGGTGAAGCGGCGGGCCGTAAACATGAAAATATTAGAGTTTTCAAATTGATGAGGTTACCATGGCACAGATACCGCAATTCTTCACATGAGACGGCAGAGCCAAGAGTAAGTGATTTCAGAAGGTTCATACTTGAAATATGTTTGATGCTTTCCGTATCAACATTCGTTCTTTCTAATCGTAAATCCGTCAAATTTGGTAATTGAGAGATGTGATACATGCAACCTGGTCCCAACTTGGTGTTATTCAATTTCAAAAAAGTTAGGTTTTGAAATGTGTCACAAAATTGTTGAATAGTATGTTCAGAGATTTCAGAGGTTTCTGAACCATAATTGCAGAAATGTTTCAAATTGTTGGGCTCAATATTACACAACTCAATAAAACCGTCATTATCCACGCTTATCTCAAGGTGAGTCAAATTTTGCAAGGATGACAAGTATTTGCATGTTGAGCTACTTATCATATGATAAGGGTTGTCTAAACATAGTTTTTCAATTGAAGTAATTTTGTTAATATACAACAGGCAATTGTCATCAAACGGTCTCGTACATGAAACAAATGTTAATTCTTTCCATGAAATTCCACTGTTTAACACGTTCATTATTCCTTCTTTAGATAAAAAATGGCTATTTGAGGTAAAACTGCAAAGTATTGGAAACTTTGTGGGGTCAATTGGTGAAACATGATTAACCAAGCAATATTTTTCTAGTTTTTTTAGTGCCCTCATGACATCAACAAATTCCAGTTTTTTCAAATTTCTCAATTTGTTGGAGTTCAATATATACTCAGCTCCTTCGCTTCCAATATTATCACCAATGGTGAGGTGTGTCAGATTTTTCAATTTTGAGTTGGAAATAATTTGTCCTGCTCTTTTGTCAATATTAGTTCCAATCAATGTTAATTCTGTTAGATTATCCAATCTATTGCATATGATTCTCAACTGTTCAATCTTCACATCAACATCTATCAATTTCAAACTGGTGAGTGGTGAAATATGTCTGGAAGGAATATCTTTGGTAATGATATTGGTTGATTGTAATGTCAAAGATTCAATCTTTTTCGAATTGAACAATCTTTTAAACATTGGTCGTTGAAATGTTACATTTTCTTTAAATTTTCTCCCAATATGTCCGTCAAAGGAGAACTCTGAAAATATTTCATTCAAGTCGCCTTTTGTCAACCCACTTATTTGTGTCTCGGTCAGAGATTGAAACATGAGGTTTGAGGCATTATATTGAACAGAGATACACTGGACACCTTTCACTTTGGTTGATTTGACAATTCTTCTCCATTCCGAACAAACACCAGCAAATGAAATGAGAGTTTTTGCATCAAAATATGGAATTATTTGATCAGAAATTACGTCTTCACTCAATTTCAAAAGAAACGATGAGTACACCATTTCATCACCAATTTTGATGATTGTTGTGTTGTGCTTTGTGTTGATTAAATCTTGTTCATCATTAACACCAACAAAACAACGGTGAAAGAACTTTCTCATTTTTTGCTCTTGTGTGCCATGAATCTATTTTTCGTTATCAAATATCAAGCATTGCAGGGGGTAACAGCATGGAGAAAAATATTCAGCAACGGAACTATCACCACAATAGCAGGAACTTGTCAAGAAGAGTGGAGATAATGGATTAGCTATTCACGCAAAGTTGTCATTTCCTCACGGTATAGATGTATCATCAAAAGGAGAAATTTTTATTACAGAGTACGGGAATAATCGTGTGAGAAAAATTGATGCAAATGGTATCATCACTACAGTTGCAGGAAACGGTAAAAGTGGCTACAGTGGAGATGGAGGGAATGCATTATCAACCGCTCTTAAAGGCTTTCTGTGACATTTAAACATAGTGATGTACAGCCTATAATTAACGACTGTTATTACTCTTCTGGGAATATTGGATTCAGTTTAATGTCTACAGATGGAGATGCTGGTGTTGTTGTTTTTTTCTCCAATCATAATTTACCATCACTGTCACCCATTGTGAACTTACAAAAGAAATTTTATTCTGTTCCTGTTAATTCTGTCAAAGGAGAAATTGTGATTACAGTCGCAAATGGAAATAAGAAGAGTGCTTGTCAAGTAGTGATAGTTGATTACACACAGGATGTCAAAGATTTTTGGAGGCAATTAGATTTTTCAAACTTTCCAGAGTCATTTTATAAGGCTATTGGGATTGATTTATCTTCTTCTCCAGGAGTTAAACAGATGATTAGTTATGTTTTAGCTGGATTTACTTGTTTGACATTATTTTTAACAATTATTATTGTTGTTGGTTTAGTATGGTTGTGCTATTCATCTTCCAAAGGCAAGACAAAAAAAGATTAATCCTATGGAAAACGTAATACATGATTATTCGTGAAATCATATCGTACATCCATAAATTTCAGAAATTTGGTCGATAGTAAAAATTAGTAAATGATTGCCTACCGCTCAGATTGACTTATTTCATTCGATTGATTTCGGACTGCATCAATAATTTCCTCTGCTGGAATTTTCAAATATATTGAACCGTGATATCCCTCACTTGCCACAAGCATGTATTATTACATTTTTTCCTTGCATGTAACCCGACGGAAAAGGGATTCCTCAACCAATCCCATTCCTTCATAAAAAACTTTGGCCTTTTTAATGGAAAATCCTTTGCTAATTCTGAAAACTGGACTCATCGACCCAAGCACTTTCACTATCCACGATTCAAGCTTTTTGCTCAACTGGGGCGTGAACAGTTGCTGTTTCGATATGTCTGGATTTAGGCCTCATGTACGTAATATCCATTTACCAGGAAATACTTAGAATGTATGTATTTTGCCATCACTGAAATAGAGTGGAAGGATAAGATAAATTTAAATAAGTAGCCACAACCAGCTCTCCATTTGCCACTCAAGACGGTGTAGATATTAACCTTGAACGAGTATTTCTAAATTACTTTTCTAATTTCAAAGGAGAAGTGGTTGCTTGGGATGGAAGTACTGCAAGATCGGTACGAGGTAATTCTAAGAGGACATGGGAGCACGACGAGGTTGAAGATTTTCATCGACTGGAGTCAGCGGAACGACTCCAAATAACAAACTTGGATTCATTGGTCGAGGAGTTGAGGCGTGCCAAGCAATACCCCTAATGAAATGGGATAACGATGTTCATGACACCTTCATTTCCAATTCTATTGCTACTGAGATCCAAAGAAGTCAGATTCTTCAAGAATTCGCTTGTGGCAATATATTTGACACCTTCATTGCCAATTCTATTGCTACTGAGATTCAAAGAAGTCAAATTCTTCAACGATTCACTTGTGCCAATATATTTGACACCTTCATTGCCAATTCTGTTGCTACTGAGATTCAAAGAAGTCAAATTTTTCGAACAGTCAGCCAGTGGGACACAAGTTAAGGGTTAATTGTTACTGCGCGATGGCTCCTAGCAACAAGACATACGCAAATCGAGATTGGATGAAATTATCAATTTCATATCTTTAAGGATCCAAAGAAGCCAATTCCTTCAACCATTCACTTGTCTTAATATATTTGACACCTTCATTGCTAAGGTGATTGGAGAACAGATTCAAAGACGTTAAATTCCTCAAACATTCACTATTAGCGACGTGTTTCACACCTTCAATCTCAATGTTATTATGTCCTAGATTCAAAGAAGTTAAATTCTTCAAAGATTCACTATTAGCAATATATTTGACACCTTCATTGCCAATGTTATTGTAGCACAGATTCAAAGAAGTCAAACTCTTTAAACTTGTAGTAATATATTTGACACCTTCATTGCCAATATCATTATAATACAGATTCAAAGAAGTCAAATTCTTCAAACCTTCACTCGTAGTGATGTGTTTGACTCCTTCATTGCCAATTTGATTGTACCTCAGATCCAAAGAAGTTAATCTCGTCAAAGATTCACTATTGGCAATATATTTGACTCCTTTATTGCCAAGTAGATTGGCGAACAGATTCAAAGAAACCAAATTCTTCAAATATCCACTCGCAGAAATATATTTTACACATTCACTACCAATTTGATTGTTTTCCAGGTTCAAAGAAGTCAAATTCTTCAAACATTGACAATTAGTTAAAAGTTTGATTTGTTTACGAACTTGTTTGGAGCTATTTAGTTCGTATGATAATGAGAGAGGAATTTGAAATGATACTTGTCTCCATTGTTTTGAAATTTTCATACAAACTTGAATAATAAACAATGATTCAAGAAAATGAAGAATTTCAAAAATAATATCATCAATGAATGGTCTGTTGGAATTTGTTGGAGAGAAATCATCTGTTTCAGCACTGTCATTGATAGTTGTTGATGGTGAACATGTTGATTCAACAGATAGAGAAGGGATTTTTCTCATGTTAACGGTACAAGTATTTGTTGGAGTGAAGACAATTTTTTTTTAAATCGAAGCCGAAGTCCGTTGTGAACTTGCAACAATGCGAACCATATCAACCTCTTGTATTTCAGCCAGCAAATTTTGTGAACAATATTGTTTGGGATTGATTTACAACAGAAACCTTGATAAACTTGATTTTGCTTTCAAATGGATGAATCTTGGAAGAGTTCGAGACAATCTTCACATCTTAGTTTTTGACATTCTCCAAAAGTTGGATTCCAATACGCGTCATGATAATTTTAACATTTTCTAATTCTGTGAATGCATGAATCTTGTTGCATTAGAGATTTGAATTCTATGAATATGACACTATATTTCTTCTAAAGGATTACCCAAGTCCAACACACAAGAACTCAGAAAGGAATATATTGCATTGGAGCCAGGTGTTTGTTGCTTCATGTATGGGTATGACAACGTTGACGTTGGAGGTTGCTACTCATGGAGAATGCCTTAATCTTTTCCCTTTCTATTAAGCAGGATCAACTCTTTTCTCCATTCTCACTTTTGAAATAACCAAACTTGAGTTGACATCCATTCGAAGACGTTGATAGGAAGCATTTCTGTCTACAGGCAACTTGTCCAATACTCAGCCAACTCTGTTAACTGTTGATCATCAGAAAATGTATTTTTCAATGGCTCGAGGCATATTAGCAGTCAATTTGGCTCTGTGAAAGTATGCAACTTCATTAGAAAGCAGTTCTAAACCACCAATCTTTGCAATTTCAACTATTTCTCTATGGTCCTAGCGCAGTCATCTCCTTCTCCTTTGAGCGTCATTCCGAATTTTCAACAGTTCAAGCACAAAATATTCATGATCATTCATTTGTTTTACTCAAAAGCCACCAATATTTCAACGTTGCAACACCAAAAAACGGGAGGACAGAAATTACAGTTTCGCACCTCTCCACAATTTCTGTATACCAAGTTAGAAAGGATCTGGACAAAATATTCAATGAAACGTTTTCGTGATTTCGCTATTCTCATAGAAATAATTATTTCAACCTCATTTCCTTGATATCCTTATCACTCAACCACACCACTAGTTGTTTCTTTAGAGCCGTGTATACTGACCAATAGACTGTAAAAAGAAAATAATAAGCAATTATAAACACTAAATGCATGACAGGCGCCAATGTGTTTTGATAATAATCCAATAAAGTTCCATATGGAAGTTATTGTGAACTCCGTTTTCTCGCAATCCAATTACGAACAGCAAGTAACATGGACAAAACATTCCAACCAGGAAAATGTGCCAAAATTTGAGATAGAAATCAGAATTGAAAGTTTCAATCATGGACATGATCCATGTAAAGGTGTGCACAGAGAGATTGTTAAAAGTTCCCAAATTGGAAGGATTGCTAGAGGTTGGAGCAAGCACGAGCCAAAATCCTAATGAAACCACTGTAGATGTCACAAGATTCAACTCGACAAGTATCCACAAGATATCACCATAAATATTCATAATTTTCAACAACCATTTTGGTAAAGCTCCATTGTCAAAATACGGAAATAAGGAACTCTTTCTTTGCAACGCTGCAACAATGACAAAACATAAATAAATGACATGCGTTAGAGTCACAAATGTCATAAAAACCACAAACACATTAAAACTATTATTGGTGAGATATTGTGTATATTTGAGCCAAGATTCACCAATTCCAACCGATCTCGATCCTACATAATAAGCCGTCGTTACTCCCAATGCTACGCAACACAATCTTAGAAATAAAATCCAAAAAGTAGATAACCAGCATGCAATATTATACAGTCGTATTTTCTTTTCACCTTCTTCATGTTTCCTATTCAGGTAACATCCAATTCTAAATATCACAATATGAAACCAAGTCGATTGAAACAATGCAAAACTTCCATTTTCATTAATGAATGCCAATGCATTGCGTTTTCCAAACGGAAGACTGAATACGAAATTTTTCCATGACGTTTTAGAGCATCCACATTGTGCATTGTTTTCTAAATTTGGTTCCGAGTTGGAATAGACTTGCTCACCATTATTCGTATGATGATGTTTGTTATATCTTCTCATCACACAAAAATAGTAAATAATTGGAATGAGTATTGAAAGACTTGTAGCAACGAAAAGAAATAAAACATTGAGAGCAATGGTTACTCCCCGTCCCGTATTGATTTGTTGTTGTGTCATGTTGGAAGTTTGTAAAACGGAATAGGGATTAAGTTTTTCGATATCTATGGTACCGTCATCATCATTCACGGCAGAGAACAAGCTCGGAAGGAGTGAATGGGCATAGGATACAACAGCGGGATGAGACTGTTGCTGATTGAATAAATTCCAAAGAGTTTGTTTCATTCGTAGTTAAGAGTTTTTGATGTGTGGTGAAAATCTTTGATGATGGAGTGAGAATTTGTTTTTGAAGGGACATGGATGAGTGCGACGTTGGGATGAACTAATTAAAATTCTCCGTTCACTTATGAGTGACAACCCAGCATGTTCGACTTAATTTATTTGAAAAGAATCCTCACATCATCAAAGATGGTTCTCTAGAGTAGGGTTATTGTTGAGGAGGGGAGTCGTGTGGCGAGAAATCTGCAGCATATAACTCTTGAATATCTTCACTATTAAGGAATGGCTCAAAGAATGATTCATCTTTCAGACTATCTTCGAGATTCATGTTTCCAGAATTGAGCGATTCCAAAAAGCTTTCGTTAATCAATTCCTGCAGTGGTTCATTACTACCATAAGAAGTGTTTGACACTACGGTAGTTAAGAAATCTTTGGTATTTCGTACTCCTGCAAATTCAGAAAAATCCATTTCTGAATCCGAAAAGTTGTTACTATTTTCAAGAGCTGTTTCATTAGTATTGATTGTGACGTTGTGACCTAGATCTGTAATGGATGGTTGTGTGGAGGGCAACGGATAAACATTTGTGGTAGCACGCATCTTCTCCAAGTCGCTCAATAAACCGCTCACGAAATTGTTGGGTGGATAATCATCAGAAAATGAGCTACACACTCTGGTCATGGCGCTCATAATGTGCTTTCTTTGGATAATGTCCTCCATCTCGTTCATCAGTGATTTATGGAAAAGAGATACTTTCTTATACCTTTTAGACAAAATATTAAGAGCTCTCAAATCCTTACTCAATATTTCATAGTAATCTATGGTTCCCAGTGTTGGCTCTCCTCCACTGACAGAAGGTACCATGCCAATTTCTGGATTTTGACGCTCTCCATTTTCAATGGCCTTTACAATGTGTAAATGTACTTTTGCAGCGGCTGCACAATGAGCTACAATTGGTGGTGGCACGAATACAAAGAGTTCTAATTCCGTTGCCAATGTAATCTTGAGTGCACATTCTTCAATTAACTCTTTTCCACGATTGACAGCACTGAGAATACCAATCTTAATACCGTTGGAAACAAATACTTGTCCCATGTCATAAATCTGAGTTGGGAATAATAGAACAGTGTGTTGACACCATTACAAAGCAGTGGCACATGATTGTTTGAACATCATTACATTTCAAATGTATGATAGTTATCATTCATTCGGTAGTTAATCATCGTTTTACATACCTTCAAGTTTTTGACCGTTCCAGATTTTATGATGTGTAATCGAACGACTTTTAGCAACGACTCTACAACATTAATCACAGCCATATAATTGTTGATCGTCAAGTCTTGCGCCAATAAAGTCTTCCATTCAGTTGGTAATGTAATTCCTAGAAGTTTTTCATAGACACCTGGCCACTCTTTTAACAGTTGCAAAACACCCTGGTCATTTTTAGCACAAATGTTTGCGAAGCTTCTAAGTCTTTTCAAATTTTTCTGATGTAGTGTCATGTGTTCTTCTTCTTCTTGTGAAAGTTCATCAAAGTAAAAATTGAGAGAGTTCAGATAATATTTAGCGGTTTTAAGACGACCACAGCCCGCTTCATAAATACTCAAATAAGCAAATGCACATGCAACATAAAAGTTGGAATGTTCGTCAAAGATTTTGGAGAGAGCGTCACGTGCCTTCTTTCCAGTTTCTTCAGCCAAATCCACTAGACCAACTCTTTGCTCACAAACTGCCTTAATACACAAAAATAGTACGTAAACTTCTTTCTTGTTTGGCATGACTTCCGTTTCATTGAAGTTGGTAATAATCTCTTCATCTTCATCACGTGCAGAATTGGAACTTGTCCTAGTCGACAAGTAACTTTCAAACTCCTTTCTTTCAATGACAATCATATGTTCAGTAAACACGTTATAATAAATATCCAACACTTTTCTCTTGTCCAAATGTTTTTCAGGTTGATTTCTTGTTGCACCTTGTGCATATGGGGTTGATTCTGCCTGTACAATATTTGTTAAGAGCTTATTGGTGCTTGAGTGATTGTTTGTGGTAAAAAGAGTAACATCCAGGTCTTCGTATGATGGTTCTGTAGTTTGATCTTGTTTGTTGTTTTGAGTGCTGGTACCAGTATTCTCGTTTTTGTCTTGCTTTTCTGCGGTGGTGGTGACAGGTTGTCCTTTTGGTTTAGCAATCCTGCCTTTCTTTCTTGGAATTTTATATTCACAGGTAACTCCTCGTGAAAGACATTTGGAGCAAGCAGGGTACTACGTACGTATAATTCAAAAATGTAAAAAAAGTACAATGGTGAATGTATGCAATGACGTACCTTTTTGTCACATCGTTTGTGAAGCCGCCGACATGGAACACATGCAATAGGATGAAACCCTGGGGATGTATTTTCTTCATAATGTTCCGAGTGACGTCCCTCAGCATCTTCATCTTCCGATGAGTGATGGTCTTTCTTTTTGGAGGATGTCTTCTTCTTCTTCTTTTTCTCTGTTTGACTTGTTGACTTGTTACTACTGGCAGGTGAATCATTGGTAGATGTTGATGTAGCATTGCTAGTGCCATTTGTGGTCAATCTCATAGATGATGATGATGAGGATGAAGATGAAGGAGTGGTGACTGCGGAGGAGGTGTTATTCGGATCCAAACCACTTTGAGCAGTACTGCTCGGAGCAAAACCAAATTGTTGATCGAATTGTTCCAAATATCTCGACAAGCTATCGGCAAGAGGAGTGGAAGTATTGGGGAGAGAGGAGAGAAAATTTCTCTGAGGAGAAGTAGACAGGGCAAGGAAGGAATTGGAAGAAAAGGATGAGAGTGGTGTGTTGGTAGTATTCTTGTTGTTGATATTGGTGGTAGGAGATGTAGTGGTATTGGAAATTCTTCCACTACCGTCGTTCATGGAAATGTTGAAATTATTGTTCACGTAGTTAAAGCCATTATTGTTGTTATTACTTGTGGAAGGAAAACTAGTATTACTATGGCTTGAAGATGATGAATCACTGCTCGAAGGTAGAGCATGATGATGATTCATATCACTTGGACTACCGGAGTTACACCACTCGAAGCTTGATTCCATAACGAATGAAAGGAGGGCTCATGATTGAGTAGTTGAGTAAAGTATTGCTCTAGAAGTGTTGCTTGATGCTCTTGTTGTAGTTGTTTGTTTTCATGAAAATGCTGTGCTTGTTGTTGCTGCTGTGGTAACGGCTGATGATGATTCATAAAACTTTGTTTTTCATAGGGATTTTGACGGAGCCCGTGCGATTGTTCTTGCTGACTTCTCTGGAAAGCAGATAACGGAAACAAGTCATCAAAGCGTTTGGACCAATTGGTTTGGTTGCTGTTGTTGTGAGAAGAAGGTTGTTTAGGCATGATTGGTTGTTATTGGAAAAGGATGAGAGTGTGTACTAATAGGAAAATAGTTTGGTAGATGATTTGTTCGTTCTTGGAACCTAATCGGATGGCAATGCTGTGAGTGATGGGAAGACTCGACAGCAAGCAAATGGAGGAGGAGTGATTCTTTTTTTGTTGGATAGTCTTGCTTTTTGAATTGGAGAAGAACGAGATAACAGCAAGCGTCTAAATTCGGCAACAGAGGAGAGAATTTGGCTGAAAGTAATGTTTACGTCTTGGAAAGGTTTGTTTAAACTTAAAGCTTATGCATGCAGGACGAAAGAATATTCGTAAAACAAGTTGCATGTAATGTTTGTTCACCACCAAAAAGGACGGAATACCAAAACAGAACGTGGGAAACGGTGTGAACAAAGTGAGTGTGCCCAGACAAACAATTTTCCGTTTGTTGTTGCTCACAACAGTAAGAACTCTTTTTTTTCTTTTTTATTTCAACAAATTCACTGTTTTGAGGCTTTCCAAACGATACCAGGGATAGTGCGTGCTCTCTCAATGTAGGGATAAACAACCTCGTGAACAGATTGAAGTGGTCATCATCCCCTGATTATTTACCAATTCCAGCTGATTGACGAACTGTGAGGACATCCTTGAGGAGAATTTGATTGAATATTAATAGGCATATCGCAAAGGCATTGCCGTTGAGATGAGGATTATGGAATAACCAAACACGTATTCAACAACGTGGTGCAGGAAATGGTCTCTTGTGCGTCCATTGAGCTCTAAAGAATCATTGTATTCATTCTGAATTTTACTAAATTTGAGCCAGTGTTTCCGATGAATACATCAACAATAGTGAGAAATGTGCGTTGATATGATTAGCAAATGTACGCTTGATTGAATCGGAAAGCAGGTGAAGATTGTTGCTTGCCAGTGCTCTTTCCAAGATGGTTTTGGTTTGGAAATTAGAAGACACGTATTTCAACCAATCAATTTTGATGAAAATCACGTGTATTCAATCATTACGAGAAGGATTTTACATGAATATCTACAATTATTGAGAGAACTCTTGTATAAACTCTGTTCACCGCAACGACAATCAAGGTTTTCTCACAAAACGTCAGTTCAACCGACCGATGCCTTAATGATTGTAATCGAAGAACTCCTTCCAATTTAAAAAAATGGTCAACTGGAAAACATTGGGAGGTTCTGTCGTCGTCTTGTCGGTGGCTGCCGATTACATTCTCACAAAACATATTTACAAAATTGATAAATTATATGAAGAATATGAACACAGGGATGGAGACAGTAAAACCATCTTCATGAAAGGAAACAATGAACGAATTCATGGATTACTGCAATCCTTTGAATCCAAGTTCGGAGAGAAATTGGTTTTTCAAGATCACTATTCAACAATCATTGAATTACCTCCCAAAGTCAAAGCCAACACTGACTCTCCAAAGTTAACAGCTCAACCGAATGAAATATTGTTGACAGATTCAAATCATTCCGAAATGTCGTCATCATCACTACAAATCAAAAACTATGGCAACAACAACATTGTGGACGTTTCTCATTTAGCTCTATCCTTCTTTACATCTTATTTATTTTATTTGGAGAGTCGAATGCTGAAAATTGGAGAACCTTCATATGGAAATACGGAACCAGATGAAATCAACAAGGTGAAATTTCAAGTAGGTGATCATGTCTCCATTTTCAAAGTCATTGAACGAACCGATAGTGAAATATTGATGAGAACACCACTTGGAACTCTGGAATGGTTTAAAATTTCAAAACCTCAACAAGATGACAACAAAATTCAAATCAACTTTGGAAGTGGTGTGTTGAAGAATGAGCGCTTAGCGAAGAATCCTCTATTTCGAGTGTCCATGCCGTTGCATAACTTGTTTTCGAAATACTTGGTCATGCAAACAAAGACGAATTTGGAGAGGATTATTAAACAAATGAATCACAACAACATTGGCGATGATTGACTCAACCAGATTCAAATTTACTTGCATCCATCATTTAACTGCATTTAACATACCTCAAAGGGAATTCATAAAAAGGAGGACGTTCATTGGTACAACACAACAATAAAATATTTTTCATTCCCATAATTTCTGAAATGGAGGTTAACGAGTTATGAGCAGCACAGGTTGCAAGTAATTCTTTGATTGCCTGAATGATGATACATCTATACAACCCAAGCCTTCTGAAGAAAATGTGAAGAGCTTTCAAATATCATGCACTACCCTCTGACGTTTGGTCTTGTTATCTTGATTTGTGTCATTTGAATCAAACAAGAAGTATTAACAAAAAGGTTTTTGTTAACGTTTTTTTGCTGTGACGTTTCAACTCCTTGCAACGGTAACTGTGTGTCAAGTTCCAAAAAATTGCAGCAGGATGTTTACCTTTGAGTTATTAATAATTTGTAAATTGTTTAAAACAATCACTCGAAACCTGTAGTAGTAATATCACCAAATTTGCTGGTACAACATTCACATCATGACCGAATTATTCAATAGTTACGAGTCCGATCTCGAAAAACTACTTTCTCAAATTGCCATCCAAGTACAATCATCATCGGAAGGATCGACTTCTTCCGAGCTGAAGAATATCAATACAGCTAAAAATCTCATCAAACAAATGAATATCGAGATACAAAGCATCACTAATGTAAAACAAAAAGGAGAATTGAAAACAAAAGTTAATCATTACAAGCAACAAGTTGAAAAATTGGAACAAGAATTGAAAAAATCAAATTTATTGTCTGGCTCCTCGTCGTTCAATGGGAAGACCGATCATCATGCAATGGATATTTCTTCCACGAGTGGGGATGACCACAAACAACGAATGCTAAACTCGACACAAATTTTGAAAAATTCCTCAAAAACGTTAGAGATGGCAGATAAAGTATTGAACGAAACAGAGCAAATTGCTCAAGAATCAGCAGCAACGGTTCGACAACATTCAGAGAAAATCAAACAAATACAAGACAAAATGTACGATCTAGAGTCTGAAGTGAGACAAGGAAGAAAAACTGTGGATAGAATGTCGAGACCTGCCATTGTAAATTTATTCATGAAATAATGAAAAGGGTTATTTTGCAACAGCTGTGAATACGTTATCCTACAGGTATATGTGGTAAATTGTGCAATTCTTAAAAAAGATGACAAATCCATACGAATGCATTACATTTCATTGTACTGTTGGATTACCTAGGCTGATTAAAGCAACAATTTCTCCAGAGTTGAGATAATGTTATCAAAATTTGGTCTCTCACTCGCCGATCCAGCCCAACAATCTTGCATCAATCTCAATAATTTGTCAAATATGGATAGTTCTTGCTCATTGTCACAATACAAGTCACGAACGAGCGGAATTGTAGGTCTCTTGTTTTGGTTGGCAACAGCCATTAATATCATTTCATTGCCGTCGTTAGTATCCTCCTCTTCCACATACGCAACTTTGGAAAATAACAACTCATACATGAGAATTCCTATATTATCATAAATTCGAGTTTGTGTTGATTGGATCATAAGAAATGATGTGTAAATATTGTTCAAAAAAGATACCATCCAAATCAAGGGTTGAGTTAAAAAAGTAACCCAATTACTTTGAGTTTCAACAATGACCTACCAAATGAATACACGTCACACTTTTCAGAGCATTCTCCACTTCGTAAAATTTCAGGACTAATGGCACGTAACGTTCCCAATGGACAATCCAGCACCAATAAATCCGTAGTTTTAAATTGAGCAAGTCCAAAATCTGTTAATTTCACATGACTTGGTTTTCCATTCTGGCCAATATTCATTAAAATATTTTCCAACTTTAAATCCAAATGTAAAATAGGAGGTTTCATGTCATGCAAATAAAACATTCCTTTCGAAATACATAACAAAATCTCAACCTTTTCTCTTACACTCAAATGCTTCTTATTTTCAATCAAAAATTCCCACAAACTGCAATCCATCTTTTCCATGACTATATACAGTTTTGAATTTTCCGAGTCATAAGCATAGGCATGATGTGGAATGCAATAACTATTCGAAATATTCATAATGAGATCGAGATGATTTGCGAGTGTTCTTGTCATGTATGGATGTGAAATGACCTTAATGGCCACTTGCGACTTTTTCCATCGTCCAGAATAAACTCTTCCCTCTCCTCCTTTTCCAACAAAATTTCCCAATTCAATACTATCGAGTGAAGTACATCGTAGTCGAGAGGATAAATTTTCTAATGGATGAAATTCAGAGTCTTGTTGTTGATTCACTAATGATTCTCCACCTCGAAAACTTTGTGTAATGTTTCGAAACATTTGTTGCTTGGTAAGGGTTGAGAACATGGGATGTTGTTGTGTTCCAAAAGATGAAAGTGCCACTCCTTGTTGCGGATTTTTTTTACCAATGTCTGTTGAAGAGATTTCTGAATAATCTAATTTTTCAATTTCCACAAATCTGTGTGTTGAACATTCATTGTCATTGAAACAAGTGGTAAGCAGAAAATTTGAAAAAATTCTGATACACACCCATCGTCCAAGTCTTTCATGGTATAATCTTCATTTTTCTCTCCAGGTTTATAACTTGAATGATTGTATTTTGTCGGTTGTAGGGCTTTCTTCATACTAGCGACCATTCATTGTTCAAGCAATACGTTTGAATTTAACGTTATTTTAGAAATCCACAGAACTAGCGACTCATCACACTTACAACTCTAAAAAAGAAGGTTTCATGGAATTAAGGTAATCAAATGTTTCTCCAGTTTTTTTACCATAATTACACATATCGATAGCTCGTTTTCCTTCTTCCTATATCATTTTTCAACATTCATTTCATGTGCGAAAATTCATAACACTACTCACATTGACCATCTGATCGTTGGCTCCATTTTCAATTAGAATTTTCACAATTTCTACATGATCAATCCAACATGCCCAATGCAACGCAGTCTTTGTGAATATTCAAAATCAAGTAGTGAATTGCAATATTACATGGATCTTAAATACTTTTCAAAATTGAAAACTCACATATTTGGCCCACTGTTGGCATAACAAAACATTTTTTCACATTCTTTCGAAAATTCGTACATTAAAACTACAACATACATCTACATGATCGATCATGGAAACGGTTCGGTCTCGGAAATCCGTGAATAACATTCGAACGATTTTAGTGGCTCCACTCCGAACTGCAACCATTAATAACGTCCTTGACTGTCAGAGTATAACGATGTGCGTTATTAGGGTTTATCGTTGTTCATATATATGCGCATAGAATCTTACATTTTCAAATTCATATTTAAACAATTCTCTTCCTTCGTTGGTAAGGAGTAAATTCCGACAGGCTTCGACATTGTCTTCATCGCATGCTTGTTGAAATTGTGTTGTGATGACTTGTCCCATTTTTTTATGTTGTGATAAACACCTATTTGGCAGAGGATTTATTTCCGTCTTTGGAACTCTTTTTTGTGGTTTTTGGCTTTGGTGGTGGAGGATCATGAATGTCTGTATTCGAGAGACAGGTTTTTAGAAAATCGTCGTATCGAATCATCTTGGTTTCAGGGTCCGTGAATTGTTGAATTATTTCCTGAACTTCCTCCGGAGTCATCAAATCACTTTCACCCAAATTTAATAAAATGTTTTTCAGTTCTTCAGGTTCGATGGTTCCCTGGAAATTTGATGTATCAAAGGTTTCAAAAGCGTCTAGAATTTTGAAATGATCGTCTTGGTTTGGAAGCGAGGCTAATTGCATGATTTTGAGGAATTCGTCCAAAGTTAATTGTCCTCTTTGTGTCACTTCTTCAGCGTTTGGAAGTACACTTAAATAAATAGGTAAATCTTTCTCTTTCGGATTTTTCATTAGAGCCCTCATTAAAATAATGAGATCTGATAAAAGTACATGATTTTTCAAAATTGTTATTTGAGGTTGTGGAGGGGTTGGTGGAGTTTCTGGTTGTGGCGAAGTAGATTTCTTCGCGTCTTTTGAATTTGTTTTTTTAGGATCTGGTTTTTTGGCTTTGGCATCCTTTCCATCTTTCTTGGTTTTGCCATCATCTGCATCTGCTGCAGGGGCTTTTCCTGGTTTTATCGTCTTTTTTGCTTCATACAGTTTAAAGGCCTCCGTATATCGTTTGATCGTTTCGGGGCTTAGTTCCTCTCCCTTTCCAAAACCCAAGGATGATTGTTTTCCGCCCATGACGGAAGCACTTGTACTGGGTCTTGAATTTGCATTGCTGGAGGATGGAGGCACTCTTGATGATGCTGTTGTTGATTCCAATTGAGAAGGATCTAAAATTGCCGATGCATCCAAACCATTCATGGATGAATTTTGAATAGCGCTCACATTGAGATCATCCATTGCAACCGATGCATTCAAAGGGATGTCCCCACCATGACTCGGAGTGGGTGTACGAGGTTCTTCAGCAGCAGATAACATGGTTTGAGGTTTTTTTTATAAAACAAATGTTGTAGTGGTTTTAGGCGGGTGGTACAACGATGATTTTTTTTACATTTCGTTAGTCACAGTTGAAAGCAACGTGTGACAAGTGGAGTCAACAATTTCCTTTACACAACTTGTTGCTTCAAACTGGATATCTACACGAACGGTCACTGGATCACATATTCATGTTTGTAATCAATGGAGAAATGCACGGCAATTTCCATACTTGTTTTCATTACAGGAGCTTGTGAATAGCAACATGAAAACAATTATTGGTTAATGGTCTTACAAAATTCAAACAAAAATTAATAACGAGTGTCATTTCATTGCCTTCTTGGATTCACTAAGAGTCACGATTTAAAATTCTAACAGGTCAACCTTTGACGTTGAATCCCAATTTTATGACCCATGGAACGACTGATAATCAAACGGTGGGAACTATATCCTTCTTTTCTGAGGTGGGAGGAATTATTTTCACCTGTCACTGACCACACATGAAGAATTCGAACTTCACCACGCCCTGTATCATGAATTGAATTTTCACATTGATCCATCTTGGATACTGAAAAATGTTCTCGGACGTTGCATAATTACCATGATTCAACTCGATCCTCTTTCAAGAGGAGAATGTGAGGATTATTTCAACTATTATCCGTGAGTGATTGATACTCTCAAAGACGATCATTCCACAACAAATCTCGACTTGTATGAATTGAGAGAAATTTTAGTCTCGCTAATGGACTGTAAAGTGGTTGTAAAATCAATCTCATCAAAACCTTCCATTTACATTTAGAATTCTGAAAGAAACCTTTTCATTGAAATGGCATGCAGCGCAATGGACAGTTTCAATAATTAAGGGTTAGAGACTTTGCAACCGTTCAGTCGTAGCACGATTTCAATTCCCAGGAATTATCACGCTCAATCTCATATTGTCTTGAATAATTCCATGGAAGTGCAAGTACTAGTAGGTCACATTTTGAAAAAGGTCACTCCAAAAATTTGGTTCTTTGGATTCAATTAATTAGAGCGAAAAATCAAACCTGAATAACACCTCTAAAAGATGAAAAACACTATTCGCCACGTACAAGAGCTCAATTTTGAAACAAGACCTTAATATGGAAGTCAAATGTTTGTAAAAGATTAAAAGAATTAAATCGAGCTGAAAACTTATTTTGATACTCAATATTAGGTTGACAACAAACTGTAATGGTCTACAATTCTAATTCCAGTGGCACATTGGACGTTCCCATCGCAGCCATCACTCCATATTTAGTAATCCAATTTAGAAAAAAAACAATTTGAAATTAAATCCACTAAAAGCGTTTCGGCACTAATTACAATATCCCCTAAATGGTTGAAACGATCGTTCAGAAGCCTATCATCACATTTTCTTTTTTTCATTAAAGAACTCGTCCAGCACGCAGAAAACATTCTTTCTGTGGTTTGGAATTGATTTTTAGAGAGAGAGTCATAAAAAATTGCTACAACAACAGCCGCAACTCTTGGTAGCAACAACTGAATTCGTTGAGAACAGACATCAACAACAACAACAACTGAAAACCGTCACGTTTCATTCCACACCGTTGAATTTCGATCAGACGTCAACAACATATTGATTTCACAACTATTTCAAATTGTTATTGCTGCTTAATATTCTAAGAACGATGGATCCCATTCAATCAAGTTACAACTTTCTCGTAGATCACTCCTCCACGAGTATGGTTCAACAACAGGACCATTCGAGTCCGACCACAAGTTTTTCCAATTCCGTCTCGACTTCTCATCAAGCTTCTTCGTATGTTTCCTCAAGTCTTCAGAACTCTGTTTCATCCTCAGGGAATTCATCCACTGCTGCTTCTGGTACTAACAGTGCCAAATTCAACTTTGTCGACATGACCAAAGACGTTGAATTCAAAACTCGCCACAAGGGTGATAAATCTCTCAAAGTGAACAAACAATTTCGATACAATAAGAGATTTCAAAACAACTTTTTCATATTCAAAGCAGGACAGAATGAAAAGCAACAAGTACCTCCACCTTCCTCGTCGATGTATGGAACAGAGAGCTATCTATCAATGGATTCGAATCCGATATATCCGAATCAAGCATTTCAAGCTCATCCATTGTCTGTTCCATATCCTTCGGATTGGAATAACAACACTTCAGGAGTGCCGAGAGTGAATGGTCGATTTGTAAAACAACCAAGACAGGTCCATTCGGCATCTGCCACTCCAACCGTCATGGTCAATACCTTCAATGAATCTCTATTGACCAACACGGGTTCTCATACTGGACCAAGCACGTTGACTTCATTCCTTTCTCAACCGCCGAATAACCAAACAACCACACATTCGACCTTAAACGCCTTAGCTCCCTCGAATGTGATGCTGTCCAACGCTGGTCAGGCCCAAGGTTCGAATCCTGCCGGTGGTCCATTCCTCTTTCTCGACGAAGAACTATTGGCCACACAACTCCATCAACAACAACAACAAGCCTTATTGAATTCTGCATTGGCTTCTGTTGGCACGACTCAATCCTCGAGTACCAGCACCAACAACAACAACAACACTCATGGAGGGAGTATGGTCGATCCATTCCTTTTATCGAAAGAAGGAATTTCCAATCTTGCAGTTGCACTCTCTTCACAGAGTCAACAAAATGTTCCATCCGTGAGTGTCTATCCGAATGGACCAATTATTGTGACAAATTCGAATGGTCAAACTCAATTTTACACATTGACCACTCCTACGGATTCTTCAACCATTCTCTCACAACAACCTTCCAATGCAAACAATTCATCTTCAACGACAGGAGCTCACACTCGATTGAGTCATTCACAAAGTTTTCCTCAAGAATTGTTTTCGAGTGCTTTGGCCACTCTCCAAAAACAGCAATTAGAACAAGGTTATGTGAACAAGACGAGTCATGAGTTTTATGTGACAACTACTTCGAATGACATTCCAGTGGGTCAAGATCCTCATACAACAACGAATTCGGGGAATATTCTTGCTCAGACAACAGAAACACATGATATGTCCACCATGGAAGAAGATCAATGGTTTTCAGGAGTATCGAATAGTAAATCTGGAAAGAGAAAACGAAAACTGAATCGATCTTCTCCTAATACCTTATTTGGTTTTGGAACTTCGTCGTCTAGCAGTAGTGAAAACAGTGGATTGAATTCTCAAAGCTCGAGTATTGAAAATTCTCAAAATAATTCTCCAAACACATTGATGGTATCCACGAATACACATCAAATGAATGATGAAGAGGAAGAACATGATGATCCAGAAGAGGAAGAGAATGAGGTGGAAGAAACCATGAATCCAAAACACAATTCAAGAAAGGACAAGACACTTCCTCATGGACAAGACGAAGTCGCGTTTCATAACCAGCGTCATCATCACCATCATAAGGATCCAAGAACAAGCAATGTGAATCTTCTCGATTCTAGATTTGTTCACATGTCAACACTCAATGATGATATTTTCAATCCTAATGAAAATGTAACAACAAGTGGTGGTGAACAACATTCGACAGTAGATCATTCCTTGATTCATGCAACAACTGGGAAACCAATCTCGATCGTCCATGTTCAACACCATCCAAAAATGTCCACTTCAAGTTCGCCTCATTTAGCAAAGAATTCACAATTTCCCACAAACCATGGAACTCTAGAAAATAATCATGTCATGTCCACAGATTTAACACCTCCCACTAGTGGACCCATAGAAGATGAATTGGATTCGTTTCTCAATTCCATTCATCAGTCGAATCAGTTTTAAGTCGTTGTTGTTGAATTGTGTTTCAAAAAGTTTCAAAGTAAGATTAAACTCCTTTCATCCTTGTATTCTATAAAGTAACGATCGATATTTGTTCGTTGGTACATTCCAAATCTAGACATTTAGAGACAGCTCAATACTGCCATCTCATTCTAAAGACTTTCAGTATTTTACGTTGAGTCATGCTTTGAAACATGCTTCTCAATACAAGATTTACTTTACAGAGATGCACGACAGAAAAACGGAAAAAATTATGGGGACTGCGGAGAATCGAACCCCGGACCTCCTGCACCCTAAGCAGGTATCATACCACTAGACTACAGTCCCAACTACATCTTCTACAGGTTTGGTGGCCTGGCAAAGACAACATTTCTATACTTCCAACAAAACACCCCCTCTCAATTTTTTTGTGTTGCAGCATCAAGGTACAATTCACATTGACGACGCAACGAAAGAAATAGAGGAGAATACTACGCGTAAAACATTCCATGTTGACTCTCACACTTCATTTATTATTCATGATCAACACCTTCTTCATCATCTTCATGTTCCATAGATGCTTCTCCTCCCTGAACGAGCTGCTCAGAGCCAGCACCTACCATCATGGCGTCGTCATCCTCTTCGTGAGCTCCAGCTTCATTCGATTCAGTTCCATGTGGAACATCACTACTGGAACCAACAGATTCTTGTTGTTTTCTCTTCTTTGGAGGTCTTCCTCTACCTCTCTTTTGACCAGAGACAACAATTTCACCATTCAAATATTTGAGAATACTGTTACAGAGATCATTCTTTTTCACACCCACATATTTAATGCCCTTCGATTGACAAAAGGCAATTAATTCTTGAACCAAATACTTGTCTCTTAGATCTTCAAAGGAAATTCCTTTTTCAATTTGAGGTCTCTCACCTTCAGTGTTGATTACTCTCTTTCTTCCTCTCTTTTTGTAACTCTTAGAATTTGGAGAACTCAAATCTCCATCATAGGAAGAACCAATTGGAGAGCTAAAGGATGGTGAAGGACTTCCATACTCATCATCAGAAGTAACATCCGTCATGGCTGCAGCTTTCTTTGAGTGTTCAAACAAGTGTGGTTTCTTGGAGTGTTCAAAAAAGTGTGGTTTCTTCTTTTTCAATCTCACTATTAAATCTTCAGCCACGTGAGGATATTCATCCACAAGAATGACCTCAGCGAGCATTTCCTTAGTTGGAGAAGCATCAAATACCTGTTTCTTTTGATCATATTTTGAAGCTTCTGCTGCTTCTTTGAGAACACTCTTTTTACATTTGCATAAAACTTCCTTAGCACCATAGAGAAATATCTCTTCGAGAATGGCATCCACCAAGTTGGAATGTGTCGTATCAAATTCTTCAATTTCCAATGCCTGTAAAAAGAGTATGAGTGTGGAATCTTGAAGATTATCCAGTAAAGTCTCAGCATTCAATTTTTCGAAAAGTAATTTAAAGTTTGCTCTCAAACCTGATTTTTTCAATGTGTGAACAGTTTTAGCTGTTAGAGCAAAGTCAGGATCAATTTCCTTATGAGATGCTTTTTCCAACTCACGAATAGCTCCATCATAATGAAGTAAATCCTTCAATGCCGTTCTCATATCTTCTCGATCGAGTTCAGTTAGAAAATGTTTCACACTGACACTCACTGCCTTCTTTCCAAGTTCAAATATTAAAAACTCCTTTCGATGTTCATCCGTGAGAGTTTTGCCCTTCTTCAAGACAGGATCTGTATTCGTCAAATTATTCTTAGCAGCAATGTGTTGAATGGTCTTGAATGGCATTCTTTGTAACGTCAATTGAAAGTTATTGACAATATCTTTTGGAAAGTAATCATATTCATATTTGAGTGAATCATTGTCATAATCTGATTTGAGAGTATTCATAACCAAATACAAATCATCACTGTTACTTGCAGATGAAGATATCAAGCTTGCAGGTGTTGAAATTTGAGAAGCATGTCCAATTTGATTTCCAAGTTGCATGGCAGCTTCTTCCTCTTCCTCAGAAGACAGAAATGAAACTGTTCCTCCTCTTGAGGCAGTCGACGTTTGCTGTTGAGGAGTTGAGCTTGCACCTGAAGAAGCTGCATTTCCAATCAGGTAATCTAATTCATCAACCATGGTGTTGATATCTTCAGGTTTGATGGTTGCAGTAGAGGAGGCTTGAGTTGCATTTCCAATTTGGGAATCAAAGGTTGTTGTTGCTGACATGGGATTACCAATCATAGAAGTACCTGAAAGATGGTTATTATTATTCGACAATTGTTGTTTCGTTTCTCCCTTAAACTTGTGCTTTTTTGGAAGATCTTGATAAACGACTTGTTGTGGGTTTAGGGCAGTTGTTGTTTCTTCGGGAGTCATAGGAAGAGAGAAACAGAAAATTCACTCTTATATGGTCTTGTTGAACCTTTCAAAGTAAGGAACACAAGTTGCAACACGGGACGGAGAGAAATCACTTACCTTTTTGTTGTTGTGTTCTCGAGGGGAATATAAAGTGGAACTCTGTTCATATATCATTGGAATGATCCATGATTTGGTATCGAGTCCATGCATTGTAGTATTGTCGATCCATTCGTTTTCATTGATCATCACGAATTTCATAAATTTAAAAAATATTAAATATTTAAATCATCACGAATAAAATTATTTTAATAATTTTTAAAATGATATGATCCAACGAAGACACACACCATTAGGATCATCATGGTCGACCTCGCATCAAGTACTTACGGTTTGAACACCACAACACTTGAACAACTTGGTTGAGCGGATAACCAACAATTTCGTAAAAATATTTTTTTAAAAAAATATGGAATTGCGTGTTTACAATAAACCAACGCAAACTTCTTAAAAAAATTCACAATATGAAATTGTTGAAGAAAATTCTTAGGCCTGGAATGGTCTTGTTGGCAGTTGCAGTTGTGTGTTCGATGGCTTCTCTCATCTTTGTTGTATTAACTGGAGTATTTTTTGGAATTTCTGTCAAGTATGTTTCAATAATCACTCATCGGAATCGATCTATTGAAATCAAAACAACAACATTCTGAAATTTTCAATAATGGGCATAACACTTCCATACAACATTCATTTCCGACTGATCGTCATGGTTTTACAACAATTCTCCTATGTATTTAATTTCAATTATTATTTTCCATTCATGTTCAGTTCCGATGCAGAAAGTTATTCCGTACCAACGAATTGTACAGTCATTTCACCTCTGGTACAATGTGAACAGTCTTATGGAAAAAGGAAAACGAAATATTGTTCAGCAATTGTTTGCCTTAATAATGTCATCAAGAATTCCACGTCAACTGTCAACACATTGCATTCACTCAACACTCCACAATCAACCATGATCAACCAACAAAAATCTTGTCCTCAATCTAACACTCGAACAACCTTTCGCTTTGAAGATTCCACAATATTTTACACTTATTCAGAAGGATTTGAAACTACTTGTTTTGTAAATCCAAAAGATCGACTTTGGGTCTCTTATGAAATTTACACACCAGCTTCTTCGCATTGGAAAATTATTGGAATTATTAGTGCTATTGGAAGTATTATTTGCGGAGTGTGTGCAATCATAATGTTTTATCGATTTTACCAAGATCGAAAAACCTTAATGGCATCATCGGAAGAATTTGCACATTCGGATGAGAGGAGACGAAGAGTTGACGAACAATACTATGCAGAGGATGAATTGCAAGAGGAATAGATCAAAATACTAGTGGTTGAGGTTATCATGACTGGTTTTTGAATGGTTTTACAGCAGCTCATTATTTGAAATTTGCAGATTACAGCATTTGTGTGAAAATGCCAAATGTCATAAAGATTTTTTCAATTTAAAAAAAAAATGTCTCAAACACCTCGAAACATGTCGTCTTCGTTTCGAACGACTCCATCAGCCTCCCATCGAAAAATCGAAAACACTCCGATTGAATTCTATCACACTCTCGACATGGTCAACACTTTTTGCATTCAAACCATCAATTTATTAAATAATTTTTCACTTCAATGTGAACGAAAACTCAATCAAGCACAACACGATCTGGTTCGAATCGAAATTACACTCTCCCTTCTCGAAAGTAAATTAAAATCCATTGATGGCATGGAAGCTAAAATGAAAGAATTTGAAAATAATCCTTCGAACCTTCTTTCCACAACAACAACAACAACAACAAATACATCAACAGCAGCAGCAGGACCTGTCGATACGTCATCATCATCGTTTGGTGGAAATGTTCCTCCTCCACCTCCTCCGACAACAACAACAACAACAGGAAATATTCCTCCTCCACCTCCAGGATTTGGTTCTCCTCAAAACACACAAGGTTATGTCCCACCTCCTCCTCCAATGACCTCCAATGGAACAGCAGTAGCTGCAGCTTCTTTGGTTCCTCCACTTCCTGTGACAGGTGTCAGCAATCATACAGAACATTTACCTTCGTTGGCTCGTGATGCCGTCGACCAGCAGGTTGAAAATTCCTCCTCAAACATTCCAACATGCGAACAAGATCCTCGTCTCGCTCGATATTTCCGATTATTGTATAAAGTTGGAGTACCAAGAGTGCAATTGGAAAGAGACATGATTCGTGATGGTTTCGATCCGAGTGTTTTGGATACACCACAAGCACCCTCTCCGTTGGGACCTTACAAGGAAGAGAATTCAGAAGAGGAAGAGGAAATTGGAGGCGATGCAGCTGCAGCATCTAGTGAGGAGGAAGAGGAATAACAATGTTTCGATCGAAAAGGACGATTGGTTCGACTTTTTTGTTGTCCAATAAATAGCTGATCTTTATTGAATCCATAATTTTCGAATGAATGATTTGAATGTTTTTATATGTACACACACGAGTTAGGAGAAAGTATATTTTACAACAGAGAATGAATCTCATCAGTAAGACTGAACAGTTAGACGGATGAAACAGTTGGGTTGTTTCGTTCTTTAATGAGCAGCTGTGGCTGTAATGACAACAGCAAGCCATGCCACAACATTGAATGCAGCAAACCACAAAAATTGTTGACTTGGGTGTGGCTTTGCATCTTGATCGAGATCATGAGACATGGTTGTAAGAGTGGGTGTGGTCATGTTTGTGTGTTCTTTCTTTTTAATTTGAAATCAATTTTCCTTCCATACAACACCGGCCAGGTTCACTGACACACAACAATGTTGTCAAACTTCAACAGCAAGAAAAGGATTTGCAACTCGAGTTGGAACTCGGTTCGACAAGATCTTCTTCTTGTTTAAGGACAATGTAATGCTTTATTCTCTCTTCTCTTCATCTTCAACTTCAGAAGCATCAAATTCAGAAGGCTCTACCGATAAGTGATACTTGCTCAAGTTTGAATTTTCCTGATTTTCAGCAAGTTCAAAACCGAGTAACTTGTCAGCATTGAACGCTTCAGCTTGAGGATCTGGATTTTGGTGATACTTTTGCATGAGTAGATATGTCGTTTGAAGACCTTTTCCTTTGACTGCAATTTTTCGTCACATGTTAATAATAAGATTCAAAAAGATCATAGCAATTTAGATAAATTCACATTCACTCGCTGATAAACTTACCTTCCACTTCTCTTGATTCAAATTCATACAAATCATATACTCGCTCATAGGTTTGACGAGAGATTTGAATTCTACCACCAATACCAGTTGATTCCATACGTGACGCTGTGTTCACAGTGTCTATTTAACAGATCAGTTTCAAAATAATATTATCACCAATAATTGGAGGAAATATCAATCAACTTACCACCCCACAAGTCGTAGCTGAATTTTGAAGAACCCAACACTCCAGCCGTAACACTAATTTGTAGCGAAAAAGAAAAATGATTACAAAGTTGCCCATAATGAAAGAACATACCTTCCAGTGTGAATGCCAACTCGAACATTCAGATTTGCATTTCGTTTTACATTGTAATTGTAAAGAATGGAGAATTGGCCACATGCAAATAGTAACACCTTCTCAGGATGATCTGTCTCCTTGTTATGTAAACCACCTGCGATTTATAATAAGTTGAAATATACATTGGTCAACCTCGTAAGTACTCACCTGCTAAGAAATAAGCATCTCCGATGGTTTTAATCTTTTCCAAGCCAAGTCGATCACACAAAAGGTCAAATTGATTAACAATAATGTTGAGCATTTCTACAACTTGATTAGGCTCTAATTTGCTGCTCATGCTGGTAAATCCGACAATATCTGAAAATAAACAAGTGACATCCTAATTGGTGTAAATTCATCGTTCATAATTTTGAAAATGGTAGCAAAAATCAATATTAAAATAGTTGACCATCATCACCCACTCACCTTAATATTTTCATAGATATTCTTTTCTCCTGCTTTCAGACGATTTGCAACAGGAAGAGGTAAAATATTCAACAATAAAGCCTCAGATTTAGCTTTCTCCTGTGCGATTAGTATTGAATGTTTCAATTCTGTTGTGATGTCTTTCATAAAACAGCTAATGATTAATTTCTTTGTTTTTTCATTGTCTCCATTAATTACGCTCACGCAAAAATTTGCTCTCAAAGGAAAAGTTTTTCCATTTTTCCTTCTTGCCTTTAGTTTTTCGAAAGTCTCTCCAAAATTAGTTGTTGCTTTTTTCATCCGCTCAATAGTTGCTTCTATTTTTTCAATAACTTGTTTCTTTGAGAAGAGATTTGAAATTTTCGTTCCAACCACCTGACAAAGTCAAAGTATTACAATCAAAACTGGGGAAATAATTGACTTACCTCTGATTGTCGAAAACCGAACATATCTTGAGCTGCTTGATTGAAAAACTTAATAGATCCGTCGACATTACAAATGATTGATCCCTCCACAGTACTATCCAATACAGCTTTAACTTGTGCAAATGCTTGCTCATCCTCATTATCTGAGACTGGAGATATTAAGGAAAATAATCTACCAAACTTTCCTTTTTTGGAGGTGCTCTTTTTGGTGGCGAATTGGAAATGTAGAGCATATTCTCTGAGTTGGTCATTGTTATCTAATGTCTCCCAATTCACATAGCATAACAATGCTCTGAGTTGATTAAGTTGACCCCAATATTGTTGCAATTGACTGTTAGTAAAATATGTGAGAGCAAGCAACGAAACAAATCCAAAAGTTGCAAATATTCCTGTAAGTACACGAGAGGGGCTTTGGTGTAACGCAACATACGCATCAATAAATGCATAGAGCTTGTAGGCCATTATTTTGCTCGCACTATAAAATTGCATGAATCTATCAAAAAGAATAGGGGGACTGTACAACCGGTGATAGGCTTGATTGTTCATTTCATCTGCTTGTGATGATAATAGGTCAAGCAGCTGATCCAGCCCAAAGCAAGAATAGTCAGTTGCCGAACAATTCTTGTGCGACATTACTGAGTCTATATTTTCAGAAAGAATAGAACGGTGACCGTTAAAGGCAGCTCCATATATCAAATTATTCCATGCATCTATAGATTTAGCCAAATAGACCTTGTTACTCGCAAAATAAATTTCATTTTCTCCTGGTTGCATATTCTGGTCAAACACAATCTCATCCAAACCAAAGTTTACGACCTGGCTATGCATTAATACTCGTGTAGCCTCAGCAACGTTCAACATGGCTATGTAGGAATCGTCCAAGTTCAAAAAAAATTCGGCCATAATCAATGAGGATGACAAGAAGAAACAAATCACTATTGCCAATATTGCGAGTAGAATAATCTTCATAGGTGTAAAGTTTGCACTGTCAATCTTTTGGATATTGTCTTTGGTATTCGTGTCAAGCTTATGAAAGACTGCACCTACTTGATCCTTATCAATATGTTTAAACAATCTTACCACCTTAAATATTTTACGAAGGTGAATATTGATGGCAACTAAAAATAAAGCGCTCATTAGCAACATTATAACATTAATACACACAGCTAAAATAATGTAGATCATTCTTCTTTCCATTGCTACAATTTGATTCCTATCAATAAAATTGACACAAAACTTTTCATAAGCATCCTTTAAGGGCTCTCTGTTCAACCAAAAAAATAAGAATACATAGGATTCATGTGTTAGATTGTACTGTTGAATGGTTGATCCAAGTAGTGTGTCAATATTTGTAACTAACAACTTGGTTGTCTCAGACAGCGAAGTATTTTTGAGTTCATATTCGAGAGTTTGAGTCTTGGCAACTATTGGCATTTTCAACGACACACTATCTGCCGTAAAATCATACTTCATTTCTGTTGTAAATATACCAACAGATTTGGATAAACTTTGAACTATTTTGGCCTTGTCTTGAAGGACTATTAGCCGATCTTTGTGTGCTCTGAATGATACCATCAAACCTGTGTCATTGATGCCTTTGTATTTTATGGTAGACTGTAGCGAGCGAATACCTGATGCAATTAAGTGGCTAACTGAGTTCATGGTACAGGCTGAAATCAATTTCCATATACATAATGAAATATTCAACAAGGCTCTGTTCAATAGAAATTTACATACCTTGGTTCACAAGAAACACCTTGGAGGAAATTTCATTTGAGAATGTAATATTAATCACCAATCCAACAACGAGCATTGTAACACAAAGGGCAACGAACAATAACAAAGAGATGTAAACTATTTTGTGATCCTCTCTCGACAATAAAGCACTTAAAAAGTCATAATTAGTCCAACTTGAATGATGCAAACGAGTGTACAAACCTTCTGAAAAGTATTTCCTTTTTCTGAGATGATGGAATAACGTCAGAAGATCCTCCAAAGCTATCTTCATCAATTTCTTCATCAAACAAGTCTTCGCGCTCAACTTTTTTTTCACTAAGCTCGTCAGCGTGAGTAGTTGGGAGAGGCATGATTCTATTTGATTTCACTGTTGGTCTTCGTGATTGGACTGCTTTTTTTGATTCTTCTTCCTCAATTAAACTTGCTTCGTTGAACAATTCTGCTGCGCTTTCCTTTTGAAAGAGAAAGTTATCCAAGAATTGAGCGTAGGCTATGAAACAGCAGATAAGTGTGAGAAAAAGCCTACAATAAAATCCTTTTAAGTCACATACCTCTAATTGCGGATTTGTCGCTTCCAAAATTAATCATGAGAGTGCTAAACAAAACCTCACATTCATCTGTTACAATTTCAATTTGCTGGTTAATGGAAATAATTTTCGACTCTGAAATTATTTCGTTCATCAATTCTTTCCAAAATAACTTGTGTAAATGTTTCAATTTTTGCTGTTTGTGTTCCAACTTTTGAAGAATTGTTTTCATTTCTAAAGTGCCTTTCTTTTTTCCTCCCAGTGATTGTGTAGAACGAATCTCCATTTCCTTAATCCTTAAATGAATAAAGTATCGTTTGATAACAGTTGGGTGTAACTTTAACGCTCTGTTTAGCAAGGTGGAAGAGAAAACAGAGATGTTGATATCATCTTGAACAAAGTTTGATAGTAAAGTTGCTGCAGAAATAAACAAATCAATGTCATGAAATGTTTTTTGAGAAATTGATCCCTTCACAAAGTATAATGCTAAATTGAAATCTGGATGCTTATAAACCAATGATGAATGTTTTCCCAGAGGCATGACAAACCTCAAAAATAAGTTGACATTCCTGTATTTGTTTTCTTCATCAATGATTTGGCAAAGAGAAGAAATCAAGTGGGGTTCAGGTGCTTGTTTCCATCCATTCATGTTGTCATCTGTTACCAAGTACAGAGCAATTAAATCTCTGATCGAACTGTAGACACGTCTTGTATATATTTCCATAATTGAAAATCCAATAACAAATAATACAAGTGCGAATATAAAAGATGAACTTGCAATCGACACTCCAAGAATGTTTGCGTCATCTTGTCTCATTCCTGTTCCAATTGTAGTCAATAAAAGAGTAGCTATCGAGAAACCAAGTCTTGCAAACCCAAAACCTGCCCAAATAGAATTTTCCCACCTGGTAAAACAAGGAACGCTATAGAACAAGTAGATTATGAAAATAAGTGAAATGAGTATGGATACAATTGGCAATACAAAACTGAACTGAAATGGAACTAACTGTACAGCAATCCAATAAATCTGGTTTGTTAATACCAGATACATTATGAGTATAGGGTTGGATATATTGGAAAAAGTATCTGACAGAGGGCTCAAATCAATAAAAAACAATACTCCAAATTGAGTAATAATTAGTTGAAGTGCAAGAGTTATCGCAGAAAGAATAATGAGCACATAATTTGTGGTCGTTTGACAACTTTCAGGTTTAAATCTTACCAAAGTCATGGTATTAAAATCACAATTAAAAAACGATGTAAGGATGTGAGTTGAAGGAAGATGAATGACTGTGAGAAAGACAAAGAGAACGTTTGTGATTGCCTGTAGTGTTTTGGTATAGCGAGATCCGCTTTTGGAAAGCCTATAAAGCACATAAAACAAGATGGATCCGATTGCAATAATAAGCAGCAAAGCGCCACTGATCACAATAATTCCTATATAGGGAACCATCTCCATGAGCCACGTCCTGCAGAATCCAAATACCTGTCATGTATTGTTGAGCACAAATTGAAGGCATCAAGTAGTGATGTACATCGATTGTTACTATTTCCCGAGAAAACCAACTTACCAGCATGATATAAACTCCCCAATCTCCCCAATGATAACTACTTCGATCTTCATAAGGCACGGAAAGACTCAACGTTGAAATCATGAGATACAAGTAAAACAGAGCATATCCAACATTGTTCCAAGTAAGAAATCGTGAAAATGAGCTAGAAAGCCTCTTTTTTGAACTCCATGCTGATTTTTGGTTATGTGCAGAGGAAGCCTTAAAAAAGCAGTTTTGTTGCAAACTGACCACAAACGTAATAATGTTCTCCTCGAATGATCTCAACACCTCCGAGGACAAGAGTGAGGATCGTGTAGAGGAATAGGATCGTGAGGTGCCCGTTTCCGAACGTAATCCGTGGGACATGGTTACGCTCAATGGGCCTGAAGAATGTGCTTGTTTTGTTCCATCCTCTTGGCCATACACGGCCTCATTTAAAGACCCCGTGGACATTCTAGTATTAATCAAAATATTACTAGTACTATTGAAAGAAGAGGACGGAGGGAGTATGGAATCTACATTCGCATTGGGTGCTAACGAGTTGGATCGTTTTCGTTGTTGCTGAGAGTCGCTCACAAATAGTACATTTCCACCACCGCCTCGAGCAGAGACTGGCATCATGACCCCAAGTTGTGCTGCCTTACTACTTTCAACCACAACCAGGTTGGGAGCATTGCTGTTGGTTTGAGCAGAGGCTGGCGTAGCACCACTACTACCAGTTGTCGTGTTCATTCCTACTGGATTGAGGCTGGAATGGAGAAGCATTTTTTAGTGAGCTTGTTTCATCGACATTTACTGTAAATCTCGACTGTAGAACGTTGCCGTAGCACCCAAAAAAATAGCACATCTCTCAATTACCTCACGCACAGCGCTAGCAGTGTAGCATTGATTGCTCTGATGATCAGAGTATTAAATAAAGCTTATTAATACATTCAATCAACTTCTCATCACTTTAGAGAATGTGTTACGATGAAATCGGAACTCTCCTCTGTGATATCAACATCAAACTTCGCTAATAAAATAGCCGTTAAATGTGTATATGTTGAGAAATGCAGGTGAACATAAGCACTTTTTTTGCCAAAACAATCATTTACCCTCGATTGTTGCTTACGGGCGAGATTTTACAGTATCTGCAATTCCTGTAAACATTGGGTATGTATTGACAAGACAATTGTGGTCGTATACTCCCTTTTCAGGAATAAATCAGGAATAATTTGAAACTCAACACCTTGTTCTTTTTGTCTATAACGAGATCAAACGAACTGATTTATCGGAATGATGTTTTTGAAAATTGGAGAGCCTTTCCATTCGTCGGAGTCAAAGGGTATTGCAATGGGTTTTTCTCTGATGATGCAGAGATTAAAGTGAATGAGCAGGTCTATTATCAACTCTATTATACGGCTGTTCCGACTTGAATATTGTTTTTCCATATGATGAATAGTTTAATTAAACAATATACAAGTCCATCAGCGGTCTCATAACAAGTGCGAGACGTCGTCGTAACGATAGTACTCGTGAGGAATTTTCACTGTTGACGACTATGATGAACTCGTTTGATGATGCAATGCTGGATTGGCAACAAATTCCGACATTTGAAAGTGAAGTGAGCAATTTTTTGTGTCTGGTCAACCAAGTACCTTTGCCAAAGTTCAAAACAAGGAGTTCACAGAGCTGTTACTTCTATGCAACCATTCGGGCGAAAAGGCTGTAAAAGAAGAATTTACCCTACCACTGCGAACAGCACCCTTAGAAAGAAAACCCGCATAATTCGCATGGTCTTCAAAAAAAAATAGCGCTTTGATTTTCTTTGAACGACCCAACAATCACTTTTTGAAAGTTCCGTTCGCTTGTGTTCAATTTTGTGTGTTCCAATGAAAGGATTCTGAAAGTAGTCCATCACACCACTACCACCTTTTAATTTGTTACCATCAACAATTCATTCACAAATCGAGAAATTGTTACATCTCTCTTCCAATAACAAAAGATAACCAACAACCGAACCACACTCACTCCGAAGTTAATCCAAAAGTAACCATCACTAACATCAGCACTAGAAAGTAGCAGCTCACCGCAATCAAATTCTCCTTGAACCGCGGTGTAAAACAAACACAGAATCTTCACATTGCTAATACAGTACTTTGGGATCGTTGCCGTAAATAATTTACAATAAGTCATCCACCAAGTAGCACATAATGAATTCAACAACGACCACAACAACAAATAATTATCACCACAACAGCAACCCGCATCATCAGAACCAGCAGCAGTATCACTATTCCAATCATCATCATTACCCGCAACCTGTAGGTATTGCAGCTTTATCCTCCACGAGTTCAAGCGGGAACATCCTTCTTCCAAGCTCATCAACGGCTCCTCTCCTGGTGAATCATCATCATCCATCTTCTCATAACAACAATTATTCATCATCGGTTTATCATCCCCAAACACGCGCAGGTGCTGCACTATCATCAGTGATACCATCATCATTGCCAGCTCAACAACACTCCATGATTCCAACAATCTCTTCTAACCATCATCTATCATCACAACAACAACAACAACCAAACCATCAACATCCGTCTTCCTTTATCATTCCCACATCCTCCTCCTACCCAACAAACTCTCAATCAGCACAGCCCAATCCTCCCCAAACAACCTCCAATAGTACATCCTCACAACCCCAGCATTCACCTTCTGTCTCACAGCAACCACACTCGAATTTCAACAACAGCAACAGCAATAATAACATGAGCAATAATTCGGCAGAACCCAAACTTCGAGTGTACAATTCATTACTCAAAACGCCAGAAGGGATATTCACCATGGATTCGGCAAGCTTAACATGTGAGCCACATGGCTTCAAACCCAATGACAGACGTGGAGCACCACAAACAACACATAGTGTGTACGTGAGTGATGTTTTGGTGGTGAGCTGCGATTTGGTGAGTGGCAATCATCAACCTGGAATATTTCAAAACTGCACGGCGCGATTGGTTCATTTGTTGGGCAATGGAGGCAGCACAAGCACTTCAAACAAACGAAAGAAGAAGAAAGACGGAGGTGGTGATAATGAAAATGATGATACCAATGCTGACGATTTGGCGTCAGAGGATGACCAAAATGATGATACTCAAAAGAAAAAGCCAAAGAAAAAGAACAAGAAGAAAGATCAAGATGATGTGAGTGAGGATTTTCAAGCAACCGATTTCACACAAGCTGGAATGTTGGAATCTTTTGAATTACTTTCAGAGCAACCATGTCAAGAAAATATGCCAAAAAGTAAAATTATTGCATCTCTTAAGGTACCAAGAGTGAGAGGACGGGATTGCAAAACCAAGACAGGTCAGGTTCAAGTGATTCGATTTAAGGGAAATCCGGAAATGGAACAAATTATTGCAGTGAGGTATGTTATATTTTTCACATATATAATCAAATCCCTTGTGATGTGACACTTTTCGTGAACCATTTGGCAAAATAATTTATTTATCATTTTTGTTAATTCATTCCTAACACAAATTGGTACATTCCCTTAATTCAAATTATTTCACACCACATGAACATTCGCCGACTCTCGTGTTTCCATACACAGTGATTTATTTTGGATTCGATCAAGAACAAGAACTGAAATGGAGGTTAGAAAATTTAAAAAACAATCAGCCTCATCTTCAAACATGCATGACAGCAATTCACAACAACCGCCACAACCAGTGTCATTGAATTGGCCCAATGTCAAACCTGCTGCTTCTCCCTCTAACGACTCTTCACCCAATAATACCTCAGAACAACTACCTCCCAAGAAAAGACGTGGAAATGGTAGTCCAGTCAATGTTCCAACTGTGGCCACAACAACAAGCAATAGTATTAGCAAGGAAATTCCAAGCCCTTACAGAGTTGGCAATTTCCCTTCCTCGCATCCCAACATGTATCATGCACATCATTCAAACAATGCAGTTACAGCTGGTCATCCTTCACATTTTCCGATATCTAATGTTCTCAACAACACAACTGCTCATTACATGCCGCCTCACCATCCTTCTCATCACATGACCACAACAGCTTCAGAACATGTGGCATCCTCAGCTCATTCATATCGAAATGAACAACATCAGCAAGGTCAATATGAAGAATTGAAACAACGAGTACAGTTTTTGGAGGAAAAAGTTCATGAACTCGAGCAAATAATATTGAGATATGGAATGTCTAAACAATCGCCATCTTATCAGCAATCCACTTCGCCCTCAATGACACTTCAAGTGCCTTCACAGACCCATCATTCGGCACAATCCACGTCAACAACAGCACAACATCAAACTCAACTTCCTCCACACACGCTCCACGAAATGCTTCACACTTCACCGAATGTTGACCGTTTGTTCTTCTCCACTCCAAAAACGTCATCAGGAAGTAGCAGTGTTGCTTCTGTGGGAGAGCCAGCCACAGCATCAACAACAACAACACCGAACAATCCCTCCTCTATTGTTTTCAAACCTTTCCCAATTGACATGTTCAGTCAAGACATACCAAAAGTGCAAGCAGACTCTAAAAAAGAAACACCAAGTCTTCCTAGCATTCCGTCTATCATTCAAAATGTGGAGTCACAAAACAGTACCCCTAGTGTTTTCAAGATATTCGATAGCTCTGATCCAATTTTCCCAATCTCCAACACTCCTTTCCTTGGTAAGGACCCAAATAATTTTTCTTCACCCAATATTTTGCAATCCTTCTCTCAACCTAAAGAAGAAGAACAGAAATGAAATAATATCCCCTTTGAGAGAAAATGTAAATACAAAGGTTCCACCATGATTTTGTTCGAAAGTGCATGAAATTTACCTTAATTTAATTGCATTTGGTCAACCGCTCTTGATCAAGCCTGGTTGATTGTAAATCTTTCCGTTCCTATTTTAAAAAAATTACATAACCTGTCTACGTCAACCATGCTCATTCCAAGATCTGCTGTCGTGCTCGGTGCCTTCAGTGTCGTTGTGGCTACCATCACCTGGACTACTACAGCTCCAAAGGATAACAAGAAGCATTAAGAAGTATAGAGATCAACACGATCTCGTATTCATTATTGATCAGGAGATTCACAGAGACGTCGCCATCATCAACCGATTCCGCAAGATTTGATCAACAGGATGATCATTTAGCTTAACCGTTCATCATTCTTGATCCTCCATACCATGTATCACATTTAACCACTTGTATTGTAATGCAATCATGTCGTGGCACTCTCTGACTCTTCTGATCATCAATGCATTAATTATTATTTGTATTCCTATTTTCATTTAATACTTGTACAACCATTATATATCCTACGCGTGGAGAGCTTTCATTTGCAGCATCACCACAAAACCATAGCCTCTTTTGGGAATTTGACAGAGAAAATGATCATTGCAATAAACACGGGTTCTTTCATCATCAACTAGCCGTTAGCAACAACCATCTTCAAGCTGAGCTCAACTTTACAATATGAACCTTCTTCGAGTACGCACGCTCCTCACAGTTTTCTGTTGTGCTGATCCAAAGAACGATGTGCGAAATGAGCCTTCATCATATCGTGAAGCGGAAGGATTTTGAAAAAAAATCATTTCGCAATTGCAAACTCTACAGAGAGGTAGGTGAAGATCATGATGACAACAGAGTGCAGTAATAATATTATAATGATTTGGTGTTTATACATTTGTTTGGCTCGTCGTAATGATGATGAAAATTCATATTGTTGATACATCCATTTCTTGGGTGTGAATGGTTCCATCCTTCTCTCTTGTGCATCTACTATTTGATCCGTGTGTGTTTTCATATCATTCCATTGAAACATCTTTGTTGTACTTCATCGACAATGTTTCAATTCTGGATTTATTTCTAAATATGGTCTTGGTTGATGTGCATTGTCCCAATTAATATTGAAACTGAACGAATGGTGCTGTTTCAACTCTCACACATTCCACTCTTTATTTCTCTCCACGTGTGTTGGTTCATCCGTGCTGTTCTTCTTCTTTTAAAATTAATGCCATCCTCCCATCCACTACTTTCTCGTTCGGAACTTCATTTTCTCTCTCTCCGATCATGATCCCTGCTACTACTACTACCATCCATTCCAAATTAACGATTTTTCCCTCAACCCTTTCAATCATGATGGCTTCTCTTACGTGTATTCTTTCTGTTACTTGGCTCATCATCTTGATGATCTCGGAATCAACCTCAACGAAATTTGTCATGGCCATTCATAACAATTCCACTACTTGTCATTTAAATGAATCTACAACTTCCACTCTTTCATGCCCGTGTTGTGGTTGTGTATTATCGTCGAATCTGCTTGCTCGAAATGTTGGTTTCCAAACAACCTTGTCACAATATTCTGACAATACCATTTTTAGAAATTATCAAGAACAACAACCACTAATACTAATGGAACCTCAAAATCATGTTTTTCTTCACAGTGCAGCCCTTAACAAGGACACTGCTTTTACCATTGAAGATCGAAAGAAATTTGGCTTGAGAGGTTTATTGCCACCTCGTGTGGAAACCATTACCCATCAATTAGTGAGAGCTTTACGACAATTTCGTTCTTTTAAGAATCCTTTGGATAAATATATTTATTTGATGAGTTTGCAGATGCGAAATCAGACCTTGTTTTTCAGATTGTTAGTGGACAATATGGTTGAAATGTTGCCTATTGGTAAGTGGTGTGAATGATTTTTTCATTTCATTAATTTTTTTTGCATTTGAATGTCAAAATGAATTCTTGACAACTTTTCAAACTGTCAAATGCTATACTACAGTCTACACACCAACGGTTGGTGATGCTTGTCTCCAATTTGATCAAATTTGGCGTGTTGCTCAAGGAATGTACATTTCTCTCGAAGATAAGGGATCCATTCCAGAAATTCTCAAAAACTGGAACAAGACACCTGACATTATTGTCGTCTCGGATGGTTCCAGAATTCTCGGTCTCGGAGATTTGGGTGCCAATGGAATGGGTATTCCAATTGGTAAACTCAATCTCTATGTTGCTGCAGCTGGTTTTCATCCAGAAAAAACTCTTCCAATTTTGATCGATGTTGGAACGAACAATGAAGGATTATTGGCTGATGAATTATACTTGGGATTGAGAAGAAAGAGAGTAAGAGGACCTGAATTTTATGAGCTCATGTCTGAATTTATGAGTAGTGTGAAAAAGCAATGGCCTAACTGTTTGGTACAATTTGAAGATTTTTCTAATGATGTTTGTTTTGATTTATTGGATCAATACAGAGATGTGCAATTGTGTTTCAATGACGATATTCAAGGAACTGGAGCTGTGATTGGTATGTTTTTGAATTTCAGAAATTTTTTGATGACTCTTTTTACTACAACGTTCACACAACAGTTGCTGGATTTTTGAATGCTGCCAAAATTACTGGTAAAAGAGCGTATCAACACAAATTACTTTTCATGGGAGCTGGTTCAGCTGCCACCGGAGTTGCCGATCAATGTTTCGGTGTCATGAAAATTCAAGCAGAACAAGATGGAGTTCCAAAAGAACAAATCGAAGCTGACTCTGAACATTGGGTTTATTTGGTAGATTCCAAAGGATTGGTCACACAAACTCGTTCTGATTACAATGACATGCCACACCATAAGAAAAAGTATGCCAAGAAGGGAGATGAAACTTTGGGTAATTTCCAATCCAATTCCTTGTTGGAAATTATTAGGAAAGTGAAACCTACTGCAATTATTGGATTGTGTGGTCAATCTGGAGTGTTCACAAAGGAAGTCATTGAGGAAGTTTCCAAATTGAATGAAAAACCAATTGTTTTCGCATTGTCCAATCCAACCAAGAATTCAGAATGCACTGCAAGAGAAGCTATTGAATATTCGGATGGAAGAGCAATCTTTGCATCTGGATCTCCATTTGATGATGTGGAATATAATGGAAAGACTTATCAACTCAGTCAAGGAAATAACTTGTATATTTTCCCTGCTCTTGGATTGGGAGCAGTGGTGTCGAGATCTCGTCATGTGACCGATCATATGATTTTGAGAGCTGCACAAACTTTGTCTGATCTCACCGATGAAGAAAGATTGCAAAAGGGTCTCTTGTATCCAAGTTTGACAAACATTAGACCTATTGCTCAAAAGATTGCTGTTGAAGTTGGAAAACAAAGTGTGAAAGAAGGAATGTCGCAATTGGATGCCAATGAAATTCCAAAAACTGATGAGGAATGGGCACAACTTGTGAATAGCTATGTTTACATGCCAGATTATGTTGATTCTAAATTGTAAATCTTAAGAGGTTCTTTTAAGGAGTTCATCATTAAAAACTTTCAATTTTCTTTCAGATTTAAAGCATAAATGTGGACGAATTTGCTAGTCAACCAGCACAACTCTTGAAAGTGAGCAACACAAGCTTGTTCATCATTCGTCTTATGGAGCTCGCAAACAAAGAATCATATTACTTCGCCTTACTTTTCTTTGAACTGGTGGTAGAGGAGTCGGCAGATTTTCGTTTTGTAGCTGGATTTTTCTTTTTCGAAGATTTTCTCGCCTCACGATACTCGTTCTCATCCTCATTTTGCTCCTCCATGTCGACATCACTATCATTATTTGCTGCTTTCTTTTTCTTTGATTTTTTCTTCTTTGGTTTCATGTCATCCTCTTGGTTGTCACCATCATTTTCATCGTCATCCGCCTCCTTTTTTGATTTTTTCTTCTTCTTCTTTTCTTCGCCAGCAACATCGATCTTGTGCTGGTCAATGATGAAAGATCGAACCTGAGAACGTTTGTAATTTGTCAACAGATTCACATTCAAATTTTTGGAAAGTAAAATTAAATTCTTTTCAGACGTTTCCATTCTAAAGACGAGTTCTGGAATATTTCTTGCTTCTCTAAGAGCTTTCATGGAGGAAACCTCTTCCTCACCATTATGATAATTAATAAATGAATAGCACGAGCTTGTAAAACGGCCACATTGATCAAGTAAGTCCACAAGTTCTTCAGGCAGCTCTGTATCTTTGGGAGCGTTTAAATATGTATCTGTAAATGATGCAATTAAGGTAAAATACTTGATGAGTGGAGTGAAGAGCTTGTCACTCACTTCAATTGGGAGAGTTGCACTCGCTAGCTTTTCAATGGAATCAATTAACACAGCAGCTTGATGAAAAATGCTGTGTTTCATGGTTTCGTATCCATCTAGCTCTTTCTTGATACTTTCCAATCGTTGGAACTTCCAATCTAAATCATCCACAATGACATTAAAATATGAAATCAAAACATCTGCTGATTCAGAAGGGCAATTAATTACAAGCATGTTAGAGACAGATGATACACCAGAATTTTCAAAGTGCCCAACTTTTCCAAGAACATCTGAAGCTATTTCATGAATCTTGGTCATGTCTGAAAATATGCATGCTATTAAGACCAGATGATTGATGAGAGCTCTTCCTAATTCCTTGTCTTCAAATTCTTTCGTTTTGCATATATCAGTAATCCACTGATAGTGACCTTCCTTTTCCAAAAACATTGTTTTGTTTCGCAATAAATGTGCCAGCGTAGTGAGAAGACGTATGAAACATGTTGCAGTCACATAGGACTTCTGTTGAATCATATTGGTAGCTATCTTTTGTAAGAATCTCATGAAATGACAAATTCGTTGATCATCATCCTCCATAGGGGGAGTGTTTTTTCCAACAGAGATAAATCCTTCTAAAAATTTAACAGCTTCTCTTTGGGTGCTTGACTGAAATTTCATTTTGATTAAATCCTCAAAGGATTCAGTAGCAAGAGCAGTAACTTTTTCTTTCTTTTCTGCTTCCTTGGTTTTAGATGAATCACTCTCGCTGCTGGTTTTAGAAACAACGTTTGACATTCTGATCAAAAACGAGTAAACAGAACGGCATAAATCGAGCATGTCCTTATCTTCAAGAGGCTGTTGTCCCTTTTTTGCCATTTTGATTTTCTTTGTTATCAGTTTGAAAATGTACATGTGAAATTTGCTATCTGTCAATGCATGATCATCTTTCTTCTCTTTGGATTTCTCAGTTTTTCTTGCAGCTTCCTCCAATATATTTTTACAAAATATAGAACTAAGTTCAGGAAGGAACTCTGTATAGTCAAATTTTTCAGTTGTTTTCTTTTTAGAAGCACTCTTCTTGGTTAAATTCTCCAACACCTTTGAATACTTTTCCCAACATTGGTCTATTATATCTGGAATTGAATTGTTGTTATCCTTATCATTAACCATAATCACTATTGCAAAGTAAAGTATAGATTCAATACAGCCTACGTAAAGAGTTGCTATCAACCTATTCTTTCTACCTTCGTGTGAATCATCAAAAGGAGAATCAATTCCAAAGTCAGAAAGTCCTTTATGAAGGAAAAACTGAATGAAGCCAAGAAGAATATCATAAATAGCTCCATCTTCTGGCGACGAACAATCAGCAATTAGCATTAATAAATCAGGTATTGGTTCAATAATGGTCATCGTCTTTGAATCAATGCAGCTATCTAAAAAGAAGCCATCAACTTCATTGTCATCGTTCATGGAGACGTACTTTTTAAATTGATCAATAGCCACTGGACATATCTCTTTCAGAACGTAAGGTTTTTTCTGTACAACACGAGAAAGGCCACGGTAGAGTGCTTGTCTTATAGGTGTTTGCATACTGAGACATCTTCGTAAAAAACCAATAATTTCCAAATCTACAGAGCTTGGTTTTGAATGATTGGAGCTGCTACTACTACTACTGCTGCTGCTACTTCCTACATTTCTATGAGAGCTCACATCATCTAATTCACCATAAGAAAGTAAAATTTGTAAAAAACCGCTTAGAGCCACTTGTCTAGAATCCAACTCTCGATTGTACATGGATTTTCGAAGAACGAGAACTACTTGATCCTGAAATTCTTGACTGGTCTTATAGAGTGGCTGTACTGCAGCGAGGAGAGCTTTAGCAATGTCCGTTGGCATGGTAGAAAGATACTCAATGGTCTCCTTCAGCTTGGAAATATGATCCAAGAGGCACGATGTTTGGTTCAAAGCAAGGCTTGTCAATAATTCGATATACTTTTCAATATTACCATAATTTGTCACCACACGATTGAATATCCTCGATAGGATGTCTGATCGAACTACATGATTGATCTCGAAAATTTTGCCCAAAATTTCTAAACCTAGCGAGTGAGGATGCAATGCTTGAGTACTTAATGTTACCGCCGTAGCATCTTCGGTCTTTGGTTTTTTTGAGTCCAGTAAATAGCATGCAAAATCAACTACAGATTTCACCATAAAATCTCGCCCTCTTCCACACTTTTTGACGGTGTCCATAATGACTTTGCTTGAGGTAGCACTGATTGTTAATGACGTTTGTTCCTCTTCTGTAATGAAAATTCGAGACTTTGAAGAATGTCTGTAGTCTTCCTCAACCAGTGACTTTAACAGCTTGAATGTTTTTTCTTCGAAATTTGTCAAACTTGAAATAATCAACAGAAATGAGACTTTGAAAGTATTAAGAGCTGAACTTGGCTCATTCTTGATAAGCTTCAACATTTCAGAGGCTAAATCTTGATTTTGTTTAGTGGCATAATCTATGAAATGCAGAACAGTTCCCTCTAAATTGAGAATAGAATCTTCGTTGTAACCAAGTGAATTTCTTCTCTTTTCTTTTTCGATACTGTCAAAATATGAAATAATGCCTTGCAAGATTTTTTGTTTCTTTCCTCTTGAGGAGAGTAGTAGCAATTGATAGATGAGAGGAGCTGAATCGTTGAGATTCATTTTTTGAAGATAGCATAGTAACTTGTCCAATACAATATCCAACTCTACTTCCGTTAATGGCATATCTTTGAAAGCATTGGCAAAGGCAAGTACCTTTTGAGACCAATCGCAAGAACAAATGTCCTTGATGACGGTCGTCTTGTACTCGTCTGTTTTTTTCTTTTTCTTTGATTTTGCATTGATTTCAATTTCATCTTTTGACATGACTGTAGAAATGCATTGGGACCATACATCCAGTACGAGTCCTGCACTATTCTCAACAACATTGTCAAAATTGTGGGATCCATTCACAGGAGAAAATTCGTCAAATGCACAGGAGCCATCCTTGAATAATTTGTAAATTACTTGAATGAGTGAAATCAGCATGTTATCAGGTATATAGTCCAGTTCTTCATAAATGATAAAAAGCCCATTCTTTGCAACTCTTCCTTCAATTCTTCCTTCAAACATCCAACTCACCAAACATTTCAAAATAAATGTTCGTTCACGAGCTAATTTTTCAATATCAGAAGAAAACGAAGAGCCAGAACTGGAAGATCCTCCAGAAGAGCCATTCAAATGATACGATGCTTCGGAATCATTCAAATTTCTACAAGCCAAGAAATATGTCTGTACGAAACTGAACAAGGAATCAAAATCAGATTTTGCCATATATTGGGAGAGAATGAGTTTGAGTTCTTTCAAAGACTTGTTCAGTTTGTTATCGTCCAAATATTTGTACAATTTTGCTACATGCTGATTGGTTAGATTGGATCCCGAAGGGATTTTTTGTTTCAACTCTAACAAGCCTTTCGCAATCTTCATCAATTCCTTTACATCCCGAGCAAGTGTTTCGGAATGTGATGATGATGCAGATGAATTTTTAGATGTATGTTGTGCTTTTGATTGAACGGAAGAAGGATGATGATCTTCTTCCTCATCAATCATATCGACAGTGGAGTCGTCATCGTCCATAACAGGCGAGCTTGAAGGCATTTTTTTTGGTGTGCACTTCCAACTTTCACAGGAAGTGAAAAAATGTTTAATGCACAGCTTTGTGATTTTTTACAAAAGAAATCCTGTTGGGCTCACAATAGTCAATATTATTCTGAAAGAGCTTGGCCCCAACCTTACTTTCTTTGCAGCATCTGTTTAAACATTTCCTCTTTGGTTTGTCCTTTTGGAGGTAAAAGCCAACTCAAATCAAAGTGACTCCAACCAGAGACACCGCTTCCACCACTCAATACATCTCTCAAAATACTTGCGGCAGCCACTTCATAAGGTGTCAAGCCGAGGCCATTTACCACGTCAGTTCTGCCATTGTATTCTTGTACCAATCGTTTACCAACAATGAATAAAGTATCAACACTTTGATAGCAAGCAAAGTGGAGTGGGGTGTTGAGTTCATTGTTCATCATGTTGACAAGCTTTGGTTGTTTCTTCAACATGATAGAATAAAGTTCTTGATAAGTGAATAATTGCATCACAGAAAGGTGGAGTGCATTATTACCATTTGTATCTTGGAACAATAATTGTTCTGGGCTTAATCGTTCAAGAACAGTGAGGACAACGCTATTAGGCACGCTGGCTGAGACGAGTAGGTAGTGGAAAAGAGTAACCTCAAGGGTATCCATCTCTGTGTCAATAATGGTATTGTCAAGTTCAGCAATGGAGAATGTGTGATCCAATGGAAGTCCTTGTTCATAAATCATTCTTAAAGCCTGCTTTCTTCTGCTGAACTTCAATTGAAGTGCTTTGGAATTGACAATGTCAACCTTGTCTACACCAGAGGATGTGTATTTGTAGGATGGTAATGAGAGCGCATAGCTATCATTTTGGCTATATCTATTTGTTATTTGCATGCGAGTAGTCTTGTCGAAAACTTGATTAAAGTCCTTGATCGAATGCCCCAATGTCAAGATGGTGTCAAATTTCTTCAAATCTCGGTCTGACACTGCAGTAATCAACAAGACAAAGAGCTTATCTGGGGTTAATTGAAGAACTTGACTTTCAAAAGTAGCCACATCTTTCTTTGGTCGAGTAATGTAAGTAAAGAATAGCTGAAGATTTCTCTTGGTTTGATCGTCCTCAGTTTCGCACTTCTCCAAAAGTTGGAAGTCTTGTTGAGAGCACTCAGTTTCTACTTGCTCCAACAACTGTTCCATGTCTCCACTGTAGTTGAATTTGCATTTGGTGAGCAAAAAGTCAATAAATGATTTCTTGTCCATGTTCTCATAAAACATCTTGGCCATAAAAAGCTCTGTAAGGGCTGCGCAAGATTCTCCTTCAGTACTGTTATTTCCGAGCCGACCACAACTCAATTGAGCACCCAACATTAATTCTTCGAATACTCTATTATCCTTCAAGAAATCCCATCCATAATACATTAAGGTCATCAACCAAGTAAATGTGGAATCACCAGAGATATTTTCTAGACCTAACAAACGGCCATCGTTGCTGTTGGCAAGGTAAACCAAATACTCTTCAAGGATACGTTTCTCTTCAGTGAAATCATAGGAAAACGTATCAATGGCATTCAATGGAAGCTTGCGATCATTCAATAATGTGTCGATAAAGGCCTTCTTTTGAGCAATTGGGAAACCGTTGGATTGAGTAAGAAGGAAGTTGGATATTGGCAACTTTTCGAAAATCAATCCCGAATGTTCAAGGAATGTATTCAAAAGATCCTTGGTCATTTGACACATCAACATGATTCTGAGAGTGAGAGTTGGTGAGCTAGAAGGCACAGCGTCTTCCTCAACTACAGGAAGTTTTGGATTGAATAGGACATTATTCAAACCTCCTTCCTCATCTTGTTGATAAGAAACGTCATTACCAGCTTTCCAATTCACTTCTTTTTGAGGCTTTCCTTCTGCCAACATGATGATTTTTTTGAAACGTTTCTGGAAATATTCGGCACTAAATTCACCCACACACGAATTGCATACAGTGTTCACTTGAGCACCAACAGTGCTGTTTTCTCTGGTCTTTGCAGAGATTCTGAGATCGGTTACGTTAGGTGTGAAATTGGAGAATAAGAATGTCTCTGGAGAAAGTGTGTAAATGTAATCACCATAAAAGTATAAATTCACACGAGAAACAGTGTTTCCAAGAGAAGAGAAAATATAGTTTTTCTTTGCTTCATCCATTTTGGCGAAAATATTCAAGCCTTTAAGGGCACATGGATCTTTTGTTGGAGAATCATAATTGCTCTACATGATTTTCCATTATGAATTTCAAGTATACGATAAGGTAAACAATCATGACAAATCGAATACTTACCGATGAGGGGTAGTAGGAACGATCATTGCTGAAAATAACTAACAATTGGTCAAACGTAAAGTTAACAAAAGACAACTCTTGAATTCCACATGTTGAGGTAAATGTAGCATTCTCTTTGATAGTGACATCTTTTGGTACTTCCTTTCCATTTTCAAGTAAAATATGAAGTAACAAGTTGTTGAAAGAATTGCAATAAGTCAAGTTCACTAAAGTCAAAGAACGGAAGATTTGATAGTTGTCAGCATAAAAATCGCTATTGAATAAGGCTGGAAGTATTGTGCGTAATTTGAGTCTCAAAAGAGCACACAAGTATGTCTCATACGAATAAATTGGAGCAATGGTTTGATAGAAAGTGCTCAATGATGAGTAGGTTTCGTATCTATACACTGCTGGTATATCTCCTGCCTTATGGAAAAATTGGTTGTACAATTCTCTTGGATTAACGACCTATCGATTGAGCAGAAAATATCATGATAGGTAACATTGTCACAATTTGGTTATCAGCAAAAATGGTGATATTGATACGTACTTTCAAGTCATTGTTTTCAAAATCAACTTTAAATTCTCCATCTACATTCATGAATGAGACACATATGTGTGGTTTTCAAACTAAACTTACCTTCAACTTGTAAACCGTTGAACTTCTTGGCCATTTGCTTTTGGATTCTCTGGTACTCCAAATCTTGTTTTTGAGAAGAGTTGAGAAATAATCTGTTGAATGAAATATTGGTGGAGAGGGTGTTCGAAGTGGCTCTTGTGTCGATTTCGTTCATGAGAGTTTCCTCGGTTACTTCTTCATCCTCTTCATTATCTGCAGTCGCATTATCCTTTGCATCGAAAAAACCATTATCTTGTTCAGTAGTGATGTCATCATCTTGCATGAGACCCTTATTGGCAACAGCCATCTTGCTTTCGTCATCAATGAGGTCCAAAGTTTCAGAAGTGACGCCAACATCTTCTCTTAGATTCACACTGAGACTGCCATCATTCAAGGCATCTTGAGATAGATTTTCGTCATGCTCAACTTTTTTGCTTGTTGCATCTGACTCGGTATCTTGCTCAGTGGTAGAAGCTTCCTTGTTGTTCGTTTCCTTTCCATCTTCCTCTTCATCTTCACTATCGGAATCTATTAAACTTTGATAGTAATTCATTCTGTAGTATGGAATGGAACCATTCAATACAAAGGTACCCAAATCCATATCAGTTTTCAATCTATACAGCTCATTCCAGCATGACTTTAAGCAATTGAATACCTTAGGGAACTCATTATAAATGCTTGTATGCTCAAAGTCAAGAACTTTTTTAGCCAAATACAGCTTCTTGGTGTGGATAAAGCACAACAAATAAGCCATCTTTGACATGAAGGAGTTGAAATCTCCCTCTATTTCCATTTGATTTGTTCTTTGATTGTACAAATGCATAAACATGTTTGCCATGTTCAATTCATCACAACCATTATGTGATGACATTAAATAATGTTGCATTCTGACATTAAAACTCTTGGAAATGAGACGATATTTGTGATAAGTGACCAAAAGAGGATCTCGCCTAATACTGTAGACTGTTGATTCCTCTCCACCAAAGTAAGTGCTGAACAATTTCTTGTGAGGGTAGTCGCGTCTGTTGCTGACCTCAGTATAGGTTGGAAGCATGCAAATAATGTGGAATTTTAACTCAAAATCAAAATGTTCTCTAATCAAAAAGCACAATGACTCGAGTTCTTGTTCTTCCTTACTGTCGGTGGCAGAGGAAGCACCAGTCAGTTTGGCTTGTTTTCTTTGTTTCTTGTCTCGATCGACCCAAATTCGTGCCAATGGTGTCAATTTATCTCCTTTGGCAGCAGTGAAATCGTAACCAGCAGAGTACTTGTTATTTTCGACCTAAAAACAATGTTTTTTGAAATTATTGATTTCATAATTCAATCGTTATGATTCAACGACATTATAAAGTTTTCACATGAATTCACACAACAACAGACCAACAACAACATACAGCTTTTGCTTTTGGCATCTTGCCAAAGCCATTGTTATAGTAAGAGCTCAAGTAATTTTCATAATCTTTCTTTTCTTCTCTGAGCTGTGGTGTTACGACTATCATCGGATGAACACACAATGAACTTCCCAATATTAATCATCATACGTGAATATATTCACATTCAACAAGTTTCAAAATGATGAGAATCATCAATATAACATGATGATCCAATCACTCAAATTACTTACTCTCCTTACTACCGTCCAATTCAGCATCCTGGTTCTGCTCTTCGGCTTCTCTTTCCTTTCTGAAATAGCCAATACGATCATGAATAAACTCCAACCAATTGGTGGTGTTGGTGAGATTGAGCATAAACGGACCGTTCATGATGATGATCAAGAAATGATGAGGGTGAGAGATTCGCTTTTTTTCGAGATGGAAGCCTTTTATTTACATCATCATGACCAACACAAGATCTCTTCATAAGGAAGATGATAGGAACTTCAAAGTTGATTACAAAGCAACCACCTGTGTGGTGTATGTACTGTAATGCGTACTAAACCATCAAATTAGATGACGTAATTTAATTGATCAATGATTGCCTGCATCATCACGAACAAACTCACATTTTTCATCACAACCGTTTCACCCCCATGAACAACACTTTCTCTTACAAAAAATGTCAGAATCCGATCGATCATCATCCACTCCTTCTTTCCAAAATCATCATCAACAATTTAATACCGAGTTAGCTCCAAAAGCGATCGGCCCATATTCTCAGGCTTGTATTTTCAATGAACGATTGATTTTTGTGAGTGGACAAATTGGATTAGATCCACAAACAGGTCAATTGGTGTCTGGAGGTCCAACAACCCATGAGAATGATGAAATAGAAACAGTGAAGGCTCAAACACATCAAACTTTGAAAAATTTAGGAAATGTTTTGAATGAAGCTGGATCAGGATTTAGTCATGTCGTAAAAACCACAGTGTTATTGACCACTATGGATCACTTTGCGGAAGGTAAGCTTTGGGTTTTTTGTTTTTGAATAATAATATATTTCTTTTTATGTTTGTCAATGATGATGAATATTACTGATCGATCAATTGATGGGAAATTCATAAAATTCATTCAAATGGATGACATGAATAGTGAACAAGATTTATGAGCAATATTTTGTTGATAACAAACCTGCACGTGCCTGCTTTGCAGTCAAACAATTACCAAGAAATGCTCTTGTTGAAATTGAGGCAATTGCCTATAAGAAATAGACTCTTATGCATAGACATGTCATGCAAACACAGGTCATACATATTCACAAAGCTCCAGATTAATTTATTCAAGTACCTAATTGATAGAAATGCGAGTTTTAGTATAAAATCTGAAAGTATAAAATTGATAGTCACAAAGCGACCATCTTTTTAAACCCACAATGAGTTGTGTGATTACTTTACTGCACATCCTCTCTGAATGAATGCCAATCAATTTTAAGTGTTGGATCTTTGGATTTGTATAATTCTCGAGAATAATTTGTCATGTAAGGAGGTTGCAATCCTTTGAATTTATGTTCATGATAATTATCATATCTGAATTTATTCGCATTATAGTTGAAGTGATACGTTTCCATCATGCCAAACATGAAGAACCCAAAGGTTGAAAGGCCAAGTAAGAATGGAAATTTCCACTTGATAAGCAAGTCTCGGGATATCCCGTGAAAATGCATCTTGTGATCGTTGGTCACCATCTTGTTGATGTTTTTTGTTAGAAAATTTTGTATTGCTGTCGTTGAATTTAATGATTATGAATCATTTCAAGAAATATTCCAAGTTTGGAATTTTTCTTCGAATTGTGTCACTTGTGACGTGAGAACAAATCGAAGACCCATTTAACAATCCTTAATGGAATATTCTTTGGGTGTGTTCTGCACAAGTAAGTCAAGCACTCGGCACAACTAATGCCCTTAAAAAAATGAACTCCCTTACTTGAACGTGGCATGAAAAAACCAAGATTGAGCAGAAAAGTAAAATGCAGCAGCAGCAACCACAATGCTACCTCCCAAAAAGAATGCTTTTGATAATTGCTGTTGTTGAGCCTTTCTTCTCTTTTCTGCTTCCTCTCTCTCCTTTTCCTCACGCAGTAATCGTTCCTCTTCTTCATCTCTCCAATAATCAGCGACCGATTCATGATAATTTGAAAAGTCTTCACACTCACATAAATAAGAAAATGGGAATGGATTGGTGAACTCTTCAGGAGAGCACAAATTTCGGTAATCATGATGCTTCCAAAGATTGAGCGCTCGTTTCACCACTCGTTCCAACCATTTTGGAGTAATATTCTTTGGAAACCTATTTAACAAGCCAAATATCACAGTAAATTCAATGTAATTAATGTCATCGTCGTCTTCATCTGCCGAGAATGGAAAATCAATTTCAGTTCTTCCTCCAGACACGGCTGCTAACTTTTGACGAACTGTTGTTGCAGAACCTCCTTCTTTTAAAATTAATAATTCTTCTCTTCGCTCAATAACTACACTTGCAGCAACATACACCACAAAGAATGGGTTTCCAACAGCCAAAAATACGTCAAATAACGTTTGTACAAGGAAAAGGCTTGGGACTGTGGATGTAACTGAAAATTAATACGAGTCATCACATGGACAAAATTCATGGATAACTTTGGTCCAAAATTACATAAATTAGAAAAAAACCTACAATTTTCAGAGGCAATATTCGTCGTGCTGTACGGCGAGTCTTCATGGTCCTCTCCACAATCCTGTTCAATAACATGCGCAAACCATGTTAAAATCCAACTCAGTGCATAATGACCCTGATCCATTCCACTGTCTCTCAAAATTTCACAAATGTCATGATGACCACTCTCTTCCAAAATTGTGATTATCATTGCACATTTTCTGATGACTTCATCTAAATTAGGAGAATGCATAGAGTCGTAAAAATGGTTGGTTGCGAGTCGATAGCAACATCTAAACGTTGTTTCTAAATTGTCCTGGAATGTCAAAAGCATAACTGAACAAATTTCGTGAAAACCTTGAAAATAGTAGAGTGGAACAATTTCTTCTGAAAAATTGGAATTTTCAGCTTGATCTTGGAATCGTTTGTACAGTTGGAGGATTGAATTGACGACCAAGCTTAAATTTCTTCTCTTGTAACTCAGCTCAAGATTCATGGTTTTTGATCCTGTATGTTTCGAGACACCTCCATTCAAACTGCTGCTGCTGCTGGCATTCGAAGTATTCACATAAATGACTTGATTGTTGTATTTGCCAAAGAATGGAGCTAAAAATTTGAACATTGACCTCTCCACATCCTTTTCTACTTGTTCATATTGTTCGTGTTGCTTGTCAATTTTCTTGATGATATGAAAAACTGAACTTTTATCTCTACATAAATGATCCGAGTCATGCAATAGAAGAGGCCAAATAAATTGACGGAGTGAGTCTTTGATACATCCAAGATTGGTTTCATAATCTCCAGATCCGAGTGTGATGGGAGACGAGAGAATAAGTCTTCTCAATTTATGTAGCAGCTGAGTGAATGATTGTTTATCTTCATCTTCATTTTCACCAATTGGATCATCATTTATGGAGTGGGATGAAATTTCCGATGATGTTCCTGTTGTTGATCCGTTACGATTCATCCTTTCCGCTTGATCCAGTAGCCTTCTATAATATGTATGTTGTTGAATCTCTTTAATCATTTGTTCCAATTTAACGGTTTTTGAATTTCTAGAATATACATTTCCCGAAACAACATTACTAGAAAATGTTGAATGAGTGGACGGTGATGGTGATGTTGTTGTAGGCGACGATGATCCAAAGGATGAATCTAAAAACATGTTGGAATCCGAAGTGGTTGGATGTTGTCTCTCTTCTTGCTCAACGGTACGACCTTCCCTATTCGTATTGGATGATCTTCGCATTTTTTTTGTAACACTTTTCCAAATTCATTCGGGCATCGAATGAGCTTACACTTTGGTACAAACTTTAAACGTGTCCTCCTCATATATTACAATCTCTTTCGTCCAATCAATGTTGTGTCTCATAGAATTCTTTGAAATCAACTGGGATGTTTTTTTTTTGCAGAACGAATCAAAAAAAATGTTATTGTGATTTTCGAAAAAGTGCGAATAAAAAATCGACGATTTTTTCGCGATTTTTTTCGAGATCGAAATGAGCGACATTGATGCGTTGTCGTTTTGACTTGATGTTGATTAACATCGAAATCCTTCAAAATCGATTTCGATCAAACTCGAAATTTATTAAGTTTTTGTCTCATCATGCCAGATTTCCTTGCAATGATGAACAAACGATTTGATTAACTTGGGTGTAACTTGATCAAACACCTGCTCCATTATCTCTTCGAGAGAGTCAACCGAATGTTCATAGTTTTTCAACTGTGTTTTCATCCATCCGAAAAGCAATTCAATGGGATTGAAGTCAGGAGAGTATGGGCTTTGCCAAAACACACTAATACCTTGGCCATTCATTATTCTATGAACTTCTTTTTCCTTATGAATGGATGCGTTGTCAAGAACTAAAATACAATCTTTTGGGATCAATTTGCTCAATGTTGTCAGAAATATATTAAATCGATCAGCATCAATTGCTTTGTTAGTTGTATCGACAAGTTCCCAGTAAACCAAACCTCCTCTCTCGTTAATGCATGCCAATAATGAAAAACGTTTTCCACTCACTCTGTGCGCACTGTTTTGACAAGTGTTGCCAATTTTGATGTGAGCCCTTGTTCTAATCAAATGGTCATAACAGAAATGCGATTCGTCAATAAAAAACATGATTCTTGTTTTGTAGGTTCGAATAGTTCGCCTGTACACAGTCCTTTGAGATTGTACTCTTGGGCTTTTTCGATATACTGATACTTTTTCACATTTCTTATATGTCCTGAACAAATATTTTGTCGTTATTTTGGAGAGCTGAGATATGGAAATTGAAACATCAAGATAATCTTTAACTATTTGACGTACTTCTGCATAATTAACAGTATTATATTCACTGAATATGATATCAATAAATCTTAACACAGAGAGGTGGGTTGATTTACCTGAATGTGGAGGCCTTCCGAGAGCTTTTTCTTTTTGTATTTCATTGCAATATTTGTAAATCGTTGAAGGTGCGAAAGGTAAAATTTGTTGCAAGACCTTTGGTTTATCTCCATACTTTCCACACACCAATTTAATGAACTCAATTTGTTCTGGGGCTAATTTTTGACCTTGGATATATGGTCTTAGTTTTTGAGATATTTGGACACCTGTTTTTTGTTTGAAAACTCGTCTTTCATCGTTTGTGAATCGATGTTGCGTTGCTTTTACCATGTGGAAATCGATTTTTTCGAGCAAAATTGATAAGAAATTGTTGAGAAAAACAATTCTGCTCGATTATGTTGAATTGTTTAATGTTGTCATATCGAAAATGTTGAATTGAACGACGTTGATTTGCTTTGGAATAAAAAAAACTCAACGGCGTCTTGTTTTTTGTGCGATTGTGTCAACGTCAAAAAACAATAACAACGGTTTTCTCACTGAAAAAAAATGGGCAAAGACAAAACAAAGTGGAACACGTTTGATCGTTTTTGCGAAATACTCGCAACCACATTACCTATTTGTTCAAATGAGCTCTATTCTCATGGAATGACAAATTCAAAAGCAGCAAGCAAAGTTTTCAAGAAGCTCCAATTAGAAACAAAAAAAAATACAAATTTCACATTTCCTACTGCTAAAGGTTCAAGAAAATACAAAGATGGTTTACCAGCAACATGCAACGCCCCAAAAGATGACAAACGTGTGAAAGATTTTTTTGATACTTTCATTCAAGAAAACAAGAAATGGATTGTTAACGAGATTGAAAAAGAGATTTCTGCTCACTCCAACAAAAAACAATCATTGGCTTCACAAATTCAAGGTGACAGTAGTGACAGCGAATCAGAACATTCAGATCGAAAGACATGGAAGAAAATAATTCAAAAGTTATTGCAGATCAATTATTGAAAATTCAGAAAGAAAAGGAGGAGTTACTTGAGAGATTTAAAAAACAAGAAGAAGATATTGCTAAACAAGAGGAACAGTATGTAAAACCTTTGACCAAATTGGTGAATGAAGTTGCAAAATTGATTGAGGTAAAGAAAGAGAAGATTAGACAAAAAGAGGAAGAGGAGAAAAATCAAATAGAAGCAAATTATCAGAGTTTATTTGATTAAAGGTTCTTCATGATCGATTTTTTCAACTCTGACGATCAAGAAAATCGATTCAGGTCGATCATAATTGATTTTTTCGATTTTGGACGAAAAACATCGACGTTGAGAAATGAATCGTGTTGAGGTAATCGATTCAGGTCGATCGTAATCGATTTTTTCGACTTTGCACGAATAGCATCAACATCGTATCTCGTCAACATCAAGCAAAATCGTTTTCGGGAAGAAACGTCCAAAAAATGATGGTTGACCGAATTTGAGCAAGTCGTTTTCGATTTTACTCGATTTTTTTTCGCACTTTTTCGAAAATCACAATACCCAGCAATCTTTTTCTTCGTGGAGTTTTATTTGTGTTGGTCGCCTTTTTGTCCTTCTATTTGGCATTCAGGGTTCCTATTGAGCGAGTACCAAATGAAATGATTCAAATTCTTTTGAAACATTCTCATGAACGTGGCTATGAACGAGTGGAATTCTATTTACGAGCCATACAGAATTTTACATTCCCGATGATGATGGAAAACTCCAATCCCGATCATCATCCACCAACCATGAATGAAAGCAAAACATCCAACAATTCAACATCCCTTCTCATCTCTAAATTCTTGAGCAATAACAATACCCAATGCCATCAAGAACTCGTGAAACATATCATTGCTTTGAACTATGCCTCGGAATTTTACTCTAGTTTATTATCCAATGCTGCATCTCAAACGGAGCATGAACAAAAGGCTTCTCGTATCGTGCAGGACCTCACTGCCGAGTATTCGAACTCTACCTCTGATAAGTGTGGTAACAATCATACAATACCATTGTGGAGCTTGGGAATTCAATTGAAATCGAGAGAAGAGTTGATAAGTAAGAGAGAACAGTTTCTCATGAGCAGTGAGCTCATTGAAAAAATAGAAAACGTAATTGAGGATGAAGTGAACTCAAATTCAGATACTGAACCTTATTGTGCCAAAACCATGGTGGAAGTATTGATTGCGAGGGAAGTTTTGATTTCAATTTCGAAAGCTTATGCAATTCCTGGTGTGGAGAAAGGTGTCAACTTTTACTTGAGCCTCAAGTTGAGGGCACATTGCTCACGATCGAGCTCCCTTATCAAAAAATCACACAATATGTTGAAAGAGTATCCACAAATATCAGAGGAGATTACGAACGATTTATACTCTCTGTTCAAAGTCAGTGAAAAATTGGAGACAATCAATTCAATAACACCACAAGGCAAGAATATTTTACTCAAACTCTCTAACGATCGACTTACAAATAACAAAATTGAGGAGCAATTACAGGACATTGCTAACTTGAACATGCAAATAGAACAACTGAAACATCAAAATGAAATGCAAATGGCGAGTGCTCTAGAGACAGAATCATCATTGAAAATTACGATTCTATCCAAGAATGAGGAAATTACTTTATTGAACAAACAATTGTTGGATAAGGAAGTTAAAATTTCAAATCACAAAGAGAAAATCTCAGAGCTTGAAGAGAAAGTACACTCGTTGAACGAGACTGTCGAATCTAACAAAATTACAAATTCAATACTGCTAAAGAATTTGACACTGCTTGAAGATTATTTACAAACCCTAAATATCACAACCATCAGCATTATCGAAAAGAAAGATCAGCAAATCAAGGAAATGCTTCTTGTGAAAACAATGCAAGAAGACACAATTACGAAGTTGCAAAATGATTTAAAAATTGAAGAACAACGAAAAGTCTCACAGCAAAATGCTCTTCAAGAAGAAATCAAAAAGCAAGCAGATTTGATAGAAGGTCTTCAAAAGGAGATTACTCATCTAAAACATGAGAAATCTGAACAATTCGAGCAGATTGAAACTTTGAAACAAACAACATTGCGTGTAGTAATGACTGAAAAGGAAGAAATACAGAAACATTCGGCTCAATTACAGCAAACTGCTCAATACATTGCGCAGATTTCTAACTACATGGGACAGTTTAATGAGACCATCAACGAAGAGAATGAAAAAATCAAAGGCCAACTCAAAGTGTTCCTAGATCAATTGGAAAAGAAACAACAATGCCAGAAAACAACAAGAGAATTAACCAAAAAGTTGCATCATGTGGAATTGGAGCAACGTGAATGTTTTTCTGCCTTGAGCTTGTGTCGTGAAGAAAGGACAAAAATCATTCAAGACAAACAAGTGGAAAAGTTAATCCTTAAACTAACCTCTCTGGAGAAACGAATTGAATTTTTGAGCAATGAAAAGCAAGAATTAATTTTACGAGTTGGAGAATGTTCATCTAATGTTACAGAGTTGGAAAAACTCTTCAAAGAGTGCTCAGACAAATCGACCACACTATCATCCATCCTCATTGAAACCAAACTTGAGCATGTGGAAGAAGAAAAGATATGTAAAAACAATGTAGAGCAATTGGAATTCAAGCTCAACGAGACATTGACAGAAATGAACAAGATACTTTCACAGAATAGTGATGAAAATTCTAACCTTGTACAAGAAATTTCCAACCTTACAAGCCATCTCCAGGAATGCCAATTGACAACACAACAACTCACTACTCAGAACAGTAATTTGACTCTCACCCTTCAAGAACTAACTCTCTCATTCCAAGAGCTGGAAAAACAAAATCTTGAATTGGCTTCCGCCCATGCACGAAAGCTGATTTTGGAAGAAGATTCTGATATTAGTTCTCAAATTCATTCACCCGAATCTGTGGATCCACAAGTTCATTCAAAAGAACCAGAAATCGTAGTGCCAGAGTCATCACACCACACAACGAATGAGGATCCAATCATTCATGAAGACCATGAAGGAGATAATCTCACAATAACCAAAAAGGAAGAGGAACTGCAATCTTCAACAGCCACGAACGAAACTCATGAAGAAAGTGATAGTGTTACCTCCACTCCAACACCAACGTTGGAAGAGTCATCTCCTCAAAACAATCCTTAAACAATCCATTCTTTGTTGTATCCATGGTATTGTCCTCTTTCACATGAGACGAACTGTAGTTGTGCTTGTGAAATCCAATTGACATTGATTTTGAAATTATGCGCACTCCCTTCGTTCGAGGATAACCAAAAATCAACTCTCGCACTCATCGCATGAAGGACTTGCTAAAATAATTCACTAGGGCGATTATTGCGCTCCATCAAAGTCCAAACTTGAACTTTTGATTGTGTTTGAAAAAACAAAACAAAAACGATTGTTTTCAGAGAGAGAGATTCAATTAGAGAGTGAGGATCCACCCACAACATGTCCGCAACAGAAAGCACCACCAGCATAACAACAACCACCGACACGACGTTGTTACTTGTCTCCTATGATCTATGGTCTCTTGTCTTGACCTTTGGTGTGGCTCTGATCATATTCTACGTGTTAAAAATCATTGTGAATTTGAGAAGAAACATTGCAAAAGGAAAAGACATTCCGGGATATTGGCAAATTCTCAATGAAGGACTTGTTCGAATTCCTATTCTTTCACCGTACATTGCCCATGGCAATTCCGATGTGGTGATTCGATTGATGCGACAAGAACAAGAAAAACACAAAAACGACAATGACAACTCTCAACAATTGTGTGTTCGAGTCACGACTCCACACCGAAACAACATTATCATTGCCGATAAAGATTCAGTCAAGGAAGTACTACTCACCAAAGCGTCGAGCTTTGTAAAACCAGTAGATGCCTTCTATGAACCATTTAACATCTTTTCCAAGACAGCAAGTTCGATTTTGACAGCTCCCGACGGACCTGTGTGGAAGAATCATCATGTAGTCGTCTCTCCTTCATTTTCTACAAATAATTTGAGATATATGTGTGAATCGGCAATCAAAGCAACAGATGCATTGTTTAAAACAAAATGGGAGAAATTGTTGGACAAGTCATCTGAGACAATTACTGTAAAAGGTAATCGTGGAGAGCAAAAGAAGGGTTTTGTGTTGGATTTGGAGGATTATTCAGATGTCACTTTGGCAGTCATTGGTGAAGCAGGTTTTGGTATTGACTTTGGAATTTTCTCTGAAACTTCAAATGATGGAAAGAAATTTAGAGAAGCTCTGACCAATGTCATCAAGCACGATTATTATCAACGATTCTTCTTTGGACAGGGACTTGTTCGAAAACTGTTAGCTCGTTACACTGAAACTGATAAGGCTCTAGCATTAATGAGCGAACATTTGAATCGATACATTTCACAGAGACAAGAAGAATTCAAACAAGATCCAGAGAAATCGTTGAATGATTTATTGTCACAATTAGTGAAGGCAAATATGGAAGAGTTATCGAATCACAAATTGACATTGGATGAGTTGAAGAGTAATGCATATATTTTTGTCATTGCAGGACATGAAACAACAAGGTAAGTAATATTTTGTGCACATTTTGTGAATAAGAGTTTACTAATTTTTTACTAATTGTAATTTTCAATTCAGTACAACATTACAATGGCTCATGTATGAATTGTCAAAGAATCAAAAAGCTCAAGAAAAAGCAAGAGAAGAAGCGTTAAGAATAGGTGGACCTGAGTTGAGAGCTCCTAACTTTGAAGATTATGCAAACATGGAGTATATTCATGCTACCATGATGGAATCTCTTCGATTGGTATGTTTTTTAAAGTTATGGAAATTATTGTTTACATTGTCACTCTATGAATTTTCAAAATTAGCACCCTCCTGTTGTTTCAATTGTTAAAGAATGTTGCAAGACCACCAAAGTTGGCAAGTACACCATTCCAAAAGGTTCAACCATGTATCTCGATGCCAAGGCATGTCACACCTTGTCTCCTGATTTCAATAATGAAACTTATAAGGGAACAGATTTTGCACCCGAACGATTCCTCGATAAGGATTTCAAACAAAAGGTCATTTCAAGCGTTAGTTGGTTCCCATTTTCAGGAGGTATGTCTTTCCTTATGATCATTATTCAAGCCAATATTTAATATTTAATTTTGAAATAATTATTCGGATATTGTATTGTTGCAGGTAACCGGTAAGTACAATAATTGAACTTGATCACATTAATCAACATTTCATAATTAGAAAATGCATTGGCTACTCGTTCAGTCAAATTGAAACTTGCATGATCTTGTGTCGTCTTTTACAGTTTTATGAATTCACATTATTGAACGATGAAAGTAAGAAGGAGGATGTAGTTGTGGATGTTCCTGGCATCACTGCTAGACCTTCATCGAATTTGCGAGTCTTGGTCACAAGAAGACAATAACGACTGTGCAAAATCAACAACAATATGTAAATAAACACACAGTTCATCACTTTCATTGAAGTCAAGCTTGAAATAAATAAAAATGGCAAGAATTGAACTTGCTGCCGATTATACTTGCATTACAAATCTAACTTCCATAGTTTCACAACACCATCATCTGAACAAGAGGCCAACTCTCCAAAAACATTCTTATTCCATATACAACAATTAATATCTGCTTCGTGAGCATTCACAATCTTGGTCAATAAATTCAATTTTTGTTCAACTCTATTCCACTCAAAGATTGCAATAGCATTATCTCCACCAGCAGTAGCTACCAATGAAATCGCTTCTCCGGGTCTGTATGGATTCTCATACACACACCAATCGACATGATATATCGTTCGAGTGTGAACGTCAGAAATGGTCTGAACAGCTGTCATATTCATGTCAAGATAATTTCCTACAACATCTTCTCGCCACACAATGATGGATTTGTCATCTCCAACACTGACCATAAATTGAGGATAATCGAGAGGAGTGACCGTCGTGTTCGTATTAATGCTACTGCTGCCACTGCCACTGCTACTACTACCAGAATTTCCAACAGAAGAATCTGTCATTTGATTTTTCATCATTGAATTCGCAAGCACAAGATGAGGTTCAAATGCAAGAGCCCAAACCGTACTGGTATGACCTCTCAAAATTCCAACACATTTCCATTCATCTCCTCCAGTAGAGCGTGAAAAATCATGATGACTTGAATGGTCGTCACTAAATCCACCTTCTTTCCAAACACGAATGGTGTTATCGTAGGATGCACTAAATAATAGAGATGGCATATTTTCTCGAGTTAATGGATGCCAAGCCACAAATTTCACATCCTGTGTATGTCCACTACACACAGAATTACAATCAAAATCTGAAAATCCAATCTTATCAATTGCTTCCCAAACCCAAACAGTTTTATCTCGACCACATGTTGCCAACAATCCACAGTCAGCTCCAAATTCACTCTCTTCATCATCATTCATCTCAGTATTACTCGAAGAAGAAACGTCTTTGAAATTCCAAGCTACGGATTTCACTTCATTTTCATGTCCTTCCAAAGTAGAGACACACTTCAAAAGTTTTAACGAACTAAACATTCCATTCTTCTTACTATGTTCATAATAGTCATTGTGTTGTAGAGATTGTTGTTTGACAAATTCTTCATCAAGTGCATTCAAATGTGATACGAGTTTGTTTTTCAACAAAATCCAAATAGAACTCGTTCCATCAAAACTTGCACAAGCCAAAGCATTTCCGTTGGGATGAGACCAATCCACTCTTCGGATGGTTCTATTATGCTGATTTTCTAAAACATCTAAACATTTGATCATGGTCTTGAAATTAAAATGATTGGATGATGAATTAATATTTGGTTGTTGTTGTTGATTCATCATCATGTAACATCCCGAAGAGTCTTTCACTTCCTTCCGTTCACTCCGTACATAATAAATCCGTACCGTCTTATCCGAGGAACACGTTGCCAATAAATGTTTGAATTGTGGATGAAACGAAATGGACCAAACGCTTTCTTCGTGATCGCACAGAGTGGCCACTAATTGGAGCCGCCAAAAAAGATTCATTTTTTTTTTGTGGTTTTTTTTGTAAGATTTTTCGAAAAAAATTCAAAAGGACTCCTGAACTGATCGTACGGAAACCGTTGTTCTTTCGATTCGTTTTGGACCAAATTGGAAAAGAGAATGGAATTCCGTACATACATGTGCAGGAGGATCATACATTATTTTGATCAGAATAATTCTGCAACAGCACCTCAGCATTGTGAATGTTTTTCTTGTGTGTGAGTAAGCTTATTGCGAGTTTTTAATTTTCACATTCGTATTGGAATCATTGGAGAGAAATTCGACTATTGAAATCTTTGTTCTGGAAATACACACAAATTATTCCAAATGTCCCAAATTAAAAGAGAAGTCTCTTTCGATTCAATAGGTAAAACAAGTATCCTCCCAAAGCTCCTCCCAAGTGACCACTCGCACTTACTGATGAATCTCTATGAGTGTACCAACGATAGAATTCAATGGCTAGCACACCATAAAAGAAATTCCTTAATTTGAATTGAATAGGTAAAAAGAATATACCGACTGGAATGAAAGGATGTACTTGTGTCACAAACGCTAAAATTCCAAATATGGCTCCACTTGCTCCAATACCTGTGGTATAGTATTCATGAGGTCGTGACAAGACCGTACTTCCAATCCATTTATCGATCAAATAAACAGAAGAAGCAACCAATCCACAGAAAATGTAAGCTGGCCACAACAATCTCCGAGTCATGGGCATCATCTTTCCCAATTGACTCAATGCATACATATTCATAAATATATGGAGTAAATCAATATGTGTAAACATGCTTGTCAACAAGGTATGAATTTTACCATGCATCATATTATCCAATGAAACACCTAAATTCGCCAAAATATCTTGTCGAGTTAAGAATAAATTAGCCAAGACAAAGACAGCAACGTTCAATGCAATCAATTTTTGAATATTGGTAAATCGGAATCCACCACCTTCTCCTCCATAATAACTATTATAGTCATAATGTTGATATCGATGAACTCCCAATGCGTTTGATAATTTCCTTCTCAATTCTTCCCAAGTATTTCTCAGAAAGGAAAATTGTTGTATAAACTGTTCATTTCCGTGATGATGATTCAAAACACTTGTTCTCAAATGTTTTTTAATCTTCCATAGAATATTTGAGGCTTGATAGTTCCATGAAGAATCAATCATTTGACTGAAATAATGATGGTTCGGATTAACAAGATGATGACTCTCGGAAACAAGGCTTGTTGTTGTTCCGGTAGAGTTCAAAACAAGATTCAACGATGGAGAAGCTTTCTTTTGAAGTGTCCATGAAGGTGATAAGGCACATGATGAAGCATTTGAAATCCATCTTGAAGATAATCTTGATGATGGAAATAAGGAACGCAACGAGTGATTGAAGGAATTGTTGTTGGAAATGAGCTTGAATCCGACTTTGAGCATTTTTTAATCATAATGATGATAATAATTTTAGCAAGTAAAGCTATTTATTGATATATTATTACAGGAAACTGTAACACACAAGGTAAACAGTTGCTGTAATTGTTTCATAATATTGATGTGGAATAAAGAATGAGAATGAGATTTGAGGATGGAATTGCTTCTGGATTTCCAGATTCAACGGCAGCTCTTGGTAAATCGAGAAATAAAGACATCATGGATTTAACAATTTATAAAACATAAAAAAACAACCACTTTGAAAGCTTTGCTTCTGCACACACGCTCCCAAACGAACAAGAGAGATCTTTATCCGTTATTGTTGTTGTGAAATCGACACTTCTCAAAGACCCCTTCAACTCCTTGTGCCACCAACCGAAAATACCTTCCTTAACAAACTTGACAACCTGACAAGACCTGTCACTAATCAAGATCTTGTTTCCGCTTACTTGAATTTGAGTCTGCCTCAAAAACAAAATTCTCAACAACAACAGATCCCTGCAACCAGTAACACCACAACCAGTAACACCAAATTCTCTCCTCTGATCCTATTAGAACCACCACTCTTTCAACCATGTCTCCTCCTTCCTCTGAATTACATCAATCCAACTCGATCGAATTACAAGAAGAACACAATCAAATACCCATTTCGAACAGTCCTCCGACACAACCACCAACCACTCCACCTTCTTCCAATCCACCCCAACAAGTCCACAAGAACAACTCGTTCGAACCCAACGATCACTCGTCGATGAAACCGAAAAATTCCAATGTCCAAATTCGAACGTGTTGGGGAGTGATTGAATTGTCATGGCTTCGACTTCTTTCATTACTCTCACTCGTTGTGAATATTTTGGCATTTGTCATCTTGTTGGCATTGATGATTTGGAGTTATGCCGCGTTTCGAGATTTGAGAACTGACACGATCGAACATACGGTATTGGCTCGATTGTATCGAGAACGATTGTCGTATAGTTCGAAAACTGCGGCCTTATATTCGGCATGTTTGGCTTCGTTGAATGTTTCGGTCGTGACACCTCCGAGTAATACCGGAACGGGATCGGGCTCCGGGAGTTGTGTCGGAAGAAAATGTAAGGGAAGATCCATGACGGAAGAATATGCCATGGAAGCTACTACCAATGCATCTTCTTCACAAAATTATGAATTATACGTCTCACAAGAAGCCTATCTCTTTTACAATACGACTCTCTTGTATAATCAAACCATTTCGAACTTGCTAGCAGCCATGTCGGATCAAGAAGTTCAAGCACTCAATTTAACTCGACTCGATTCCGTCGACAGTTCCATTCAGTTCGAAGCCAAAGCTGTTGAACTCGCTTTGAAAAAAAACGGAACTCAAGCACTCCGCGTACTATTTTCCGATCCGACGTACCAAACCAAGCAATCTCAATTTTTACAACAAGTGTTGGATCCTGTAGCTTTTTATGTGAGTGACAAACAACAAACCATTGCATTTGTATTAAATGTCCAAACTGTGGTGAGTTTGGTTGTCATTTTGTTGGCAGTGAGTATTGTCATTCCCGTAGTGATTGCAACCTTAGTGTGTGCTTTGAATCGAGATGCCATTCAGATTGAAAGATTGAAAAAGGCGAATGCATTGATGGCCATTGATACCATGAGAGATCCTCAATTGAGAAAGTGTAAGTTAATGTTTTTTTGTATTTGGAATTTATGAATGACAAGTGACATTCCTGATGTTGTTGTTGTGTGGATCCATCTAATCTTTGAATGATTGTTGTTATTGTTATCATTGTTGTTGTTGTGGATTAGTATTTAAGGCCTTTTGCGAAAAAGAATATTCCGTCGAAAACTTTTTATTACTCGAAAAAATTGGTCAATTTAAAGAGCTAGCTTCTAAAAGTATGGAAATCAAAATGTTTTTATACGACGATTCCAAATCCACACTCTCCGACGATACGGACATGAGCGATGCTGGTTATTCTGAATATTCCAGTATGAGTAATACTTCGACGAAAAAGCTCAGAAAAGATTTGAAAAAAACATATACCGAGAGTGATTTATTTTCATGTGAAAAGAAAAAGTATGAATTGGCCATGGAAATTTATTCTGAATTTTTGGATATGAATGGAAGTCGAACAGTGAACTTGTCGAAAAAAAAGACCGATGTCATTAAGAAGAAAATTGAGGAATTTGCGAATAGTGCAGTGCCCTTATTGGAGGATGATATGTTTGATAGTATTGAACGAGAAATTGCACATTTAATGTTGGATACACATCGAAGATTTAAGGAAAGTCTTGCTTTCAAGAAACAAATGAAAATTGAGAATATTAATACGAGAATTAAGAATGCTGCTTCTAAAACCAAATAAAGAGTTTCACAAATTTACTTGTCTCACGAATTTTTTCTCAACACTTTCCAATAAATTTTTTCACACTCATCATCAAGAATTCCAAAAATAAAGTATTTCACACTCATCATTAAATCATGTTTTCACAACATTTTTGCCACACGTTTCAACACTTGCACAATTTCAGAAAACTCTGGTCGTTTCTCTGCCTCTGAATCCCAACACTTTTTCATCAACTCGATATATTCATTCGTAAGTTGAACTAATTTAGACATGCTATACTCGCTCTGATACGGTTGAACATATTCTTTCAACCAAATTTCTTCTTCTTGTGGAGTTAGGAATGGAATTTTCGGTCGTTCTCCTCTCAAGACATGTAATAATATATTATATTCATTTTCACCAGATGATGCAGAGTGGAATCTGTGAATTTTTGCAGACTTGTCATTCATGTAAGGATTTTCTTCAAAAAATAATTCCCACATGATAATTCCAAAACTGTAAACGTCGATTTTTGGAGAATATTTTGGATTGTCGTCCACCATTTCCTATTGTTAAGCAAAAATATTATGAGTAAAAATTCAAATGAGAGAATGGTTAAATGATGAGTAACAATGTCAAATGTCATAATATCCACACACTTACTCTTGCCATATAAAACACAGTTCCAATATGTTTGGTTGCAGCCGCACTATTTCCCATAATTTTCGAAAGTCCAAAATCACATACTCTTCCATTATATTCTTCATCAATTAATATATTTCCTGGTTTCAAATCTCGATGAATGATGGGTGGCTTCAATGAATGCAAATAAGCCATTCCTTTTGCAATTCCCAATAAAATGTTAATTTTTTGAGCAAGTGTCAAAAATTCAATTTTCATTTTGCATCCATAAATGAGTTTGTCTAAACTTCCTTTCGGTAAAAACTCAACGACAATGTATTTGCGAGATCCAGAGAGAGAAATGCCATACAATTTGACAATGGAAGGATGGTTGACCACACTTAACATGGCTGCTTCTTTTTCAAATTCTTCTCCCATGTCATGGTCATCGAATTTGAGTGTTTTAAGAGCGACATCTTTGTTGTTCCATTTTCCTTGATAGACAGTTCCGTTACTTCCTAAATAATAATATTTCGCAAATGTGCATGATGTGAATTTCAAATGAATGTTAAAAAATTATTTAAGAAAATTCATTCTTACCTTCTCCAATCTTTTTCACAATTTCAATGTCCTCAATTGGAATAATAAGAGAAGGATGATTTTTCTTTTCCTTGGAGCGAAGTAATGGTGTATAATCGCCACTGCCATTGATTAATAAGGGAGTTTTGATTTCTGAGAAAATCACCTTCTTGTCAATAATTTTCGATTCCAATGATTTTTCTGCTTTGACTTTTCGTTTCAACATTTGAAGTTTCAAATAAATATTTCGTACTACTTTGATAATCACCAGTAAAAGTAATCCTAAGATTAACGCTAAAAATACTCCAGAAATGACTGCAACGGGAATGACAATTTTCAATAATTGATCATTGGAGTTGATGATTTCATTCTTGAGACAGACATAACCGTAGGAGAATGGTTGTGTCAATTTATATCCATCTGGACATTCCAAAATGTGAATCGTGACATTCAATTTGTAATATTTTTCAATAATCAAAGTTGCTTCAATTTTTGTTGAAGTGTTCGAGAAAATGGAAAGTGACAATCCTATTAATTCATTATTGTTTGTCGATGAGTCTGAATGAATCATGGAATCTACATGTCTCGGTTCTAACTTGACGGGATGTTGCAAATAATTCAACATTTCAGTTCCATTATTTGAAATTTGTTGAATTCTAATAATTGGAATCACTTGACCTGGATAGACTTTCCATGCAAGTGCTTGTTGTGGATATAAAATTCGTGTCACATTGACCCTATCGTCATTGCTGTCATACTGGATCACCATTTGAAAGTGTACATTCGATAACGGTCCTCCAATAAATGGACCATAAGATCTTGCCGTATTTCCAATATTTGATGACAAGTATTTGTCATAATTATCGTTCATATCTAACATGGTTGAGTAGATACATCCTCCAGAATAAAGAGCTGTATTGTTACTACAGGAGTGAAAGCCTCTAAGAAAAGCTGCATTGTTTTTCAAAGGTTCCATAGGTTCAATATAGAGAGCTCCTCCTTGAAATGCAGTATTATTCTTATAAAATGATCCTAAATTAGAAAATTGATAGGAATTACGATTTTTGAAATAGAGAGCTCCACCATTCCGTGTGGCAATATTGTTAAGAAAAGCAGCACTTTCCATAAAAACATAATTACTATCGAGATACATGGCTCCTCCATGTAATGCAGTATTTCCGTCAAACATGCATTGTTCGAGAGTGCAACGTTGAGCGCCAGCAATGTGAATAGCTCCTCCAAAACCTTGTTCCATGTTGTTATTTGAAAATGTGCAAACTCGAAGACTGATTTCTGAATCGAGTAGACCTGCAAAATTAGCCATTACTGATCCCTTGTTGTTTTTAAAACTACAGCCTGAGAGTATGACATAATTGACAAGAGATGTGACCAATGGAGGCGTTTGAAGGTTTTGGAATGTAGCAGACATTTGTAAATAGAACGTTGAAGATATCTTAATAATTGGTTTGTTATCTGTAACAACCTGGTTTTTCAATTCGTTTGGTTGTGAAAATTCACACTTGCTAAATATCACTCTATCAATTCCAGCACTTTCCAAATAAAAATTTCCATTCGTAGAAACTACACTGGTAAGAGTGGCTATTCCAGAATAAGCTTGATAAATGGAAGTCGATCCATCGAAATTCACTCCATTAAATTCTATGGTTTGAAATCTTGTAATGTGAAATGTCGAATTCACAAATTGACTATTCACGATCGAAAAGGTTTGACTATAATTAATATCCAAAACAGAATTAATCGATTGTGGAACGGATTTAAAATTCAAATTTTGAATTTGACATTTTCGTATGGAAACCATGGCATTCTTATTACTCGTCAAGAGGATATTATTCATCGTACTTTGTTCAAAATTAGTACGAAGAAAATTATAGAACTCTGAATTGGTCACATTACATTGTGTAAATGTCACATTGTAATTCTTCTTGTAATACGGCGCTTGAATCATCAACTCATCAATTTCACATCTTTCAAACTTGAACTCGGATACTTTCAACACGACATATCTTCCATCGTCAAATAATTTCGTTCTTGCAATAGTGACATTTTCAAACAAAATACTCCTCGCACTTAAATATGTCAATAATTCTCCATGATGACAATCAATATGAATTCGTCGATCATTATTTTCAAAATCGTATGGATACGATGCCACTACCAGATCATCATACGAATCCAAAATGCCATGTCTTGTTTGACAAGCTGAGCTATTTTCAACATAATTTCCTTCTAATAAATAAATCAAAGCAGAAGTGCTATTAACAATTTTCAATTTAAATAATTGAGATAATTTTAGAAGAGCCTGAGAGATGGAAGAACATGGTTCCGAGAGGAGAGTACAATTCGGAAGAGAGGTGTATGAATGTTGTGAAGGCTGTACGTACAAGATGGTCCTATTGGTTGAAATGTCAGTAGTCATTGTTGGAAAGTGTTCGGAATTCCGGATGAAGGACGAAGATGAGGAGTGGAGAAGAAGGATTTGATGAATGATGATGAATATGAGGCTCATCATGATCCCAAATAATTTCGAGCCAATGAAGGTGTCAGTTTTATGCCGACACTTTCTGAATTTCATTTTTTTTGTGGAATAGTTGCCAAGTGTGGCTCCGTAGTCAAACCTCGACTACGGCAACCTCTGGTCGAGGGTTCAGTTCCGGTCCCCTACCGAATTGTTGAAGGTGGCTTCTGTTCGTAACGAAGTTTCTACGCTCTGATCCTGGAGTGCCTGCGAAGGAGACTGCTCAGCCCTGTTCCGTGCCACTGGCGCAAAGTCTAATAAATATCAAATTTTTTTGTGGAATAAATTTATGAGGTTCTTTCACAAATTTCAAAATGAAGCTATGACGTTGTGTATAGTATTAGTACTCTAAGATTTTTTCTCATGGATTGTAAATATGGTTGGTCCGCAGCTCTTCAGATGAAGGTAGGTTGACTTGAACTGATTGAATGATTTGAAAAAGAACGGAAGCAGTTGAATCAATTCCGATCCGAGTTAAAAAGGAAATTTCAAAATTAGAAACCAAAAACAACTTTAAAAAAATAGAATCATGATGAATGCGCATTTACTTTTGAGTCATCATCATCGTTGGAATGATCATTACTTCTCTCCGTCCATGCAATTAAGCCAACATTCTTCATCTCTTTTTCATCACGATGATCATCAGGATGATGCTTCGTTTGAGGAATTTCTCAACCATCGGATTTATAGAATCGGAAGAAGAAAAATTATTCAAGATCGGTTAAGAAGGATGAATGATTTTAATAGTCCTTCGAATGATTTTAATAGTTTTACACCTTCTCTTGCTTTTCATCAAGTGTATGGAACAAGAATGGAAGAGAATCAACATCAACGAAAACAATCATCCATTCCGATTACGATACATAGAAAATCTCAACATTTAAAAGAACACGACAATAGAGTTGAAGAATCGGAAACTCCATCTTCTCGGAATCTATCAATCAACCAGTCCAAACCATCATCAATGAAAATATCAATTCATGATTCACCCACTCCTTCCGAATCAGATGAACCACAAAATTCACCTCCAACCAATCAACACATGACGCTCTCTCAATTAATGTCTCGAAAACATTTAAGGCTCATCCATGCCACGGCTAATGGAAATTGTTTATTTAATTGCATTTCGTTGGCACTTGCTCAAAGTGAAGAGTATCATTCTCAAATTCGTCAGAAATGTGTCGATTGGATTGAGACTCATTTAGATACATCAGTGTCACAAGATGGAGGAATCAAAGTGAGAGATTTGATATTTTTATCTCCATATCAAGAATCTATTGAGGATTATTTACATGAAATGAGGAAAGACAGAGAATGGGCAGATTATTGTTGCTTAAATTCTTTGGCTAATTTACTGAATGTACAATTGGATGTGTATTATGTGAACATGTTGGAAGATGGAGATTGGGATCATCCCTCGTCGATGGTGGTAAAATCTAAAATTAAGGTACTACCTACACATGTCACAAGAGGAGAATTCTCGCCATCTCAACGACGAAAAGTTCCTCTCAAAAAGATTCGAGTCGTCTATCATGAAGAGTTGAAACATTACAATCTCCTAGCTCCACAATATCACACATCCATGCTGTAAAATAAATCTGTAGCGTTTCATTAGCAATCAATCATTTAATTTCCAATCCATGTGAAACTTGTTGATAATGACAAAATTTGATATTAATGCCACCATGTTAAATGAACTAGTTATTTATTCTTCCTCACTACTATTGTCACTCTCCATTAATTGCTGATTTTTTGCTTTAATGAAAACAAAGATCCTAGCGAATATTGCCAAAAAGTTCCCTTATAAAAACCAAGCCAACCCTCTTTCTCATAAATTTCTTGAGCACATGAAACAATGTTCAATCGCTCAACAGCCTTTTTATCCTCAGACAAGACACCATATTGTAATTGACGTCTCAGAATTTTCAATGGTTGAACAGTAAATCTCGAGAATAATTCAGCCACAATAAACATGAAAGAATCCAAAATTTCTTCTGTTTGATCGGAGCCGTCTGCTACACCTTCATCTCCCAATCCAAATAGTCCAAAGAAATATTTCATGGAACGATAAGAACCGACCAATGTAGTCACTCGAATCAATCTCTGAAGAATTTTCAAATACCATCCACGATATAAGGCACGAAAACCTTCTCTTCTAATAATTCTATTCATGCAATCCATGGAACCATTAGGGTCTCTCAAATCGGGATGAGACAATCGATGAGAGTGAGGAGCTTGCATTCTCACAAATACTGTATCAAAAGGATACGAAAAGATGTCCGTAACCAATGAAGCTCCATGATAAATTAATTGATAGGTCGGAATACTTCTCTGTGTGGCTAAATCTCCACGTTTTGCAACTAGAAATTCTCTTCTCAAATCCAATGAAACCAATACATTACGAAGTACATAGGAGTGAACCCACTTCTTCAACATTCGTGCAACAAATCCTCTAAAGAATCCACTCACTCCTTCAATCCGATATAATTTTGAAAATCCTTCTATATGATTATTGGGAGCTTTACTCTTCTCTAATTCGGTAGGTTCTAATACGATTTGATAACTCACAGCTCGGAAGAGAAAATTAAACACCCGATATAATGAAAAAGAGGCAATGAGTGAAGTACCCAAAATAAGGTCATAGGTGTTGGAAAATTCTTGCTCTGCTGTTTGAAAAGAAGGGGGAGTATTGAGTTGGGAAGAAACTGGTGGAACTGCAACTTTGCCAAACACAACAACATTATCCGATGATGATAAGGCTGGTGCCGATGATGAATCCATTTGAGAGAGAGTGTTTTGAAAAAGAGAGAGTCCAATGAGATGTTGTGAGTGTAAAGTGGTAGGATGAAACTGCTTGCGTTGATGAAAATAAAACCTCCGATTTAAAGAACGACGATGAGAAAGACAATCGGACCCAAATAATATTTTTTTTCAATTTTTATTTCAATTTGATTGAATGCCAAGAGTTGCCTTAAAGACAATAAAGGATAATAACAGAAATCATCGATGAAATAATTTTTTATATGAACGAACATGGTAAGACCTCTTGTTGAATCTACTGTCATGTTAATAGAATGAAGCTTGCCAACTGTCAAGATTCAAAAAAATGCCCCAAAAAGATCAATCAGCAAACTCTTCAAAATCACCTCAATCAACAACCTCTTCATCATCTTCCTCCCAATCATTACCACCTCTCAAATCCTCTCGATCAAAATCCTATCTCGTCAAAGTCCATTTCGGAGAACCTCTCGATTCCGATACTCTTCCCGAATTCATCATTCAAGCCATGGACTTTTTATTAAAACATGCCAAAGATATTGAAGGACTGTTTCGAATATCTGGTCATGCCGGAGATGTTTCAAAATTAAAATCAAAATTAAATGCAGGAGAAGCTATTGAATTGAGTGAAATTGAAAATATTCATAATGTGGCATCACTTGTCAAGATGTATTTTAGGGAATTACCAAATCCATTGATTAGTTTTGAATGTTATGATATGTTTATGATTGCAGATTCAATTCCAGATGACTGTTCAAGATTGGAATGTTTGAAAAAGTTATTGGTATACTTGCCACCAACGAATCAAATGTATGTGATCCTTATGGAATGTTTTCTGAAAATATTTGTGTGAATAATGACATGATGTGAATATTCAAAATCACCTTGAAAAAATTATGAACATTTCATAATATTTATTTTTATTAGAATATTACAACAATTATGCTTATTTTTAAGTGAACTAGCGAAAAACAGTGAAAAGAATCGAATGAATATTGAAAATTTGGCAATTGTTTTTTCACCAAATATTTTGAGGGCACCAGATAGTAAGCAAGATGATCCCCTCCTTGTGTCACATCCATTTCTGGAGTGTCAAGAGCCATTATCACAGAAAGAGTAAGTTTTCTTGAAATTCGCGAACATGACGATCGATGCCATATATGTGACACAATATTTTATTTTCAATTCTTCTGTCGTCACATTGACAGAATTGTACAGAGCTATAAGTCAGCACAAAATATTGTCAAATCACTCATCGAACATGTCGATTACTTTTTCAGTAGCAACTTGATGAATTTTCAAGACTTTATAGAACAACAATTATCCAACGAACGAAAACAAGGATCTTCTTCCAACACCACTCTCACTTCACCCATTCAAATGCAAATTTCAGAACAAATATTTGGAACGAGTCCACACGAAGTGACTTCGAGTGTGAAACGATTAAGCGAAAAAATTACCCAACAAATTCAAGATTTCAACAACAATTGCGAGAATACAAATTCATTCAAATAGTTCAAGTTTTTTGAAATTACAAATTGTGCAATCCTGGTATGAGGATGCTTTGAATAAAGATTTGAAATTTAAAAAATTAAAAAAATTGGAAAAAAAAATACATCATCACCCATTTGCATCCAACTCATGCGTTCACTCTTTTACATCCTTGCTGCACTGTTGGCAGCTGGGCTCGTGATTAATTACACCACTAAATATTCTACGGAAGTATTCATCATTAGAGCCGTTTTCAATGCAGTCTTGTTGAGAAACAAATATTTAGGAATGAGTATCGGAAACCCACAAAGTACCATGATGGGAATTACCACTCCAGATTGGAAGGAAGTTTCATTAGAGGCTCAAACGTTATATAATTTTGTACGGTTTAACGCTGGAAGAAAACTAGAATCGGATGTTGCCATGAGAGATGGTATGATATCTTTGGCTCCTCCAGTTTCTTATCATAATTCATTGGGATATCAATATATTCCTGAAATTAGAAATTCATTATTGGTTCATCTCAGAGATCGTTTCTATGTTGATCAATACTTTGGAAAGGATAAAAGAGGAAAAGTTTTGTTATTGGTTCATGGTGGAGGAGGCTTTGCTGGTAAACCAGGCGGTTTTGAACTCGGAAGTATTGTTGAACATATGCAAACGAGATTTAATAGTTCATTGACTCATATTCTCTCGGTAGGATATCGATTGATGGCTTTAACGGAAGAGGAAAAGAGTAAGAGGAATGAATTTGCCACAAAATTCAGTGAGCAGGCCGATGATGTCATTCAAGCTTATCAATGGTTATTGAAAAAGTTTAATGCTGAGGATGTTGTGGTTGTTGGAAGTTCGTTTGGAGCTGCTCTTTCAGCAGAGTTTTTGAGAAGAGTTGCCGTGGAAAAACTTCCAATGCCTAAAGCTGCAATTTTGGTTGGTGGTCCTTTTGATTTAACTTTGAAATTGGGCTATAGTAGTTTGAATGCTAGAAATACATTGATGTCTACCGATCGAATGATTTCAATTATGCAAAGACTTTTCAAGGCAGAAGACTCTCCACTTGTCACATGGAAGAATGTGGATAAGAGAGTTCATGAAACCAATCTGTTAATTATTTATTCCAAGGATGAAGAGGTCACAAAAGACAATGAAGCTTTTATTCAAATTTTGAAGGACATCAAACATCCATCCGTGCAAGTAATTGCTGACAATATGATGATTCATTGCCACCCATTTTTCGAGTACTATTTCGCAGAGGCAAAACAAGCCATGAGCAAGATGTTAGACTTTGTGGATTCACAAAATTAATTTTGACAAGGGTTCTACTTGTAACAACATAACATTAATTTATTTTAAATTCAAAGGTGTCTGTATCAGATATTGTCTTAATTTCGTTATCTAATCTGCATACTCGTCGTTGAGCGTGTATGCGATAATGATGTATTTTGCCGGTGCTTCTTCATGTTCAACCAACCTTGCAAGAAAAAAGAGTTCTTGGGTTGTTTTAGAATGCGTTAAAAAATCTAGATACGAGAAGCTATTTTTGAGATCCAAACCTCTACCAAGAGAACAAATTGCGAACCTTTTTGCCGATTAATATTAAATTTCGCATGTTTTTCTTTACACGTAATTGCTTGCACGCAGTGGCACCGGATCCAGCTGCTCTCATTTTTCAAACGGCTGCAGGGCGGTGGATCCGATTCAATCCAAAAATCAGGATTTTGCAATAAAAACTTTCGTTTTAATGAATTCGTTATTCGACAACTGTAATTGATCTTCCTCCACCAAGTGGTTTGGTTGTTCGTCGATTTCAAGTAAAGAGTAATGATTAGGTGGTGTTTTGTTTTGTAGAAACGGTCGAACTCGCGACAAGTTTCAAGAAGTATTCACAGACCAAAGACTGTCGTTTGTTAAATTGTTGGTCTTTAATGATTATAAGGATGGTCTTTTTGCTGTTTGTTTTCTTCGGACCGGAACAAGTCTTGGTGTAAAGTGACTTTGGGACAAATTCAATGCTGATGAAATAATGCTGGGTCAATGTTTATTGGCTGTCTCTTCTGGTGATGTTGCAAGGCCTCATGAATTGTTGTGCTAACGGTCTTCTTCCAAAGACAACAAAACATCGACTTCGATTTGTTCCAACTTTAAGAGGAAAAGCGGAGGATCCGCTCCAGCGATTTCTGGATTTTTATTTTTGGATCAGGATCAATCGAATCCTGAAGTTGCATGATCGGCTGAGGATGCGTGGGCTCTGGCTGCGGATTTGTCAGGGCCCTCATCACCAATTAATACTCAATTTCACATGTTTTTCTTTGGCCATTTTTCTAATCTCATCCTTGTCGGATTGTGGGATCGTTTTGTTGTTAGTCCATATTTCAAGCTTTTCTATTGATTTAATTTGAAGTGCAAACTTAATGCCATTGTTATTGAGATGAGATCTCCATAATGTGAGATCATGAATACGAAGATTTCCATTTGAAAGAAATTCCATAGCTTTATCTGTTGCTTCTTCGAGATAGAGCTCCAATGCATGCGGTAAATACGTTGTAGCAAAAATACCTATACCATCACTGGATATTCTTCTAGTTAAACAAAGAATCTTTAGATTTCTTAATTTTCCTTTTGCAAAATGTTTTAGGTCAGTATTACTAATTTGGTAATTAATTAAAGAAAGATCTGTAAGAGTTTCCATCATAAATATATATTTTGCTCCTTCAGAACTAATATCCCAAGTACCAATGTGTAAAGTCGTCAGGTGTTTCAACTTAGTAATATGTTTGACACCTGATCCAATATTACATTCTCTCATATCGAGAGTAGTCAGAGTTGAAAATTTATCACAAAACAATTCAAGCGAATTCGTGTCAATATTTCCATCACACACCATAAAAGTCTTTAAATCGTCTATACTATCACATATGTTCACAATATGGCTGCTGTTGCAATATGGTAGACATAGATGTTGTGTGTTATAGGAAGTAAGATACCGCAAAACATGATCAGTAATCTGATGTTTAGTGTTTTCAGAAGCTTTGGAACAGAAGCTATTAATGGAGGATAATTGAATACTTATTTCGTGGAGTGATGGGATTTTGTCAATTAAGGAAAACTGAGATCCATTTTGTGAAAACAAGGCAAATCTTTCAGTAAAGAATAATTTTAGAGTATAAAATTGAATTCCACTATTAAGTATTCCTTTTAAGCTCATTATGTCCAAGTCAATGTTCACAAGTTCAAGGCTATGCAATTTTGGAAATCTTGAAGAGTCGAAATTGTTTATGCTTACGATTTCCATGTCGGAATATTGATCCGTGAGATTAAGTGAAAGTACTTTCAAATTTGAAAGACATACATTGGGCTGAAATAAATTATTGATACCCTTACTTGTGAATCGCTTGCTTGATATGATTAATGATTCTAGTTTTTCTGATAATGGAGTTTGTAAAATTATTTTGATCAACTTTTCACCATTGCAATTATTATGTTCAAGCTTTAAGGATTTTAGGGAAGGAAAATGTTTTGAGATAGCTTTTACGTCATTCGAAGATAGTTTAACGTTGATTACATTGAGTTCTGTTAGCGATGCATTGGAAATGAATTGAATAGTTGATATATTATTTAATGTCAATGTTGCTATTTTAGGCGATGTAAATATAGAGTAAAGATGAGATTTGTTAACCGTAAAGCTCCCAATATACACTTTGTCGAACAATAGGAACACATCTCCGAATTTGTTTGGTAGTTTTCGTTTAGACAAACCAAACCGCTCGAATATTAGTCGAAAAGTAAGATCATGCCGAGATGACTTGACAATGCTTCTCCATGATGAACAAACTCCAGCAAATCTGATAACGTCATATTGATTTAAATATGGAATAATGTGATAAGTGATGATGTTTGCATCAATGAAAGAGTGGTTGCGGTTTTCGGGCACTTCAAGATACTCTTTGATGGGAAAGAAACAGCGGAACAAATTCATTTTTTCCTGGTTTTAATCAACAACAAAAAATGTCAGTCGAAGCGGAGCCAATGCAGAGGCAGGACAATTAAATAGCTACCACATACTCCGCAAGCGAAAATGTTCAGCAAAGCAAACAACAAAAAAACACGACAACACAAACCTAGAAATACACATCTCCAATGTAAGTGATTACTGATCATCACGCCACTATATCTCCTTTATCAATGCAAGATCTTAGTGATAGTGTAAAATAATTGTTCATCACCTCGTCTGCAAAATATTAATTATTATCATCACACATCCCGACCACATTTCTTCCCTGTAAGTTTTTCATCATGTTAATGTCACAATCATCACCTTTTCAACTGTATGTTGATTGATATTATCATTTAATAATAGTTGTACTTGTAAACATCATCATCATCATTCATCCCTACAACAACTTAGATACATCACGCAACATGGTCATCCAATACAGTAAGACGGTTAAGGTTCACAATGAAACAAAGAAGTTCATCCATTACAACAACACTTACTTCACTCAACCATCAAAGAAGCAAAAGCTAAAGGATGACGTTTCTAAAAGTAAGTATTGCTGCATATTGACAAACAATTGAAGTATACATACCTTATCGGAGTTCATACAGGATCTACACGAGGAATCACTAAAACCACCCGTATCGGAATTGTTGGCAAGTTTCGTAAACGTCGTTGGGTGAAAACTGTCGAGGCTCATCAAAAACGAGTAGATATAATTGTGAATTTTGTGGCCAACCCTGTTCCACGTGAGGAGTTTTGGAAATGTTTGGAGAGAGTGAACCAGAATTTGCAAAAACCATTCATGTCATTCTGTGACATGATGTTGTATCTTGAGAGGAGATGGAATGAATTTTGTGCTGAAGCCTATGCTACTTTGAAGGCTAATTTACAACCAGGTGGTATGAAATTTGGTTCAAGTTTGAATCTTGGAAGATTTCCATATGCTGTTTTGGATTGGATTTTGTGTCGTAATTATCAATGTAAGAAGGAGGTTGTTGAAACAAGCATTAATATCAATCGTGAAGAGGTTCCTGTACGAGTATTCAAATACAGCTTCATGTCCGAAACTGGCTTACCCAAGCTCGGTAATGATTCCTTTTGGTACATGAATTTGCATTTTCCTACAGAGAAACAACCAACCTTTCAAAAATCAGAATATACCAGCTTGACCATTGTTGTCAATGATTATGACAACAGAGTATATTGCAACTGGGAAATGGTTAATTATGTCATGTGGATTGATCGTGACGGAATGTCTGGAAGGTGGACCAAGACTACTTAATTTACCAGAGTTTGAGTTGAAACAATCTGTTATTGACGTCAATATTAATTAAACAAGAACCATACTTACATTAATGTGTTAAGGTTACAATCATATCAGAACATCTGAAGGAGAGAAGGTTGTCAAATCATCATGTTGTGATTCATTCATTCCGAATATTCGAAATCAGAGAGGAATTCCACTTCATCATCAACATCAACTTCGCTACTATCCACAATCTCGTCAGAATCTTCTTCCATTTCTGCATTACCATGTTCGAAACTCTCTTCTTGAGCATGAGAAGTATCTACAAGTTCCCTGAAAACATCTTCCATATCAGCATCGCTTAAAATCTCCTCTTGAGCTTGAGTATCCTCAAACATCCGAAAAACATCTTCCATGTCTACATCATTCTCCAAAACATGCGAGTCGTTTGGTATTAAGAAAAAATCATCATCCAATGCATCACAAAATTCAATCTCGGATTCATATGTTTCTGCATATGGTTTCCTGCTGAACGTTTGTCTTTGTTCAGTAGTTTTGATTGTTTTCTGAGCAGATATTGATTTCTGCTTTCTTCCTCTCTTCTTTGGTGGCTCATAAACACATTGAGCATCAATTTTCAAACAATTAGAGCAAGGAGATTTGTGATCACATTTGGCATGTTGTTTCTGACATCGCATACAGGCCTTAATGGAATTGTCAGGAGGCGACGATACTTTCGCATTTGATCCGTTCTCAAAAATTCTTGTACGGTGTTGAATTTTCTTCTTAATGGAATTCGTTTTCTTCTTTGCTTTTTCCCACACGCACTTTTTGACGACAGTGCTTGACAATGATGTTTCCTCAGCAGTCTTATCGAGTTTTTCTAAGGCCTCATCATTAATATCAATGGAAGCGATGTCTTGTTTCCACGTTTCGAGCATTTCTTGCCAAATTTTGGAAATTGATTTGTCCTCTTGTTTGTTACCTATCCAGTCCCTTCCTCTTCGAGTGGACATATATAACACTCTTAATGGCAATAAAACACATTCAGCAAACCCTGGAAGAGAACCGTTCGGTTTGTGATTCGATTTTCTTTCATTGATAAGTCGACCTAAACTGTGAACGCTTTCACATCCTTGATTCATAAAACGAGTAAGGGTGCCATATTTCTTCAATAAATAAGGCAAATGATTCAAAACAATATGTACATAATATCCAAAGTTTTCATTGGGATAGTGTAAACGAAGCATCTCATTTAACTTTTTCAACGTTGGAATTAAATCTATCTCAATATTTTGCTTTGCAAGTAATTGCGAAGGGGCCTCCATGTATCCATAAATTATATATCGAAACATTGACCAAATTGCAACATCTTGTGAATCAAAGCTGCTTTTGTTTAAGGCCTCCAAAAAAATTTTCTCAAAATTGAGTAATAAGGTGTCCGCTTGTTTTCCATTGAGGTAAGGTGGTTGATAGACTTTGTTTGCTTCCATTGCCAGCTGTTGCTTGTAAAATGGTTTTTCTTTAAATTCAAATTTTGAGAGTGATGGGAACTGTCGAATTATATCTTTAACTGCCTCTAATTCATCTGGACACAGTTTCAACATTAATTTAGCCAACAAATTCCCAACAATTCGAAGCTTTGCATGAAGTACATCAATGACAACATGTTCCATCAATTTTGGGTATTTTTCTAGAATAATATTTCTGCAATTAAAATCGAGAGAGTGATTGTATTCAAATATTGTATTATAATTTTCATGAGTACAATCACAATATGGGCACACAAATGTTTCATCACAGAGCTTCCATAATGCTGACAAATCTGCACATATATATACTGTAACAGGTAGAGTTACGCTTTTCTTCACCCCATTTTCCTCAAAAGTGTAAATAAATCCGTGTTCAACCAAATCATTCAATATTGAAAAACTTATATCAAAATATTTCGAAACATTCTTATGAATTTCTTGTCCTTTGTACATATCTGTTATGAATGCATTGTATCTGCATTGTGTAGAAAGAATATTGTTAAGAATTACAAATGCATGAATGACTTCATTGGTAGAACGGCCATCCCAAAAACTTTTCAGTTCCAATTTTTCAGGAATTTTTCCTTCCAACTTCACTATAAGATCAACTACTTCATGCAGTAAACACGAAACGTCTACATGAAGAGAATTGTTGTCATGAGACATGTGAAATATTTGTTGAACTAATTCATTCATTTCATCACGCTGTTCTTTAAGCTTTTCTTTGGTACAGACAATAAAATTCAATGCATGATATTGATAATGCTCGCAAAAAAGATGATCTGACATCAATCTGGTGTCTGTAAAGTACACAGCACCTTCAGGTGATAAATTGTCTTGTAATTCAGGTGATGCTAGTGTTTGAAAATGATGTGCTAGTCTTGTGTAGTTGGTATGGCCTTTTGATACATAGGAGTCAATTCTTTTGTAGAGAGAATCTGGATCTTTTTCAAATATATAGTCAATAATGTCGTCTAGAGTTTGACCATTGCTTTTCAATATCTCTTGAATACCAGTAACAAGTCTATCTGAAGTGAGTTTTTGATTTTGGGCAGTCATTTCCTTAATATTTTTAATTGCTCGTCGAAATGGCCTGCGTTTCAAAAATTGTCCATCACACTTTCCACACACTAAACCAAAGGCTTTGTCACAATTAATAAACCCTTTCGTTGATTTTTTTTCTTTGGTTTTAGATTTCTTTTTCTTGCTCTTTTTTCGAGAGGTTTTTTTGTGTGGGATGGTATTTGATGTTGATCCTGGATCTACACTTGATGTGGAGTTGTTCGTCTTAATGGTCTCTTGATTAATTATACTAACTTGTGCATAATTATTCTTATTAGAATATTTTGAAATTTGAGCTTTGATAATTTCTGTGTGTATTCGATTATTAATTTCTTCAGCAAGTTTTTCTCTCAACCATTGATGCACATCTTTCGAAATAGTACATCCTTGCGAAGTTAATAAATTGTACAACGCAACCTTATCTAGAACTGTATAATTAACATCATATATTACTACAGGACATTCAAATGTGGTCTTCGATAAATAATACGAGCTTCTTTGTTTGTTCCAAGATGAAGGAACAGAATATAGTAAAGTGTTTCGTAATAAATTATTGTCAATAGTTGGGTAATCAGAAATATTGGTGAGTAGAAATCGTTGAGGAGTAATCATATCAAAGAAATTTGATGATGAACAGTTGTGTGACTCAGAGTCTATTGTTATCGGAGATGATAATGAGCGTTGTGAGTTTGTTTCATGATTAAATTCACAATTTTGAGTAGCGTTTCGTTGTGAGAACGTTGTATCATAGGCTGAATGATAGTCAAGATTTTGAAGTGATGGTGTACCGAATGTATTTGTTGTTGTTGGTGATGCGTTTGATGTGGCTGTTGTTGATCCTTGTACGTAATTCTTATACCTCCTGTAGCAGTTGTTACACCACTGATCCGATCTTTGCTTTTCAGCTTGGCATAAACGAAACTGTTCGGGAGCTTTGCCTGCAAGAGATATGTGTTGTTTTCCACAACAAGAACAAAATGTCATTTTTTGTTGGTGTAACAATAAAGTTAGCGAATTCCACATATCATGCTTGACAATTTCTTCCATCTCAACACGTCATGCTTAATCTTGAAGAGAGTTAAATTGTTCGTAACGAAAAAATTAAATTGTCAATTGGTAAACATTTCACGAAAAGTTCACTTAAGGAATTCCGAATCCAAAATTTGATAAAAATGATGTACACTATGTATCTGTCATGCACAACAAATTGTGACATGACTATTATTGTTACCCCCAAACATGTACTTCGCAAAATGCATTCCAAACATCAACAATTAATTTTTGTATTTGTTGATGTTTGGAATGCATGTTGTGAAATATACAGATTGAGAGAGTATAAATACAATTTCAAAAACTAATTAGTCATCCCAACCAACCATCGTGATGTGTTTTTTCAAAAACGACTCACAACGAAAGAAGGCTAGTGCGAGCCACTGGTTGCTTCGATCATGTACAAATTATTCAAGGACGAACATCATTTTTGCTCTGTTCATCACACAAGGATTACTTGGTATGCTTGCCACGTTTTTTCTACTCTACACCACATCGATATTTTGTACGCTATTGTCTCTATTATAGAAATTATCATTTAGTTCACTCTCCCAAAATTAATTCACAATGTTTTCTGCACTTCCAAGATGCCACTCAATAAAATCAATTCAAATAAATAAATTCCACAAAGTTCAAAATAACAATGTCATAATAAATACTATCATACAAAATCACTGTGACATTCTTGAAATTAATTTGTATTGTAATGTCATGTGAAAAATGAATTTAAAGAGTGAGACACCATTTCCATAAACTGATGAATCAGTGAATGAAATGAGTATGAATATACTTCACTCATCATGGTGGATATGTTGACATGTAATGTTAACTCCAAACTCACTCTCGGAATGACATGATCTCATCACAATAAAATTCATGATGTTACTCTGTAAATGGTGATCACATCCGTCATCAATAGCCATAGAAACTCTTCGCAATATACAAAACAACATTACAATCGTTTGTTTATCGAAAGCGAGCCCATAAGTCATTTTTAAGTGTTCATTAACATACATACCACAACAATAATTCATCATGACTTCAATCACTCACACAAGACACTTCAACCATAGATCACAACCTATGATGATGATAGAATTAATCACAAGAACGAGAGAGGAGAGTTATACATGTTCACAAGAAATAATGATTTCCGAGGACAGTAAGCAACTCGCATTCCATGAAACAATCATTCCAATGAATAAAGCTGATGATTTGTTGTTTGAATGATCAATATATCAATCCGATAGCATTTCATTCTGTGAAACAGTTATCACCATCATATTGTCAAGCATACTATTTAACCACATTTCACTTGTATTTTCAAGTGATATTATTCGATTTCAATTACTATCACTCTGAATTGAAATCAAGTAAATAACAAACACTACTACAACAAATTACTATCAATTACAAGTCCAAACCACTATTCGACTAAACGATTTTTGCTTCAGTTTCTCAAGCAACTTCATCCAATAATTCCACAGTCATCGCATCAGGCAAGGGCATCTTGTTTAATTTCTAAATACTTATTTGTTGAGGTGTTGTCAATTCCGAAGAGTATGATGATGTAACTTGATAAGAATGATTTTCGCCAAGTCTTTGCTTCATTTTTGTTTCTTGTTGCCCCTGCAAAATCACGTCTAAAAAAGTGAAGTACAAAATAGAGGTACCTAGACCAAGCGCTCGTTAGTCCCTTTGCATATTTGCCGGACGCACCAAAACTCCACGATTGTACCTATCATATACCCTCTACTCACTGTTAGAAAATAAAGTTTCCGGAAAACCTGCATCACAGCGAAAAAGCGTTCGTGAGCTTGACAAAGCTTTTTCAAAGTAAAAAAGAAGAATCACGTATCTCTGTTTGTCACTTTTAGCCCGTTATATTTTAAACTCATGGCTATTGGATGTAAAAGAACCATGATTTCAAGTATAATAGGTGTAAGCAATTTATTGACGCAACACCAGTGTCCAGGTTTTGAACACAGCCATGAGCCTTCTACTATCGAGTTTTTCGCTTGCGAAAAATTTCGCAAATTATGATGGCTATTTAGTGAGCCAAAAATTGTCCGCCTCCCCAATTGAATTGGCACATCTTCTCTCATTCGTTGCCGGTAAGAGTGATACGAAACTCGTAGAAACAAATTCTCTGCCAGACCTTTCTATCGTGGAAAGCACATTGAAAACCATTGACAAAGCAGATACTTCTGCTTTGGATTCAGGTGTTAAAAGTGGATTTAAAATGTTGGTAGAAGATGAAGAACTGCGGTGTTTAGTTCTTGATAATTTATGGGTCATCATCAAAACTCTTGGCTCTGATGGAGTCAAACATATGTTGAAAGCCATTCAAGTACTCCCTGGAGTGTTAGTAGTTATGAATGGCAACCTTGACCCACAATCGTTGACCCACACTGTGAAAGGTGGCTTGGAAATGCAGGCGATACAATTCAAAATGGTCAAAGAAGGAGGAAAAGGAGCAAAAGTGATCTATCAAATTATCAAACGTATTATTGACATCATCCGCAAAAAGACTCAGACAACTATTGAAAGTCGTGATGACTTGACACCAAATCAAAGAGAAGAGTTGACGAAAATTGTGAATGCAACAACTCCATTGGTGGAGTCTGATGAGCCTAATAATGAAAAAATTGAGGCCTTGCTTCATACTCTAAGACCTCAGAAATATGTGAAAACAGACAATGTGGCCATTTAGAGAAAAAATTTGGCTAGCAAAGATGAAACATCTTTACCAAGAAAAAACCGAGCAAGCAAAGATGAAATATATTTACCAAGAAACATCAACTCTGAACTTCCAACCAAGAGCCAGCAAAAGATAGTCACTCAAAAAGAGGACAATATGGTTTGCATTTGGATACTTGTTGTTGTTGCTTTTGCATTTGTAATTATGTTATTCGTGATCTCGTTGTGTGTAGTTTTAGCTTTAACTTTGAATAACTGAATCATGGCGTCTCAGCAAAAAGCGACCTTACTTCTTAGCAAACTGAAATTGACTTGCAATAAAGGATTCTTCATCATATTTGAGCCGTATGTGTGCCATTACACATCTGTAAAAGTACATTTGTTGTCTCATAGGCCAGGAGTTTGTATGATGAAAAAGTAATTGCGTAAAACATAAGAGGAATCATCAAGGGAATCAATGAAAGCATGTAGATAAAACAGAATACCAATGAAGAGGCAAAGCACCAAAAGAAATAAATAAACAATATTTGAAATAAAAACAAGTTTTTCCATAAGCTCGGAATTCGTTTCGTTTTTTCATTCACATCAAGAAATTGCTTGATTATAGAGTTCATTTTGGTGATTTTACGAGTATTGCCAAGCATAAGCAAAAGACAAAACAAACAAACAATAATAAGGTAATATTCAACAATTAGAGTTGAGATAAATAAATATGCATCAATAATTATTTATTTGTTCTGCTTTTTTGTTGATGTTTCACTCCAACAACAAAAATGTATCCCTCTTCCATTGAATCCTCAGTTCAAAAAATCTTGTTCTGATGGTGTTTGCTCTTTTGACATTGTTCATTCAGGACTCTTTGATGTAAAGGAAGGAGATGAATTGTGTTTTCAAACATCCGCTCTCACTAATGAACGCATATCGCTTTCATTTACTGAATTAGAAGTTAGCTATGAAACCGAGTATTGCTATTTTACAGACGACCCAATTCCACACACATCGGTAAATTGTACCTGTAATGGTGTTTGTAACCCGCCTGCAGAGATGAACGAGTACGATAACAACTTTCTCACAAACCACCAATTTATTTTGACAGGTTGTCCAGCCCCAATAACCGGATCCGTTTGTGTTAGACATGCTTTTGAGGTGTTTAGACGCTTCAAAATTTGTAAGATTTCGAAGAAAAAGTACTATGTAGTCGCATCTGCACAGTTCAACAATGATTTGGACACCGAGACCTCAAGAGATAACGGTGTAATTGGATTCAGAATACAGGGCAATAGTACTCTAATAGACATTAATGTTGTACTCTCTGAACCTCAGCCACCTCTTGAATATGTGTTAGTTGACCTTCATGCTCCGTCAGATTTTTATTTGATTCCTTCCGACTTTGTAAACAGTCTTAATACTTTTGATATCAAGAAGCTTGGATGGATGAAAATTTATTCAACTACTTCCAGACCCGGATGTCGCTCTCCAAAGGGCTCTTGCAGTCTCAAAGTTGATTTACCTCCCCAAGACGTCTTGAAAACCATCTCCAAACCACTTATGAACAACTGTTTGACGCTCTAGCTCGCTTAATCAGATTTCTCGTCATGGTCCTCGTGAAATGAAATTTCAACGAACGTGATATCGTCAGAATCCCAATAGCCACCTGGAATGGGTACCTTGACAAAATACTGCAACCAATTCACAACCATACACACATACTCATTGTCTTTCATGGGCCTCTCTGTTTTCAATTTGAGAATCTTTTCAAACGATTTCATACCGTCATAGTCTTCATAGACCTCATCTCGTTCCAAGTTATTACGGTCAAAAGAAATTTCAAAAACCGTTGTGTCATCAAAAGAAAGAATGACACTTTCATACACGTTTTTAGAATCGTCAGTAGCCTCATACGTATAAACAATGTTCACTTCCAGAGGATAACCATTGGACAAAAAGGCAAGGCAATCAGTGGTCGTTTTTTTGTAATTGAAGTCACTTCCTTCAAGCTTTTCTTTTTGCCGATTGAGAATCTTTACATGTCTGAAAAGATTTTCTTTCACAATGTTCAAAATTTTGTGAGAAAGAAATCCTTTTCGTATCTTTGCGTATCTAGGTAATGGTATAGTCGTCATTTCTCTCGAGGATTTCGGGCTTGTAAAGTACTGTTCCTTTTCCACATGCTCTTTCATTTGGGTTAAGAGATCTGGATTTTTGGTAGTTTCATATGTTCTCAATAAGCGTTCATGATGGCGTGAGAAATCATCTTGGAAGCAATTTAACAACATTGAAAAGGCCTTCTTGTAGTTGATGCTTTTTGTTTTCAACATTCGATGCAAACTGTTCTTTTGGTGTTCATTCAAATTAAAATACGAATGATAATAGAGTTGTGCAAAGTTCATTTCGTTCTTGAAAAAGAGTTGATTCCATTGTTTGCACACCAACCATGGTTGAGAATTCACAAAATCAGGAGCATCCAAAAATAGAAGGATTTCTTTCAAAATATCATCACAGAACACAAGAGTCTCCACAACCTCATCATTTGCATCATTCTCTGAGAGCTTTCTTTTCTTGGTCCCACTGGCCAGTTCTTCAGGTTGTTCGCTTAATGAATGCTTTTTGTCGTCGGACCTTGGATAAGCCGTTTCTTTGTTGTCATTATTCTTACCTGCTAAAACCATCAAGTAATAATGATTTTTAACTTGTTCCGAAGCTTGATTCCATAACTCTCTCAATTCTTCTTTTACTTGTAAACGATTGAAATGCTTCTTACTTTCCTTCACTTTCCAATGATGGTCTTTCAAAAGTTCCATGTTCCAAATTACATAATAATTATCCATAACCATTGTTGAATACGTTGAATTTAAAACCAACCACACCACTATTCACATTTCCAAACCACGTACCTAATGCGAACAGAATAAAGGCTTCGTGTTCTTCTTCATCGTCTGCCAAATCAATTTTTGTTCTACTTTTTGAATCCATTTTTTTTTTTAACTGTAGTTTTTTTGTAACATCACTTGGTCGCCTCGGCGGCGGGTAAATTATTATTCAATATTGAGAGTAGACAATACTCAGAGTGGTTGTTATTGTCTTGTGTATGGGGCATCATGGTCTTCAGTTTCTTCGGTTGAATCTTGGTCAGAATGATCGTCGTCAATAATATGATTGGTTTCCCCAAATTTCACACCATACTCATAGTCAATACTGTGTGGAAGTTCCAATCGAATCAATTGTTTCAACCAATACAACACAATGGTTGCAAATTGTTTAAAAGTTAAACGCTCTTGTATTTCTAATTCGAGAAATTTTGCAACATATTTCAAACCCTCAGCTTCGAAACAATCCCTGGATACGTCGTCACGAACAAGCACAGGCAAAAGTTGATCATATGAAATAATGGTAAAGACTTGATAACCTTCTAAATGGATGGTAATGTGATCAAAATAGGTCGTGACATTGTACTCATCAAAGCTAACATGGACATGTTCGTTTTTCACAACAACTTCCACATGCATGGGATAACCATTGGATAGGAAGGCAATATATTCAGAGGTACTTGAACACATGGTAGAATCTTTGCCTTTCACCTTTTCAGAATGTTGATTCAAAATAATGACATGTCTGAATAGATTTTCTTTCAAAATGGTAATCGTTTGATTTTGCTTGGATCGAAGTTTTGCAAATTTTGGTACCTTTTCAGAAATCATGACACGTTCGTAGGGGAATGATAGAATCTTTCTCGTTGTACAAGCGTTTCCAATGAGGCCAAGAGGGATGGATGTTTACCATTTTCATATTGTTCCAATACATGTTCAAGATCATGTATATAACTGCGTTCGAAACTCTTCAATAACATTACCAAAGCATCAAGAAACGACAATTCAACATGGTTCAACATTTGTTGCAAACTTTGTTGTTGATCTTGATTCAACTTGAAATAGGAATGATAATAGAGTTTTGCAAAGTTCGAATCTTTCTTGAAAAAGATTTGATTCCATTGTTTGCACACCAACCATGGTCGAGAATTTATAAAATCAGGAGCATCCAAAAAGAAAAGTATTTCTTTCAAAATATCAACATTGAAATATGTGAGTTGTTTCATGTCGTTGAGTTTTCGTTTCTTGGTATGAAGATGATGCATGTCTTGGTTGACTTGTTGTTGCATTGGAGAGGAATTAGTTTCACACAATGCATGGTTTTTGTTATCCATGCTGATGAATGGACCAAATGATGTAATAGGATCATGTGGTTGTTCCGACACTGAATTCAGATATTCTGTTCGAAATTGTTCCGAAGCTTGATTCCATAAATTTCGTAGTGCTTTTTGAATTTGTACTTGTGTCGGCGGATGTTCTGAATGTTGTTGTAATTGTGTTTTCACTTGTGAAAGATGATCTGTGAATAAATAAAATTTCAAATATTATGATATTACGTAATTGTTATCGAACAATATCAACGTACCAATCACAAAGAGCACAAATGCATCTTCCATTGCGCGGTTGTTGTTTTGTTTTGACATTTTTTTGACAAGTGGCAAACCTTAATTTCACAAGCAGACTGAAATCTCACAGGTTGTTAACTTCCTGCTGACTTCCAAAATTTTGTACTGGATTTCGAAGAACTTCCATCGAAAAATGACAAACTGGAAACAGGTATCTCACTGCGCTTATTATTTCAATCTTTCTTCTTCTTTGGCATGTCCCTAAATTTCACACTTGGCCATTTCTCATCATTGATCAAGTCTGGAACAGAAAAGTCCACAAATTCTTTCAACCAATAAAAAACAATACATGCATGGAGTTTCTCATCAATCTGTTCCTGTGTTTCTAATTTCAAAAATTTTTCTAACTCTTTCAAATTATCATATTTGACATTTGTGAAAACGTCACCACCGCCATAAATCCAATATGGAAAGCTCGAATCTCAGAAGTAGCTTTAAACGCTTTAACCTGGTCTAGTAAATGGTTGTTTTAGATCGCAGACTGCCAATAGCGTCATCTCCAACCTCAATGTTAAGTTTTTCATGTTTACATTCAATAGTTACAATTAATGGATACCCATTAGATAAAAATGCAAAACAATAAGTGGTCATGGTACATAATGTAGATTCTTTTCCTTGAAGGTGTTCCACTTGATGATTGATAACCATGACATGTCTGAACAGGTTTTCGTTTAAAATTGTGACAACCTTTTTTGGCTTCGAAGGCATTCGAATGACTGCAAATTTTGGTAATTTTTGGAGATCATGTTCCGTGAGAGTTTGAACTGAGATTGTTCCTGTTTTAAAAGAATTTCCATTTCTGCTAAGACATCTTGTGTTCTTTCATGTTCATACCGTTTCAATAAGCGGTCATGATGTTGTGTGAAATTACATTTAAAGCAATCCAATAGTGTTGAAAATACAGCTCTGTATGGAAACATATTTTCCAACAACATTTGATGTAAACTATTCTTCTGGTCTTCATCCAATTTAAAATAGGAATGACAATATAATTTTGCAAATCCAGGTCCTTTCTTGAAAAAGATTTGATTCCATTGTTTACAAACCAACCATGGTTGAGAATTCACAAAATCAGGAGCATCCAAAAAGAAAAGAATTTGTTTCAAAACGTCATCACAGAGCAAAGTGGTGACAAGTGGTTTTACATTCTCAATTTTTCTCTTCTTTTCCTGACCAACATGAATGTTATCATCGTCAAATACATGCTCATTGTTGTGATCCACTATTGGAGAATCATGGATAGCAGTATTTTTCTGTTGTCCCATCAACAATATTGTCAAATAATCATTTTTCACTTGTTCCGAAGCTTGATTCCATAACCTTCTCAATTCGTTGTGAATTTGTAAAAGCATGCTGCTACGTTCATGATCTTGTTGAAATTTTGTTTTCACCTGTTCAAGATTCTCTTTATGGTAAATATTTGTTCATCATGATAATGATCACAAAATAATCATTTGAAAAATTTCGGGTATTTTAATCATGATGATTTTGAAGGAATAGCGATCAATCATACACCACGCAACTGTACATCCGATTTAAACAAACGTACCAACTGCAAAGAGAAGAAATGCGTCTTCCATGGAGTGATGAGCTTTGGTCGGTTGTGGCATTTTTTAAAGATTACAACAAATCTGTTCTTGTAGTAGTTGAGATTTGGAATATTTAATAAATTCTTTACAAAATATTAAAATGTCACAAAGTGGTGTTAATTAAATTTACGGAATTTAAGGGGAAGAAAAAATCGTCGAGCCATTCCTGCTGTTGTTGTTCCTGTCTATTGCTGGGAGAAATGAGAAAAAATAACGTTTCCTGGTCTGGATCTCAGGTATGTCAATAAATTCTGCCAACCAATACAAAACAATATTGGTATAAACATCCGTAGAAATTGGTTCAAGTGTCTCTAATGTGAGATATTTGAAAACATGTGAATGTCCAACAATATCCAAAGGATTTCGTTCCAATGAAAAATAATCAATCACAGGATTCTTGGTCTTTGAATAACCAAAAATGAAAGCCATTTCATCGTTAAAACGAACGGTGGTTTGATAACAAATCTGATCCCCAACCGTCTCAATATTATGGACAATGGTAACCTTAATGGGATAACCATTGGATAAAAAGGAAACGTATTCAGTGGTAACTGTTGTTAATGAGCATAGTTGTCCTTTTTGCTCTTGAACACGCCGATGCAACAAAATGGAATGTCTAAAAAGGTTTTCTTTCAAAACTTGGGCCTTGGACCATGAGTGGAAGTCAGTGTATGGTATTAATTCTGGTAATGTTTTTGAAATCATGGATGAACGGTGTTCAGATAAACGTTGCTTGCCAAATTTTTTGTCATATTGTTCGTAATTCAAATTTTTTTCCATTTCTGTCAAAATGTTCTTATTTCCATGGAGTGCATATTGTTTCAACAACTTGTACTGTTTTTGTGTGAAATTCCGATTGTAGCAGTCTAATAATGTAGAAAATACATCCTTGTAACTGAGATTAGATTCTTTCAACATTCCATGCAAACTACTCTTTTGATCTTGATTCAGCTTGAAATACGAATGATAATACAGTTTTGCAAATTTGAGACCCTTGATGAAAAAGTGTTGATTCCATTGTTTGCAAACGAGCCATGGATTCGAATTCACAAAATCAGGAACGTCTAAATAGAGAAATATAAGTGTTAAAACGTCGTTCGAGAAGGAAGTCTCGTTGGAATTGTAGGTTTTTCTTTTCTTGAAAAGACTACAAAATGGCAAAAACGACTCGTCTTGGTTGTCTAATGAATGCTTTTTGTTGACCAGGTCGTTTTCTTCTATCGGAGGTTCGTGGCTATCATGGTTCAATGTTGTATGATCATCTTTTCCCAATGGTGATCACATTTCCTGATGTAGATGAATAACTTACCGATCACGTAAGTAGTGCTTGTGTGGTGTTGAGACATTTTTTTTGGAATTCCTATTTCGTGCGAGAAAAATTTTTTGCCAACTATCTTGTTGCTGTTCGCAAATTTTTTTGTTGATGGATGAAATGCCTTAGTGGAACATCTCAAATCGTCATTAATCGATAATCCGTTAATCTGCTGCTTATTAAATACCCAGTTCTTTTCTAAGAGCTAGATATTCTTCTCTAATACATTGAGTCACTGCATGAGCATCAGGAATAATTCCCTTGTCACACACTACAGAAATGCCAACTCGGCCATTGAAAGACATCAATGTGCAATTCACACCGATAGGTTTCACAAGAGGAATGAATCCAACACCTTGCATCAAGTCGTGACCGAGTAACTTGAAGGAAATTTCATCTTCAGGAGAGTGAAGACCTTGTACGTTAGAAATTGTGAAAGTCGATGAGGATGCTCCCCAATTCAGTAATGCCACTGACAAGGATTTGGGTAGCAAGGTTGTGGCTAACCATAGTAAATATCTGTTGAAATATGGTTGTGGCAAGAATTTTGCTAAATTCATGTAATGGTGGATGATTGAAAATCTTTCTAGAGGTGACAAACGAATATTGAAAGGCATCGTTCCAAACAATACTCCAACAATGTTACCAACCTCTTCTCTTGACTTGCTAGATCGAATATTGACACCCATTCCCAAGCGACAAGTACAACTTTTCAGAATGTACTCTTTTGTCAGACCACGAGGTGGGTTTGTGCTAATTTTCAGCCTATATCGATCAATGGCACCGCTAAATATAGTCAGAAAAGATCATTGACTTTTCCAGTAGTGGAATTTTGTTGCCCTAAGATTTGAGCCACTCGTTTGAACTCTTCAACTGTGAAATATTGGTCTGCCTCATTGGTCAGGTCTGCCTCTTTCTTTGGAGTGGATTCATTGAACCAAATGAAAGAACATGATACTCTTCCAGATTTTGGATTCTTTGGAGATGGTTTAAACATGGTATCTGTGTCACCACTAATTCCCAAATAAAGTATTAGTAGTAAGGTTGCAAAAAAGGAGACCAATTTCAGAACCAATCCTATTGCCAATGCCAACAAACTTCCTACCCATGGTACATTTCTAGATATTCCATTCTCCACGTTATGGATGATACTTAGAGCAGAGTTCCAGTTGTTATAACTTCCTTGCATCATATTGTCATATTTTTTCAACAAGAAATTGGATACTTCTTCCTCATTGTCCAACAAATCACCGACAATGATCCGCTGCAACAACTGTCCATCTCCAATCCAATGATGAATCTTAAAAAACAATACAATTCCTCTAGAATAATTCTCAATGACATAACATTGCCAAAGAGGCATTTTAGAGCCTGTCACTTGTCTAACAGGCACAAACGGAGTGGTAAATATCTCACTGAGCATTTCGCTCAATGCTTCGTCTTCCGTCATCATTTGCAACTTTTCTTCGCTCAAGCTGCAATACTTGACATGATTTTCCATGCAGACATTTTCCACACCAACATCCACGTATTCACAGTCGCTCACCACCAAACTTCTAAAACGAACATAACGCGCCAATAATCGTTCAGAGAGTCGTTGCTCAAAGGCTTCCCGATTGAGTCCGATGTTCTTTTCGTCATGATGAACATGATATGATCGATTACTCTCACAATTATTATATTACTAGCTCCTAGAAGAACCAATCCTCCCACTACTAGAGGTTCTTCTGGTTGTTCTTGCATGAGCATGAGTTGTCCGAATTTTGAAAGCCTTCGTTTTGGTGCATTCGGAAGCGAATAAGACACAAAGTTCAACTGGGACATTTTTTTATGGCGCCATTAATTTTTCTTTCGATGAAACTATTTCACACACTTGATTCTCTTTCGTGCCAGATGTCCTCTCATGGTTTTTTGGATCAAGATGGCTGCATGAGTTCTATGAATGTGGCGCATGACATCAAGAGCTTCGGCCGTGCAGAGTCGAAATGAGGGGTTGGGCTCGAGACCTTTTTCGAATAACTCAACCAATGGATGAGTGTAATGTGCACTGGCACTGAGAGGTTGGCCTTTCTTATTGAATAAAGTAAAATAAGGATTGGCCTTCAAATTTTCTTGCCAAATTTTCACAAAGTCATCCTCAGAGGAGACTTTGGCTTGAAAATTTACCTTCTTTTTGCTTAAAATTTCAAAAAGAGAGTAAAACATGCTATATATGTCGATACCAGCATGTGATGGTTGTCCTTCGTGATGCTCCGGTGGAAGATATCGTAGAGTTCCTCCTAATACCGCTTGTCCTTGTTTCACAGAAAAACCAAAATCTGCCAGTCGAACACCCTCATGAGAAATTAAAATATTTTGAGGCTTAATATCGCTATGTACATAACCTTTCATATGAACGCATTCTAAAGCTTCCAATAAATCTACACACGTTTTCAAATATTTGAGCGGCCTCATGTACTTGACTTTCTTTCCTTTAGTATTCACAAAGCTTATTTGCTGTGTGAAAATATCGCCAAATTTACAGTATTCAAGAATGACTACATGCGACTGTATCTTCTTTTTAGCGTCGTCAACTTCTTCGTAAGTATAGTGATCCAACATTTTGATGACATTTCGATGTTGGAACAACTTTAAACACTCGACTTCTCGTTCATAATCCCTGAAAGCACCATCTTTGTATTTTTTCATAACACATACTTCATTGTTTTCCTTGTTCGTGACGAGAAGAACCACTGCCGATGCACCATCGCTAAGTCTGTTCAAAATTTCATACTGTGCCTTCTTTTTTTCTCCTTCTTCGATGTCTTTCTTATTCTTTTTTACAAACAAATTAGTGAACGGTTTGATAATGGCTTTCCACGACCTTGACTTTCGTCCAGATGTATCAGTGGAATTAACTGAATCTGATCTTGATCTTGTATTCATACTGTCATCACCAATAATTGCTGGAGCTACAACATTTGCTTTGGTTGCCACCTGTGTTTTGGTTTTTCTGGAAGGAAGTAACTGAGCGTCTTCGTCGTTACAATCAGATAATTTGTCGTGACATATTTCAAAAACTTTTAAAACTGATGAAATACTTGGTCTGTCATGTTCCTCGGGAGACAAGCAATCCAACGCAACGTTCAGAATCTTTTTCAGTACGACCTCTAATTGAACGTCAACCTGGCCTCCTTCCAAACCTCCGGGATTGAGTGACCGGTGCACTCTGTCCTTAATATTTTGAATTTCATTCTTCCAGTCATCAATATCGAGCATTTTAGCATCCACCTCCTCCTGAAACAAAACGCCTAGAATCATTGTTCCAAGCATGTGAATGTCATTGGATGTGGAGAATGGTTCGTTGTCACGTTCAAATGCTTGCCTCGAAAAATATGAAACATGTTCATCATTAAGAGTGTCTCTAATAGTTTCCAGGCCAAAACTTGGCACTTGCAAAATGATCTCAGCTTGAGAGATTTGTTGCAAACTTTTTGAAAGAACTAGAACGTTTTTTGGAAGGATGCTATTGTGAATAATATTACACGAGTGTAATTCATGCAATGCTTTGCAAATTGAGAGAAATGTTCTCACCGTAAACTAGAATTGAGAAGAATTTCAATAATTAAAAACCTGCAAGTGTGACTTACCCTTAGTCGTTCTTCCTTGCTTACCAAAATATCCTTATTGAACAGAACTCTCTCCAAATTGAAAACTTCTCCCGACCACCCTTGTAGCAATTCTGTTTTTTTGTTCAACTTGACATTTTTGCAAGCCGTAGAAAAATATAAATGTGAGGTAAGCCCTTCATCACAAATTCTTTCATAAATTCCATCAATTTGAAGGTTTTCCTCCGACCTCAAGCTTGCTTGTACATAATTCAAGAGATGTTGTTCATAATTCTTAGCTTTTCCTCCTGGTAGAATGGATTGAGAAAATACAAAGCAATTTCGTTCGGGAGAGATATCTGCAAAAACCGGGACATGAATATTGGTTGGGTAGGAGTCTTGATATACTAATTGAAGATCAACAGAATCTATGGAGGATGATGTATCATTTCCGAAGCGGTTGCTCACCAACTTTTGTAGAAGTGATTCATAACTCTGAATAATGGATGTTGTCATCGAGTCCTTAGCTAAAATGAAGAGATCAACGATGAAAAGTGTCAATGAGGGAGGTTGAAAGTTGCGCTTTTTTTTGTACAAGTTTTTGGGCGCCTAATTTGAGCTAGAGACAACTTTGCGTCTCAACCACAAGTTCACAAAGGTCCAAGTTGGACTACTACCATTTAATTTCATGGTAATTCTTGTACAACTTTCCATAATCCAGAGAGGCAGTCAGAATTGGATGAAGAATTCGATAGGCGCCGTCTTGGACATCCAATGGAGGGTCCATAAATGTCTCAATGGCAGAGGAAACCCAACCTGTATCTGCAGAATTCATCAAAATTCCTTTCTTGCTATAATACGAAGCAGCACTGCGAGTAAGCATATTCAATGCAGCCTTGGACATGTTCGTGTGGACATGAGAGTCAGTTTTTCCATCCACATTAAATAAACCTTCGTGAGACACTACGTTGACAATATATGCCAAATGTTTGCCTGTCAAAAAACCATCAATTTCATAATTACAGCTGTCGTCAATAGTTGGCTGCATCATGTCCATTAATTGTGCCACAAGAATCGTTGGAGCAATATTATTGATCATTTGGGTCTCTAATAATTCAACCGTGTCTACTTCAGGTAACTTGTAGGTCCATGAATGGTGCGTTCTATTATCTTTCTGCTCTCCAAACTTGTCAGTTTCGCCTGCTGGAAACATGTTATCTAAATTTGCATCAAAATCCTCGTTAGTGAGGTTGTATTTTTCAGTGACATCCAAACAATGTTGCTTGATTGTTTTTTCGTCCGTGTACACCACAACTTTCGAATTGTCATTTCTCAAGACAAGTCTAGAGGCCTCATTACCATCTGTGGCAGCAGAATCTTCCATGCGATTGTTTCCCTCCTTAATTTCTCCCAGATACTTTTCATCTAAATGCTTCTTTTCATTTTTGAGCAATTTGGAGTAATATTTAAGAGGTCTTCGAACAGTTTGTGCCGCACTTTGTCGATGTAATCAGTAATGCAACCAAATGTAAAGACGTTGGTAATTGTTAAGCAATTTTTAAACTTACTTGTTAATTAAATAATCAATACGTTTAAAGTTGTTTCTAATGTAGGCACAGAATGACATGATCGATGCTCCATCTTTAAGATTCAAAGGATAGATAAATAATCTAGATTTCCATTCTTCATAGTCAGAATATTCTAAAAATTTCTCATGAGCATTGTGTGCGAACCGAGTAGTGACAATAACAGTGGCTCCATTCTCCAAAAGAGTCTTGGCGACCATGAAGCCGATTTTGATACGACCACCAGTCACTATCGCAACCTTTCCAGTTAAATCTCTCTTCAACTTTTTCATGCTAGAGTTAAAGAGTTTACATGTGTCACACATAGAGAAATCAACGTCGCTCGAATGTCTGTAAAACCCACAACAATAGCACTTCCAAAAATTGTATTTTCCTGAATCGCGTCACACATGTTTTTCCGAAATCATCATTTTCACTTTACATACCTCTCAAATGTGAATCAAAATAATAGTCTGTAAAGAAAATGCTTGCATCTTTCATGTATAATTCTCTGACACTCACGCAAAAGTAGTGAATATCGTCGCTTGTTACTCTTCTTACAAATTCATCAAATTCTGTTGATTCTGGGGCTTCAATTTCGTCTAGTGAGACACTATCAAAATCAATATCCCACATTCCACCGTAATAATTTTCCCAACCAATTGCCAAAAAATTTTTCACACCAATTCTTCTGATGGTCATGACAAGCTTATATGATAAGCTTAGGTTGTTAAAGACAGAATAAAGTCCTTCTAAATCCTCTTTGTCAACTCCGTCACCATACAGACATTCACTTTCGTCCTCAATCTCACCAGAATTAAGTTTTTCATTAATTCGAGCAATCTTTTTGGAGCAGTCATGAAAATGATCAAGAGGATGGTCATTGGTGAACCAAGTCGTGTAGCCCCGTTTGCCATACTTGTATGCTCGGTTGGTATACATTCCCTTCTCTCTGTGCTCAGAAGACACAAAGTTATAAGTTGTCGAGACGCTGTTAATACCTTCTCTCACTGTGTAGACATGGGTACCGTCATAGCAAAAACGGCAACAATCAATATCAAAGAATGTCATCAACTCCTCAATAGTATCAACACGTCTCAAAATGAATTGAGCAATATTCGAGGTTGACTTTCCATGAATGTTCAAACAGCCATTATTCTTCACAATGGCATAGGTATGACCGTCTTCCTTTGCCAACTTTTCAAATTCAAATAATATTTTCCTCAATGAAAAGTGACACTTTTCCTTACTCTCACCGTTTTGAATGCAGAAAATATCAACATCAGAAGTGTCACCCCATCCATATTCATGATTGCCTTTTCTCAAACATTTCAATACAAATCCTCCAGCAATAATGAATTGCTCCTAATTGTTTGAAGTCGAATGTTAGAGATCTGGAAATGGAACACGTTACGTACCTTGTTGGAAGCATTATGTCTCCACAAACAATCAAGCAAAATTCGAACCATGGAACTACAACTGTCATGAACCTTATTTTTAAACTCGTCAATATTTTCAACCTCAAAATTCTGCCATCTCAATAGATTCATCTTATGGAAAGGACTCTCTTTACGAATGACGTTTCCTTCCATAATGTCTTCTTGTGTAAAATCTTGGAACAGATTAATTAGAACACTTCTTCTTTGGGAAAATTTGTTTGGCAATATGAGTGTTGGATCATCCTTCATGATGTCGACAGGCTCAAACGCGATCATATTCTCAATTCCTGGAACCTTTTCCTTCCGTGTGGACGGTTCACTGTCCAGATCAGAATTGTTGGCCGACGATGAACCTGTAAACAAACTGGTGAGGTACTTGTACTGAGTACACCTACTATTGAGATATTCCAAACGAATAAAATCCAAACTGTACGATCTCAGTCCCAAATACACCGAGTACATCCATTTGCAAGTGAGTGCCAAATGAACAGTTGCATCCTTCGCTGCAAATAACAAGACCAAAGAGACACCCATTTCCGAAATTTTACCAAGAGCTCCTGCCTTTTCCAAATCACCTTTAAAATCCCGAATCACCACATGTGAGTGATGTTTTTTCTTCTTCTTTTTAGGTCGAGTGTTTTGGTGAGTGGCCTCGGAGTCTTGACTCTCTGATGATGATTGATCATCATGATCTTCTTCATCGTCTTGCATCATTTCGTCCTGATTCTCCATCGGTGATTGTTGTTCTGTTTCCTCGTCTTCTTCTTGGACCTCTTCCTCTTCATCTGTCATCTTTGAAAGATGTGCTTTCTTTCGAGCCATTTTTTTCTTCAAAATACTGGTAATTTTCACATTTTACAACATGGGCCATGTTTTAACAGGCCACCAGAAATGTTGAAAGAACAGCACCACAACAAATCAGTTTTCATAACAACATCAATTTACATCATACAAAAAAAAAATAGCGCCAACGTGCTACAGGTTTTTTGAAAAGGCGTTTGTGCAACCTGATCCATCACACACATCATCAGCAACCCATTAATTGTACATACAAATTTGATATTCATCATCATTTAATTTATTGTTACCTCATCATTTTCTTCCATTCCACTCTAGATCAATTTATTTTCAAATGCAAGAACATCATGAATACAACTCGGGACAGAAAGGAGCTGGTTCCGCAGCTAAAAAGATGATCCCAACACCATTAGGTCAACTCAACAAAGGAAGTAAGGGTTCCATCGGCAGCAATATTCATCATCATGGTGGAGGATCGGGAGCATCTGGGTTAAAATTGGAGAGAATTATTGGAAGTACTGTCTACAACCAACATTCGTTTCAATTACATCCATCTGCAATACCAATGTCGGGAGCTCTTCCATTAATGATAGGTGGTCACAGTATGAATTCTGAAATTGTGGCCTATTTGGCAGGAACTTTTGTCGTTCTTTACAATATTAAGAGAAGTAAGCAATTGAAATATTTGGAACATCCAACCTCAAACAAACCTTTCAGTTGTATTGCATTCTCCAAGGATGGTCAATATTTAGCAGCAGGTGAGAGAGGGCCAAAGCCATCCATTGCCGTTTGGGATTTGCATCAAATATTTTCTCCCTCAATGAATGACAATGAGAACAAAAACAACGAGCCCAATGTGACATTAGAGAAACCAAAAATCAGTTTTGATGTCAAGTGTAAGGAAAAAGGGCATGAGCATGAAATCAAGCAACTATGCTTCTCCAAAGATTCTAAAATGCTCCTAAGTTTAGGCGCAGAAAATGAATTGAAAATTTGGGAGCTTGTTCCTGCCTCTGGCCAATCATCCGGAAGTGTCGGAAAGGGTGAATTGAAATTTTCAAAAAATGTGGATGAAACCAACGACATTGCCTTGGCTCCAAACGATGACAACGGTTTCATCACAGTCGGAAAAGGTTTCGTGAGATTTTGGTCCTATGCAAGAACTGCTAAATCATCTCTAATTTCTGTCAGATCTGTAATGTGTAATCTAGATGTTTGGAAGCAAGCAAATTTTGTGAGTATTGACTCTAGAGGAAAGTAAGTACAGCACCTTGAGATTCATCACGAGTGAATATTCATCAATTTTTATAATTCTATTTAATAATTGACAACATCGTAGGAACGAACACGCAGAAGTTTATGCCATAACTGAAGATGGAATTCTCTGTAAAATAGACCCAAAATGTAAAGAGCTACAAAGCTGGGTGAACACTAAAGTACAAAAAGCCTTCGCCATTTCAGTCTCAGACAAATACATTGCAACTGCCAGCGCAAAAGGAGTGGTTCGATTATTTGAAACCAAAACTCTGCAATTCAAGAAGACACTGCCTGAGCCACCACCATCCACCAGTCACGTCACAATGAAAAGCGTCACCAATATTAATAATAGGTTCGTAGTAGAATTTATTAACATGGAAAAATTTAAACAATACACGCTCCCTCAATAGCTATGTAAAGCCTGCGGTATCAGAAGATGTTATTCCTCCGAGCGCACTTGCATGTGGCATTTTCGGTGAAAAAGTTGCAGTCATGTATGACGACAGAAGCTTATTTGTTTGGGATATTTCAAATCTTTCCTTAATTTCCAAGTATAGATCGTTCATTAGTCACTCTGGCTGTGTTTGGGATCTCGATGTTCTTCCTGCAAATACCAAATCAAGTCTTCCACCAGGAACATTTGCCACTTGCTCCTCTGACAATACAATCAGATTTTGGAATATCGATTCTGATCAAGAGGAGAATATTCGTTCTTCAGTTGCCGGTAAAAGTGCCTTCTGTAAAGAGCTACTTGCTGTATTACACATTCCTCCCAGTGTCAAGAACATTGAAGGCGGTATTAGAAGTATTAGTTTTACTCCAGACGGATCCTCAATTATTTCTGGTGACAAGCAAGGGCATGTACGGGTACACGATGTTTTCAACTTTGATCCAATTTACAATGAATTTGCACACGAGTCTGAAGTTTTATGCTTGGACAGTCATCAACTACCAAATGGGGATATCATTTTTGGTTCTGGCAGTCGTGACCGCATGATTCACCTTTACAAAATGAGCAATGGAAATATTGATGTTGTACAAACCTTGGATGATCATAGCTCCTCTGTCACCTCCCTTAAATTTAGTTCCAGTACAACAAAAGACGGGGAAACTCTTAAATTAGTAAGCATTGGAGCTGAGAAGTCTGTAGTATTCAGAAAAGTTGAAGATGTCGGTAGCAAGAAGAGTGTCCGAGTCGTAAGATACCAACAAACACCATCACCTTTTTCTGTGTTTGATCTGGATGTTGATATTACTGGAAAATGGGCAGTCACAGCTGGACAAGGAAAGAGAATTAACGTTTATGATATTGAATCAGGAAAATGTAAACAATATATTGAGACAAAAGACAACAAACCTGTTAAAACAGGAGTTGATAATGCAGATCCTTTAAAGGTTAAACTCTGTCCTGCTGGTATTATTGCTGTCACAAGTGCTTCTGACAAACATTTAAGAGTTTACTCCTTCTACCGTAGAATGCTCATTTCCAGAGTTAAGGGTCATGCTGACGTTATTACTTCAATATCTTTTACACACGACCTCAAAAGATTAATAACTACATCAGCTGATGGCTGCATTTTTATTTGGTCCATAGGAAGCAATTTAACAAAACAAATGATGGAGAGAATGGACGAATTAGAAAAACTAAAGAGAGCATCTATGAGCAGCCCAGTTCCATCAGCTCATCACTTGCAACAACCTCTCACACCCAAGTCAAGCGATCACGACATTAAGAACGCACCCATTGCTTTTGCACAACTACCCCCACCTCCATCTGCAAGAGGGCTACCATCCTCAGAGCTCGTCAAGTCGTTAAGCAAACAATTGTTTGATGTGGGTCAAAAAGATGCTGCAGAACCTCACGAAGAGAATGAACAACACTCCAATAAGGCCATTCCCTCGTCGCAACCAATCTTACGAGATACCTTGCTTCCTCAATGGGCTAAAGGTGCCGGCAGTTCTCCAAAACCTACTGACAAAAAGGATGACGAAGACAAGCCACTGTCCAAATGGGCAGAAAGAGTGGTCGAAAAGGATAACTTTAAACTTATCGCTAATATTGAGGATGTAGATCGATCCCTCGTATCCAATAAGCGAGTGACCACTCCTTCCGATAGCAATGATAATGACGATATTGTGAATTTGGACGAAATGCTCCATCAAGATCAATCTTCACTTTTGCACAAGCACAAAGACCTAATTGAAGATCTCAGCGATGATGAAGATTCAAATGATGAAGACAATATTATCATGTTTCCTTCATCTGAAAACTGTGCTGACACCAGTTTTCAAGTTGCTGAGAACGATCATACTGAACTCGTTCAGGATCAGCCTGCCGAAGAAAAGAACGAAATTAGTCTTCTTGCTGACAACTTGAGTATGATACCAAATAATGGAGAATCGATTCAGGTAGGAGATTTGGAAGCAGTGAGCGATAGCGATGATGAAAACGAAAGTGACGATGAGAATGAGGTATCTCGAATGATTTCCAAGAAAATGGAAGATGATCTTGCCAAACCTGTGTTGATCCCTTCAATCCTTCGTAGCAGTATTACTTCATCCTTTAAGATGACCAAGCAGGAAGAGGGATCATTCAATAACCAAAACGCTTGTAATGTATTGCAAAACCCACCAGTGGATGAATCTGCAGAGAGATTCTCTATCGACACCATTTGTAAGAAATTAAGAGATGGTCATGAAGATTCACAGCTTGAGATTATTGTTGAAGAAAAAAAACCTGCTGTTGTAGTCAATACGAAAACTGATATTGATCGCAAGCTCAATGAGTTTAAAGAATTTTTAGCCAAACACGAAGCTCAATTGCCATCCCAACTAGCAACTGAGGATGTAAAAGAATCCGAGATATCAGATGATTCAAAGAATGACCAACCTGAAGGGCAACATCAAGAACAAGAACACAGCACATCCAATAATGACCACAAAACGTCAGAGCGTACTCTTGCGGTCGAAATACCGGTTTTGCCAACCGTAGCTCATTCAAGCCCACAGTTAGGAAATCTTACTGATGAGTCGCCCATGGTAGATTCATCTGCTATTATGAACAAAGATTTGTCTTTGAGTACAATGGAAACACATTCACAGTTGATGGATCAATCTGACATGGTTCAAATTCAAACTCCAAGAGAGAAACCAGAACCAACTAAGGTGACCAAGATTAAGAACAATATTGCAAAATTGACATGTGTATTCGAAGAAACGATCAAAGAAATGGAAGAACTTTCCTACACGAATACTGATGGAGCTATGGAAGCGATTAACTCTTTCCAAAAGATGGTAGCACAAATGAATGTAAGAATGAGTCAAAGTGCCAGATTGTCGACCTCTCATTCACATTTTGTTTTCTCAACTCCTCAACAAAGTTATGTATCCTCAGGAGCTCATCATTCATTGCTCAATGAAAGCAACGCCAGTCACGCAACAACCACAGTACCCCAACAAGTGGACGTGTCTGACATGCTTGAAAGATATTCATCAGTACTTATTGACTATATCATGAAAAAAGTGGACAACCAAATGAAATAATTATGAATAGAATTTAAATCAATTTTTATCACAAGATGTTATTCATCCAAGATCGTTGACAATTATATCAATTTTCCAAATTTAGGAGAGCTTTGCAAGACCAACAACCTCAATAACTTTCCACTTTAAAAAAATCAACAACGAGCCTCTAAAGTCACACTTCAACAACAACTCCCAACACTCAACATGGTCCCACTTTTGCAAAGGCTCAAACTTTTCAACAATTCCCATCGATCCTTCTCCACTCTTCTCTCCTCTCAATTCTATCCAGCGACTAAAAAACCCACTTCCACCACAGGAACCAATATTGGTAGCACTGATTTTTCACACCTTGATGGATATGGAACTTCTGTAAAAAAACAAAAAGAGCCCAAATCACTCGGTCGATATGAAACTTTACCGAAACAAAAACCCTCCACGGATCCTTACAAGGAACAACAGAAAATGGTAGAACAAATTAAGAAGGGTAAAGATCAAATGGAATTGGAAGGTAAAGAGAAACCTGAGAAGTACACATTGAAAACATCATCTTCTCCATCAAGGCCAAAAAAAGGAGCCGCTAAAAGAAAGCGTTAAACGAAATGGCAAATGACGAACGAACATGAAGAAGGGGACCAAGAATAGGGTATTTGGAGGTTATAGGGCCTATCACGTGATGCAAAGATTGTACAAAATAAATGGCTTTCTCTAGTGTTTAAAAAGGAAAAGTCATGACATTTCAGCTGGCTGAAATTTATTTACAAAATCAATGAACACACTCTCTAGTCAACAATTTGAAACATTGGAAATGCACGACATGTAGTATACAACTCCATTTCATCCAACGAATTTTCTGTCTTTCCAAAATATGATAGTTTTGGTTTACTCTCTTTCAAAATCTGCTCTGAAAAACCAGCTTGTGACAAGCGGTCATAATTTTCCTGTTCCGAGATTTGTTGCGAGCGAAGAACCTCTTCGAAATCTTCACTTGGAACAACATCGACCACATATTGAAGAGTCACACTCGAACCCTCTCTAAACAAGGGATGAATAATCTTCTCTCGAGAATCTCCAATTGAGGGCAAACGAGCAACCAAACGACAATCCAATTCTAATTGTTGTCTCAAATACTGATCCAAAATTTGAACATTTTCCACTTGATACGCACGCATCCATACTGCGCAAAGTTTCATGAATTGATCATAATTTTGACTTTGATCAAACATTTCAAAGTTGTGTTTCATCACATCGGCAATGTCCTTATTTGACAGATTCGAACTTTCGGAAATGTTCGAAAACACACTTCGAAACATTAATGGCTTGGCATGAGGTGATTGGTTGGAAAGTGTGACCGGTTCGTCAATTCCGTAAAAGTTTTTTGGAGATGGTAAACTCGAAAGATGTAAAGGCGTTTGGGATGATGAAAAAATCGAAGAATTCTTATTGAGGTTGGTGTGAAAATTATTAAATTCTAAAGTATGTGTCAATGGTTGAGTTAGAAGTAAGAATTCTTGATGAGGATGATGATCATGACGTGGATGAGAAAGGATTGAATGTTTTAATCCTTTCCATGCGTTTCTTTTCATTTTCTTTTAATTTTGCGTCTGTGTGTAACTGTTGTTGTAATTTGTTTAATGAAGTGATTTTTGAATGATGTGTGGTTTTCAAGGTGTAATTTTGTGTAACAAGTCACAGAAGAGAATAACGCAATTTTTTTGCAATAAAGAGAATGTTCGTATTTGGAAGAGTGTTGAAAAAGAAATGGCATTTAAAAAGATAAATTGATCATTTAAAGTATTTCTTAGAAAGGAAACTTCTAAAATGTATTCATGGAAATTCGATGCTTCATTGACAACCATTGCTTCCTATTTTCAAGCTAATTTCAACAATTGTGAAAAGATTGTTTCATGTCTTCAATGTCCTTCAAAGGATGAAATTTTGACAAGTGCCATTCGCTGATCTCCTGTTGGTGGAGACTCTTTTCTTTTGAAAACTCATAAGTGAGGCGTGGGATCCTTCCTTAATATATAGTCGAATGTTTCTTTAAGGTATTGGATTCGTTGCTTGAAATGTTTCAACATTTACAAACATTGAATTTACATCCATACTTGCGATATATCACGATCTGTAAATGCACAATATTTTATTCTCAAATAAATTCATATCATACTTTCCAAAACATTTCAATAATTATTTATGAAAGGTTAACTCGTTCACAAAAAGGTTGAAAAATATCTTGTTGTCGGATGAATCACTCATTTGAAAATTCATGAAACAGAATCATGAAAATCAAAAGGACTTCCACAGAACTTAATTCTTTGCGACATGATTTTCATTCAATACTTTTAATGACAACAATGTCACTAATCAACACGATGTATTTTGGCGATTAGTGATCCAAAAGATTTGATTTTTCAGATAACATTGGGATTGACTTTACAAATTGAGAGATGACATGCATGACAGATTTTTGGTTGCTCTTTTTAAATTAGTACAATTAACCATCCAATTGGAAAGTGGAATAATATTCAAAATGTTTCATTCTGTTACTTTAATGTGAAAAGTCCCGTCCGTCCATGCTCCAAGCAAGCTCATACAATCAATTCATACAATGACATTTGGCCCAATACAATGATGTGAAATTACTTTGCATTACGTCTTGAATTACTCAAAGACAAGCTCATGTATGATTGAAACACAACGAATAACATAAGAAGAACTAGTTGAAAATAATAAATTAATGAATTGGTTTTTATATTACATTCATGAATGGGGAGATTTTACAAAATTGCAAAATTGTTGAGATTGATTCACTCAAATCAATCACTCTTGGGAAAGAAAATTAGGGAAATTAGTTGGGAATTACATGGATTGGTAGTGTTGTTATTTAGGATCTAGAGGGATGTAGGAGGAGTAATTGGTGTTGGTTGTTGTTGTTGTTCGTTCCGGAATGAAACCATTTAATTCAAAAGAGCAAACGCTTGTTTCATCTCTTGATCAATAAACACACCAAACTCTTCCATACCACTCAATTCCTGTAAACACATTTGGATATTCTCTTGAATGGAGATCATTGAGGATGAGTCGACCATTGAGAGTGTGGATGATGATGATGAAGAAGAACAAGGCTTGATCACACCCGAATGTTTTGGAGATTCCACTAAAGGAGAGGCTCTTCGGGTTCTCTTTGGAGAAGCCTTGATTGGTTTTCTATCATTATTGGATGTTGTTGTTGTTGTTGAGGAAGAGTTATTATTCATCATCATCATCATTTGATCTTGAGTAAATTCTTCCAAACTTGTTGGAGATCCCTTTCTCTTCTTTCCGTGATGATCATCACGAGCAACGGAAAGGCTCAAGGAAGTATGTAACGAAAAGGTTGAAGCATTGCAAGCAGTAGAAGTAGTAGCAGCAGCAGTACAAGTGGTCGTAGCGAGCATTTTCTTATTGTTCTTATATTGAGATGTTTTTTTTTGCTTTGAATCTCGAGCTCATCTCCACACGAATGAGAATTTATTGGAATTTACAATTCGTGTCAAGTGTCCCAATGCAATTTGGCATTGAAAAATTTAAATGTAGAATGAAAGTACGAAAAAGGGGTTGTGGTGTGAAAAATTGCCGTGAAAAAGTTTTTGTCTGGATGAAGATGACAATGTATTTTAAAATGTTTTTCGAGACAGATTTGGGCAATAATGAAGAGAGTTTGTTTTTTTGAAGATGCAAGAATGAAACTAATTGAACGATTATGGAATTCAGAGTTTACGATTGGAAAATGTCAAATTGAAAAACGATGAAATTCTAGAGGAGTTGGATCACTTCTTTTTAGAAAAATTATTTGAAAATATGAATGTAAAACTTGGATTGTAAAATCGCTCCTGGATTCTCTTGTTTCATTGATCTTAGACATCGTCAACTGACATTGCCATCATTATGTGAATCATTACACACCAAGAACTCAACTTGAAATACTAATGGATAAGAGGATTCTCATTTCGACGTACGCCACTTGTCAATAGCTCACATTATGAAAGATTGGAACACCCTTTCACCATAACTGATATTAACCGCCTGCGTGGATTCATTTCCGTTATCTCCCAAACACAACCAACTGGATGACGAGTGTGTAAATCCAATGATTGAAAGGCAACATGTTTTTAACGACGACTACTATTCTGAATTTTTCAAAATCTCAACGGTTTACAGTAATTTGAATACAGTTGGGTGAAAATTTCCTCATTTCCTTAACGCCCTTAGAATCTAGACAAGAGTTGATCAATGGTACAGTAACTACAGTTTAATTACGGGATGAATTTGGAAAAGAAGGACGATGCCGGAGGAAATAAACAAAATGAATAGTGCTACCGTGGACATGTCCAATGCTTGAAAAAAAGGAGAAAATCACATTCAACACGGTCGCATTCAATGCTCTGTTTCAACTTTGATGAAGCTCAAAAATGGAAATGTTAGTGAAACATTTTAAATTCTCTATTTTCGAAAAATAAAAAACTACACATGGTAAATCGTACATTGGAGTTCGTTTTGGACAACAAGATGGTTTAGGACAATTCACAGACTTTAACATTTGTGATCATTTATTTTTCAAAAGGAAAGGTGCAGTTGGATGAAAATGTGGATAAAGGACAAATTCATTAAAATAATACCCATGACGGCAATGTTTCAATGAAGACCAATTATGAATGTGTTTTTCAAAATAATTCAATTTACAGAATTAAGGGTTGAATACTTTAACAATAAATTTCTCAAGGAAAAGAACGAATCACTTCATTATCTATGATTGAAGCGCTATTGAACATACCTAGAAGTGTCATCCAACTAGAACATCCAACTAAAAGCTACAACAACAATACATGAACAGTTCATTCAGCCAGAACCTTTTATTTCTCAATTTATTGAATCATTGATTTTGCTAACACACGTCTTGTGAAAAGAAGCACCTCCAAGCGAAAGTCCTTATTGAATGGTATTTTACACAAAACTAGACTAAAGGTTTATAAATGGTAATCTCTATTTATGGTTTTGTTGCGAAAGACCCTTAATCTTGAAGTAAATAATAAAAAGTCACTTGTGTGAAAAGCAATGGCAAGTACCTTGTCATAATGGCCTGTCCTTGTTTCTATCTACTGTTTCATTCCTTCATCCCTATTGTATGTTGTCAGAATGATGTTTTTCGCTCATGAAAGCTGACAGTCAGTTCATTTTGTAATTGTTGTATAATTTTGAAAATGAGAAGTGTCTAACAATTTACAAATTGTGGCGCTCACCTCAATGGACATTAGCACGTATAATACATACATCGATGAGTTTGACTTTTGACATTCTTCGACATTGTATTCTTCAATGATATCAATAAGTTGTTGTCAACTGATGACATCCGTTACTGAGCTCGAGAAACCAACAAGAAGAATTTATGTTTCTATTGAATAACTTTCGTTCCAATCAACTTGTTAACAATTAATTTCAATAAATTTTATATACATTTTATTGGTCAAAATTGATTTGACAAGTGTATGGAATGTTTGATTCAGGTGATTTGATTCAAACCTGGTAGGAGAAGTATGAGGGGAATTGGTTGCTGTTTGTTTCATGAGATTACAGTGTATATTATGTACATTGACAATTGACACCAATCATCTATTGATTCAAAAGTGAAAGAGCGTGGTCCATATCAGCCTTCGAGAAAATGTTATTAGAAGAAACACACAAGGAACCAAACGTCTCATCGTTATTCAACTCGCTCATAATGTTTTCAATATGAGAGAAACAATCTTTCATATTCAAAGAAAGTGCTGAAATTGAAGAAGTGTCAGCCTTCAATGGATCCGTTGGAAAAGCTTCTTGAGTCTTCTTTTCACTCAATCGAATGAGAGGAACTTGTTTCTTGGTTGGAGACATGTTAGCAGTGTAGCTCTCAACGATTTTACTCTTCTTTGTGGATGGAATTTCAAGAGAGAGTTCATCTTCGTCTTTGGTTTCTGATCGATCGTTGGAAAGATGACAATTGTCATTGAATTCTTCATAGGAAGAAGCACTTGAGGATGCCATCGTCTTTCTCTTCTTGTTATTTGGAGTTGAGGTTGCAGAGGAAGTGTAAATGGAACTTTCAAAGGAAAAAGCATTGTCAGTATATTGAGAAGCAGCAGACATCATGTCTTCAAAGGACATGCTTTCGAAATTGAATGGACAGCTGGCAGGTGTGGTGGTTTTGACTGCGAGTGCAGGTTGTGGAGTGGAATTCATTCTTCTAGTGGATGGCATGGTGGTCAGAGAGAGAGATTTGTGATGTACAAGAGGAGCTGAACTTGCGTATGAATTTGTTGTTTTTTTTTCAATGATGTTGGTTGAGCTAGCGATTTTCTTGGTCGGCTTTAATACTTTTTATTTTATGTCAAATGTCAATATTTCGTTTTGGTTAATTGTTTATCAGATGCGGAGTGGAATCATGAAATTCGAGTTGATGCGTAATGCTGTGTTTCATGGACATTTGCATACAAGAATAATATTAACTCAGGAATTAACTAAATAATCAATTAACGTCTCAAACAAGCGAAAATGACCACTTTGATACAATGTTTTGGCGCCACTCATGCTGTTGAATGCATTTTGTAATGATATTTGAAATACATCATTACAAATTGTGAAATGTAGTATTTACAACGAGCGTAACCGACGTTCTTGCTTGATATCTCCCTTAATAGAGGTACTTTTAACTGACAACAACCAATTTGTTGTTGAGGAGAGATTATTTGTGAGAGATGTAAACCGTTGCAATGAACAAGGACGTATGGAGCTTGCATTCACTCTTTCTGAAAATATCTCTGGCGTTGCATTAATCGAATGAAATCTCATTGCTTTGTCACAATCAATACAACCATCATGAATTACATGATTATCTCTATGGATTGATTCTCAACGAATTTCATTCTTCAAGTGCAATCATTGTATTCACTCTCCCAGCGCTGCGTTTGTTTCCTGCGTATCCAGAGATAACCTAAATCTATTTGTTGTCAAGAATCATAAACTCGCAAGGAAAATCGTTATAAAATTGTGTCTATTCTTCTCCGTAGTTGAGAAGAGTGACAACCAACAATATTTTAGGACATTCGTCGAACGATTTGGAAATAAAATTTTTAAAAGTCAAAGCAGAAATCAAAATAGCGAGAAGTGAAATGTTGTACAATGTTGGAACTTGCTTCTCCTCTCGCAGCCAGTGCAACATGTGAAAGTGAAATATTCTGTGGATGCAGCTTGGCGTGCAGAAACGCAATCTCGAAAAAATTTCCTCATCCATGCAATAAATTTACGAGTTTAGCGAATTGCAAAAAGTACTATTACCGGATCAATAAACCCTCAAAATAGAAAAAATTCAGGACGCTAACGTTCAAATCAATTGCAAATTGCCAATAGTGAATTTGGTGATCAGTAAAAGGGCCTGAGGTAGTGGGTGCTGCGAACACTTGCTCAGAACCAGCTCCGTAACTACACTACGGTCATTGGATCTACAGTAAGGTTCAATGAAAGGACTTATGCCTCAATGATCATCATACTTCTGTTGTTGAGGCTTGAAGAAACTGAAACTCAGAAGTCATTATAGCATTCGGGAAAGTACAATAGAATGATCCTCCTATACCAAAACACATTTCCTCAATTCATCTCCCTCAACGGGCAAGAGGAAGTGCTTGGACAATGGTAGGGCTGCCCAGAAAACTCTTTACCCATTCTCACTAAGGAAAACAAAACTACAATTTTTTTTTCAAACTTAATTCTTTGAGTGGATGATGGGAGATGATGAAAAAAAGCAAGCCATGGGAAGAAAAAGCACTTCCATGCCTGTCATTCGTACATCAACAAAAGTCAAAACAGGGAAAGATGGGAAAGAGATGTGTTTAAAGAATTGAAAGTTGTTGTGAAATAATTTGTTGATTGGGGACAAGAAGTGAAAGTTTGGTGAGTGGTACTAACGCTCCATTCAAAAATTTGGACCAAGTAAGGTCAAAGTAATGTCACCTTGAACGTCTCAACGTTTATTTACAAAGGGCGTAGAAATGGGTGATGAAATTAGAAGCCCTTCATATGATAACAAATGAACATTGCGACCACCAGAAATACAACTACGCTGATATGAAAGAAAAGAGTTGAATGTTTAGACAAACATGTTGAAATCAATACGGTAAACAGAAAGTGTCTGACTGGAACAACGAAGGCAATACAGAGGATAAAACAACCTTTCGTTGTAAAAACCAAGTTCCAAAAATAATTCAAAAAAATTATAAAAGCACACAAAAACATGATGTCTTTTGGAACTTTGCACCGAGGAATGAGAATGGATGAAAGCACATTCTTTGATGATGATGAGCCGGTGGTTGTCGTAGAGAGTGGAGACCAAGATTTGATATCCCAACATCAACATCCAGCCTCTCTCGTACTCTACTTGAAAGACTCTCGTAACCGCGATTTCGTAGTCAAACGACAAATGATTCAAGACTTGATCATGGTTGATGATTTTGAAGGCTTGATGAAAAGAATTGCTCTGCTCTTTGAAACATCGAATACCTCTAGCATCAACCAAATGTTTCACCACAATTCTGATAACCGTCCAACTCTTTCATCTTCCAACGATTTGATGATGAAAATTGAGTACCGTGTTGGATCCTCTAAGAAGCTACCTCTCACCAAAGATTATGAGTGGAGAGAAGCTCTTCAAAGATTGTTGCAATCAAATTGTACCTGCATGGAATTATTCGTCAAGCTTAAGAGCAAACAGAAAATCAAGGGCTCTTCTGCTTCTCCCTCTCTCGTGAGAAGAGTCATTGTTCCAAGATTTCAATCTGGTTCAGACACTTTGCTTAGCAGCCGTGTATTGTACCAAAAGAAAAGACCCAAGTCACTTTTCAAGCTCATGGATAGAGATGTCTCTCGCTCTTTCGCTAGTTGCTTCAACAGAATAATTATCGATGCGAGTAGCATGATATTGGCTGTCAAAGAATTGAAGTTCCTATTTCTTCACAAGAACAGAAAGGAGCAAGCAGAGAGATTTATCATCCAAATGTGCTCTCATTTGCACCATGTCCATTCACTCAAGCTCATGCACATTTGTTTCAACTCAACAAGCAATCTTGTCATTCCAGAGAATCAGAGAGATGACACATTTGTTGTGTCAGTTGCTCCAGCATTCTCTTTCGTGAATGAACAAGTGGTTGAGTCGGCAAACAGGCAGATTATTGCTGGTTATTTGGAATCTTGCCTGGTCATTACTAACGACTGTGTATTGACAAAGGAGATGAAGAACATGGGAGTTAAATGTTGCTCACCAAAATCATTTTTGAAGCAAAACTTTAAAGTCTTCTCTCGACTCAATAAGGAAATGAAGAACATGAACAAGAAGAATGCTTTTAGAGAGTGGATTACCAGTCACATCGACATACCAATGTTCAACTAATCATTTATTGGACACTTGGACACTTAACATTTTGTACATATTGCAGCTGAAACTATTGTTTCAAGTGATGACAATCTCGAAATAAAACCAACTTGTCTCGTTCTTGAAACGCACATTTTCCTAATTCCTCAACAACGCTCTGTGTTCTCTCTTCGCTTGGAACCAAAGTACGTCCTCTTTGAAAATTCGAATGTTTTCTGTCGCATATCTGCCATTTCGAAGTCGCGCTAAGCGGATGCGATCGGTGTTGAGGTAAATTTATTTATGAAGACAGGCCGAGGCTTCGCACAAAGAATCAACTGAGAAAAAATTCAACAACAACATCCCTTTCATATTCTCTTCCGACTTCAGTAGAGAGCTCATCATCTCTCCCAACAATACCTCTACTATCTGTCCGACTCTCGGAATTGATTTTCTTTCTTCAATTTCAACATATACCATCGTATTCGTCCACCTGTTTTTCATTGTAAATATTGTCTACAAATTTTGATAGAAACAGCGTTTTGCCGAAAATATAATCCCCCAATTTTGATTCCTTTCCATCTGCGTCATCATCATGACTGTCGAATTTGAACAACAACAGCCAACGGTTGTAGTTGAAATTAACAACAACAACAGTAACCAATCCCAATCCGTCGAGATGCAAGACAGTCCTCTCGACAAGACAAACAACAATACTCAACAACCATCCAATGCTAGACGACCTTCGAGAAATCCCTTCAAAAGAAGAAAACAAAAAGAAGCTACTAAAACTGACGAAGAAATTCCTGATGTGAGAGAACCCAACTTGGGGTTCAAAGATGCTTTTACCATGTATAGAATTATTGGATGGAACTGGATTCTAGTTTTCATTGGTATTATTGGGTAAGTTAAATTCACCACAATGGAACAACAATGGATAACTTGGTCAACATGTGTTATGATCATTTGAATGTTATTGTTGAATTTATCCAATTGCAGAGCCATGGGAGCAGGTGTCATTCCACTGTCTTTCCAATTTCTCATCGGAGATGTAAGTACACTTCAATCTTGAAAAATCAATTCGAAAACTTGTTCTTCCAAATAGCTCATTAACGTATTTACTCCTGTTCGTGCAGATGGTAGCTTGGTCCCACCTCAAGAAATGAAAGATGGTGTTGCCAAGTATGCCTCTTATTTTGCAATTATTGCTGCCGGTGCAGCTGTTGCAAACTTTTTGAAAGACTTCTTTTTGAACTGGGCCAGTGAAAGAATTGGTATGAATGTGAGAGGAGCTTATTTTGATGCCCTTACTAAACAAGAAATGGGCTTTTTCGATATCAAGAAAATTGGTGCTCTCACGGTTACCTTGTCTGAAGATGTTAACAGAATTCAAGAAGTTTATTCGGTGAAGATTGCAACCTTGTTGCAAAACCTTACTCAATTCGTCATTGGTCTCATCCTCGCCTTTATCAGTGGATATCAAATGGCAGGTGTAATGATTAGCACTCTGCCTCTAATGATTGGAGGAGTAATGGTTTTGGGAGGAGTAATTCGAGCTTTAACCGCTAAAATCAATAAGGCCAATGATCACAGTGCTTTCATTGCTACTGAAGTGATGAGTTCCATGAGAACGGTGAGAAGTATGGCCGGTGAAGAAAAGGAGCGAGCAAGGTATGGTAAAGATTTGAGAAAAATGTATTTGGCTGGTATTGGAAAATCAATTGCTCAAGGCATTACTTTTGGTTCTTTGATTGGTGTTTTGTGGGGAACTACTGCTTTGGCATTTTGGTATGGGGGTGGTTTGGTGGTTGACAAGACCATGGACGTGGGTGCCATGTTAAAAGTCTTTGGTTTGTCTTTGTTTGCCATCATTGGTATCAGTCAAGCTGGATCCTTCTTCCCAGACTTTGGAAAAGCATTGGTTTCTCAAAAGGCTGTCCTCAAGATTATTAAGAGAGTTCCTGCTATCACTTTTAAGGGTGGAAAGACTTTGGATAATGTGAAGGGTAATATTCGTTTTGAAAATGTGGATTTCATTTATCCATCTCGACCAGGTGTCACAGTCTTAAAAGATTTTAGCTTGGAAATTAATCCAGGTCAAGCTGTGGCTTTGGTTGGTCCATCAGGTTCAGGAAAATCTACCATTGTCGGATTAGTAGAGCGATTCTACGAACCAGCTAAAGGAAAAGTGTACATTGACGGAGTGGATATTTCTGAAATTGATCCAATGTGGTTGCACAGAAATGTTGGAATTGTCACGCAAGAACCAGTCTTATTTGCTACCTCCATTTACAACAATATTGCATATGCAGTGGGTGATAAGAATGTCACTCCTCAACAAGTTGAAGAGGCTGCCCGAGCTGCCAACTGTCACAACTTTATTATGGATCTTCCACAAAAATATAACACAATATTGGGAGAAAAAGGTGTGTCTTTATCAGGTGGACAAAAGCAAAGAATTGCTATTGCCCGAGCCCTCGTTCAAAATCCTCAAATTTTATTACTCGACGAAGCTACTTCTGCATTGGACACTGAGTCTGAAGCTTTGGTTCAAGCAGCTTTGGATCACTTGATGAAGGGACGTACCACCATTTGTATTGCTCACAGATTGTCCACTGTTAAGAATGCAGACAAGATTTGTGTTTTGGCCAAGGGTGTTCTCAAGGAAACTGGTACTCATGACGAGTTGATGAAAATTGAAAATGGTATTTATAAGGGATTGGCTGAGAAACAAATGTTGTTCAGTCATCAAGAAGATTTGGAAGATGTTATGGACATGTAATGTTGATCTTAACATTAAATAATAATTTTAAATATAACAGCTGTAGATATTTGAATTTTTCACTCCACACAAAAACAACGAGTGTTGACAAGAGACAATAAAGAACTCGACAAAAAAAACACCATGACACATCAAGATAGATCACTCATCTCCCAACCACCAACGCTTATTGAGGACCAAAACGGATTCAACGATTCAACTACTGTTCCATCAACCAGCACAACCAACGATATTCATGATTGTATTCGTTCTTCGGAGGAGTCTCCTCTACCACATCATACAACACCAAGCGTGACAAATGCCCTCAATCATTCGTTGCAACATACAATGAATCTCCAACATTTTCATCAACAACTTCAAATACTACAACCTTATGTATGGAATTATCTGATGGAAAATGAAAAAGAGAAACAAAAACTGAGGAATGAAATTGATGCTATTCGGACTCAAAATGATAAGCGTTTTGGGAATGATTTAAAAAGTCTTCTTCAAGAAACTTTGCAATTGTTGTCACAAAAATTGAATCAACACTCACAAGAAGAGATGAAACAACGATCGGAGGACTCAAAACAAATGGAAGATTTGTTTACCCAGCTTCAACAGCAATTAGAGACAACCGAGAGCATTCGTTCAAAACTGCTGGAGAAAAAAACTCAAGAATTGTTAGAGAGTGGAAATCATCAATTAGAGTCTGTCACAAATATTATTGACACTTCATTCGATCAACACAACACAGAATGTAGAAGTGCACATTCAAGTTGGGAAAACGAGATAAAATCATTAGAGAAGAATGTTGACGCTCTAAACACATCAAATTTAGAAATACTTCATCAAGTTCTCAATAATCAACAGTGGGCTGGTCTGTTCGACGAAGTTTTAAAATGCAAAAAAAAGGACATGGAATTAAGGGATGAATTGCTGAACGAGCTCAAGGATCGACATGTTCAAGAAAAAGAGTTATGGGCCTTGCAAAACGACAATCTTCATCAATATGCTCAAGAATTGGAAAATGTGATTGAACAATTGAGAGGTCAAGTACAACAGCAAGATGAAACTATTCAATCTCTTCAAGAGGCATTTGAGGACTTGGAACAGGAACAATTTTGTGTCACTGAGAGTCATGCAAGACAAGTGGCAGAATTAACTCAACAATACGAATTCGAAATGAAAGAGATGGAGATGAGATCGGCATTGGAGAAACGACAAATACAGGACCAACAGTTGGAAAATTCCCTGGCTCTAAAAACGTTCATTGGTCAACAAGAGGTGGAGATTACCAAATTGAGAAAAGAAATTGCCATGCTGAACAGAGAAAAGGAGTCACTGTCTCAACATTGTGATAATATAGAGACAGAACTGCAAGAACAAATCATTCATCTGGAAAGCCAAGTGTTGGAACTGGACCAACACAATCACGAACTGACATACACACATGAACAAGAGTTGGAGTCAACCAGAGTATTACTTCAGAATCAGTACTCCCAACAAATTGAGGAATTACAAAATGAAATTTCTAAAAAGAATGAATCGTTAGAACTATTAGAGACAGAACTTCAAATATTAAGGGAAAGAGAAAATGAATATCAACAAGAACAGAATCATTTGCTTCAAGAACTCCATCTCATGAAACAGCTCTATGAAGATCAGACGAAAGAATTAGAATTTTACAAAAGAGCTCATTTAAGTCATTTAAAGAACAAGAGAGAAGTAGGTCACACAAACAAAGAAGAAGAGGAGCAAGACGGCGAAAATGTTGGAAGCTCCATCTCCATAACTTCTTACATACCTTCACACAAGTTCTGTCAGTCGTCGACCTCACCAAGAAATAGAAACCATTCCTCTCCAAGCACGTCACCGTCCAATCCTAACAAACTCAAGTTTCTCGCTCCATCAAGAAATGGACTTTTCATGTGAAATACATGTGAATTCAATACGGAAGATTATTATGCCTAGGATCAATTATATACAAGATCCACACTTGGAACGATCGAAAAATTGCAACCACGCCACTCACCTTTTACTGTTAACTCTTTGCATGGTGAGCACAATGTTTTCAACTAGTGATTCATCATCTTACTCTGTTCAAGGCACTGTCACATTTCACAAACATTCATCCACATTGAAGAAGAAGGACATTTTTGATGAGGAAAATTTGAGCGATGGGAATCTTGGTCATGATGTTAACAAGCTCGATAAGAAAAGAGTAAGAAAGATGGACTCGAAGATCTCCAACACAACCATCGGGTAATGTAAAGAATGGAAAATCGTATATCAATCACATGAAGATCAAAGGTATGCAAAACAAGATGGAAAACAAATTTCATCATTCGTCAATGGTTACACTGAGGAACCTGTTGTTGGAGGAAATGAGATCATTGAGCTCTGATCTAGTACAGTTCACATTCGCTTAACTTTTACCTTAGATAGTGAGAAACATGAACAGTGAGAGAGACTGAACTTGTAGCTGTGACTCTTTCGTTCAAGTTAAGCTAAATGTCTCAACACCAAAAATAAATATAGATTACAAAAAAAATCATCGTTTATTGAACACACCTTTTCTTACTCCTCTGACAAACATTTATCCCAATCTGCAAATGATACCACCACGGCAGCAAGTAAAGGTCACTATCACACAACAAGATACTCCTCTGGCTGGTTATACCGAAGAAGAGTACGATCAGTTGTTCGAGTCAGGTCATGATTTACCATCGTGGGATGAAATTCTGCGATTGGTAGGAGAAATGCACCATGAAGAAGTGAAGAACTCTGTGGATCAAGATAAAAGGTTGAAAGAGTGTTATGAGAAAATACTGCAAGGAGGAGATGAAAAAACAAATTCAAAACAACCATGCATTTTGGAAAGTAAGGATTGATCGGTTCCTTCATTCATGGCAGAAAGTCTCGGTTCAATAACTTTAACATGTTCGATTATTGTTGTCAGTGGAATTTTTTGGTTGTTTTGAAATACACAAAAAAAATGCTTCAACAACCGCCAAACAATCTTCAAGTTGGTGAATCCAATCCCAATAACGGCCGTGATGAGGACGATCCATATGAAAATGAAACGTCCGAAAGTAGCACCAAATGGGACACAATTTCCATTCCGAAAACTTCGAGTATTCAACCAATTTTCAATCCGTTTAAATTATTATTAGAGTCTGAAGACATTCTCATTACAGTGATTGAATTTATGGATCGATCGTTCGTTTTATGGAACATTTCATTGTGCTCAAAATATTTCCATCAACTCACTCACAAACCATATGCCTATACGAGATTGTCTTGGAATTTTTCACGCTATCATTTGCAACGTTTGGATTTGCTTGCAAAATATTATTCACAACTGAGATATTTAGAAATTGAAGATTCTATTAATTTAAAGGAAAAGATGATTTCCGAGTTAGATGTGAAAAAGTTTATAGATTTTTTGAGAGATCATTCGAGTACGATACAACATGTGGATATGGTTTTTCATAGACATCAAGAATTGTTATTTAATACAATTGTGAAAGAAAGTTCGGAATGGCTGAGGTCTCTTTCATTGAAGATTTCGCTTTGGCCAGATTTTGCGTGCAAAGCTTGTCAAATGTTGAATCAATTTTCACAATTGGAAAAGTTGAAAATTAAGATTGGAAATAGCATTGATCCAGAATTGGTGCTATCAAGTTGTCGAAAATTATTTGAAAAAGGAAAGTTGGTTCTCTTTCACTCAACGACTGTATTGAGAACGAAAGCTCATGTGTTGCAATTTATTGATTGCCTCAAACTAGCTCAAAAATCCATCAAAGATGTTGAATTTTCTATGAACTCCCTCGAAGATAATGAACTAGATGAAGTAATGGTCAAATTGAACGATGAATTGTCATGTTGTCGAAGAATAACAATCACACTCATTGAAGTGCAAGATTTATCGACGGTCAACAAATTCACAGAATTGTCATCAACTTGTTCAGAATTCAACATCAACTTGATTGGTGTCAAGTCTTGCAAACCTGAAACACGACTAACTTTACAGAACGTGAAGGAATTTAATGTAGAAACTGCCAAATATGACCCCAAAACCAATACGTTTCCTAATTCCATGTCACATTTAACATTTCAATATACGTCTTTTATGGAATATGGATCAAGAATTGACATGGAATTTTTTCAAGCATTTAAGTTATTAAGAACTTGCTCCTTTCACCAAGTAGAAATTCCCTCTATTGAAGATCAATCTTTTCCTTTACCTTTGTTAGAAAAATTACATTGTTCCAACTGTAGAATTCAAAATATTTACTCACTATTGAAATTTCCAAAATTGATCATTCTCGAATTAGAAAGGTGCTCATTCATGGAAACACCAAAAATTTACTCCTCTTCAGAAGGAAAATCCACCATCAAATTGAAAGAACTCTCCATTACAAACATGAAGAAGTCTGGAACATTGAATTTACAAATGTTACAACACATGCAATTAGAAAAGCTCCAACTTACCTACATCAATCATGATTCTAGCTTTCTCGAACATTTGCATTTCATTGAAGACATGACCTCTCTCACCTATTTAAATCTCTCTGGAAAGAAACAAGTGATATCTCAAATTTTGAAACACATGAATTTCAAACATCTCACAAACTTGAACCATCTCATCATGAAAAACGATTTTACAGACAGAAGGGACGAAATATTGAAAGTGAACTCGAGTATTTATCATCTCATTCACAACACGAGCATTATTTTACCACTTCTTTCATCCTCCCAGAATTTCATTAATGTTGAACCTGAAAAGTATCATCACGGAGGAGAAACGGTTGACATTCCAATTCTCAAGAAAGATCAAGCTCTCCAAATTGTCACAAAATTCATTCCTCGTTCGTATCAGGCACAAGAAGGAGAGCTTCTCAACGTTTTGTACAGTAGAGACTATCATTACATTACATTTTGCTTGCATGGAAAATTTGGTTATGTATTGGTCAAGAATGAAGCGCCTCATTATCCATTCATTAAGGGATTAATTACGAAAGAAACCATAGAGGGACGACGTTACAGTGAGAATTTGTTTCTTGTGCCTGCTTTTAGTGGAGAAAAATCCAAATTGAAATGTGAAATTATTTAATTCATTAATACGACTCTCGTGAGAAGGAACTGTGAACTAGTAGCAACTGTTGAATCACTATTACAAAAAAAATGTCCAAAGTGAATGCAGAAGGAACCACCGATCATCGATATTCATGGCTCAATTTTTTACCCTTTACACGATTACCTGGATCTGTTCTCTCCGAGAATAAACAAATATTTGAGGAACAGAGTTATCATGTTCGGAACGAGAAGATTGATCTTTCTGAACTTATCAAAACCATGCAGCAAGGTACTTTGATGTTCGGACATGATGAAGAGGAGAAGGCTCATGAAGAATTGCGAAATTATTTTGAAAACAACCATACGGAGCATTCTGAAAATCAAGAAAACAGTCATCGCTCCGAGTTGAAGGTTTTAGATGCTGATTGTTTGCGAGTTGCGTTTGAGTTGGAAGAAAAAACACATAGAAAACCCTTGGTATTGAATTTAGGTAATTATTGATGATGATTATTGAATTGGATGGTTGATGAGAACTTGGAAATGTTTTTAATGGACATCCCTTATTATGAACGATATTTAATAATTGGTAATTTACATCGAGGCAGCAAATAGACATGGTGAACATGTTTGTGGAAAGTATTGGCATCCATATTTGGGTAGTCAAGGTAAGACACAAAGCACATGAAAATAGTAGTACTTACAAATTATTATTTAAGAGGAGTTTATTGAAAGAAAAAGTGCGGTGTATAGATACAGCTTAGATCCACAACACAATGAAATTTTAAAACAGCAACTTGTTGGTCGAGTACGCAATCCCAATAACATTACACATCACATTCCAAGATTTGGAGCTATTGTGTCACCAGGTGTGCCGATCATTAGAAAATTCGAAGAATCCAATGATTATGCTTTGAGTGAAAATGTTAAAACGATTGATGTGGTGGCATGTGGTGCTGTTGATTTACGACGCAAATGGTTCCGTGAAACAGATGTTCTGGATTATTATGATTCGTCAAACAATTTTAATGAAGAAAAGTTTATCAAAGACACCAAGTTGAAAATTAGAATTGTATTATTGGCAGCTTTGAAAACAGGCCACAAGGATCTAGTTCTGGGAGCGTTAGGATGTGGGGCGTTTCTCAAGTAAGTTTAGTGCAACTACATTTCATTGGCGTGACAATATATTGCTTGACATCTGTCAGCGACCCTGCAATTGTTTCCAAGTGTTTTCACGAAGTGTTGAAAGAACCACATTTTCACAACAAGTTCGAGAATATTTACTTTGCAATTTTAGGAAAGAAAAATTCATCCATTTTCCAAAAAGAACTTGAGGATTTGATTCATTGAAGCTATGTGTATTAATTTTTAAATACAATGTATGGATGTGCCAATAGAGAGAGAACTCACTGATGCGATTCTGTAGAAGTTGATTCTTCTTCTTCTGATTTCTTTGGCACACCACCCGTGTACATACCAACCACATTGGCAGCAGTGCTACTATTCGAATTATTGGATGCACTACAATATTGCAATTGACATTCATCTTCAGGCAAGAATTTCAAAATAAATTCACCAATGGAGGATGGAACAATATGGGCCATTTGTGAAGTAGGATTTTTCTTGTTAGAGCTGTCACTACTATTCGTGTGACTAGCACTGTTGCTACCTCGTATCATACTCGATGCCCAAGAGCTCAATAATCCACCACCACCACCACTACTACTATTGGAATTGATGCTGTTGGAAGTATTGTTGTTCACGTTAGTGTTCATATGAGTGGTGGTTGACATTAAAGAATTGTCATCAAAAAGTCCCTTCTTCACCTTAAATGTCATTTGAACATCCTTAATATTATCAATATGCTTTTGCAAAGCAGCTTGAATATGACTTGTCAAGTATGAAGTCATACAGTGAATTCTCTCAGTAGATTGAGAAGCTAACCAAATTCTAATCAATGCATAAGTCAATGGATTATACTTTTGTCCAATTTCTGATTCCTTCTTTGCCAAAAATACATGATTCACGACACAGTTTCCACTTCCTGAAGTGTAGAATGGAGCAAATCCAACATTGGTAACATTGTTACCAGATGATGAATTATTTGATCCAGATAAAGTACTTCCAACAATGTTCACTTCCTTACTTCTCAACTCTCCTGGAAATGCCTCAACCACATATTTTTGAACCATCTTGTTAAAATCATCCATCTGGTCACATTCTTTGAAATTATGAACCACCACAAAGGTAATCTTTCTTGGTTTTCCAGTCGTTGGATTAATTCCATGATCTCTTCTATATATTAATTCATACAATAATTTGTACTCTTCCCATGACATTTCATTCACAACAAATAAAATAAAATGTGACATGTTTAACAAGAGTTCTTGAATCACATCTTCCATCATTTTCTTCTCTCTCACTGTTCGATCAATAGCTTCATTCCATTGACGTTGAATTTTCTCCTCTGGATCTACCCATTGATGTCTATGAAATTGTTGTTGTTGTTGTTGCTGTTGCACCATGGAACTCATATTAATGGCAGGAACAGCTGTCGATGTGGACAATGGACGTGACATTCCATGATTTTTGACATGGACCATATTTCCATTATTCATTGCTGTGAAATTCATTTGAGAATTATTGGCAGGAATTTGAAATTGTTCTTGAGCATGTTGATTGAGAACACTCGTGGTCACTACAATATCTTCTTGAGGTAACATGTTATCTTTTTGAATTTCTTTCAATTGTCTTTTAATTTCTGAAATACGAATTGGAGAGTGTAATCCCATCGTATCTACCAACAACCAATCTCTTCCTTGATTATTTCTTGGAACTTTGAAACACAATGCTGGAGTACTTTGTGTCAATCCAACACGTAAATCACTTCCGCTTAATTCATTTAACACGTGAGTTTTTCCACAATTTTTAAAACCCAACACACTCACGACACAACTTGGTTGTTGTGTAAATTTGTGTTCAATTTCTGCAAAATAATTAATGTAATGATGATGATTTCGTTTTTTTGAGAATTTTCGTTGGTGAGAGGATTGTGTCTCGCACGCAAAAGGATCCTCAATACTGTCACGAGGTGTTAAATCGCCTGCAGATGAAGTATTATCATTGGAATGATCGGTAGAGGTATTGTTGGTACTGGGGAGTCCACCAAATGCAGCACTCGGACTTGGAGGTCTTGAAGGTGCATTGGTAATTTGAGTTGGAAGGACTAGGTGTCAAGTGTCAAAAAATTCAATAAGAAATTATGAATCACACTTACCTCCAGGAACAATGGCTTGAGTATTAATAAAGGATTGGGGTGTTGTTGTAGTTGTCGTTGTGGAATTTGCTTGTTGTGAATGATTCATGTGTGAATGAATACTTTGCATCAATTTCTGATTTTCTTCTTCATGTGCCAATGCAACTGCTTCACTCCATGATTGTTTAATTCGATCCAAAATTCGATATTCCAATTCTTTGGATAATTTAATCGAGAATCCTTTTTGCATTAAATGTTGTGGAGACAATTCATCGATATCGACCATTAAATCATAATCTTCATGACCATCATCGATTTGATACATTGGACTGGAATTAAATCCATAATAATAATAATGAGAGGATGAAAGGGATTCGGAATGATAATTCAATGATTCATTGCCCGTGTCGGAAAGAGAGGAACGTGTGGAGAGACTTTGGGATGAAGCAATGACTCCTGAGGAGTTAATTTTAGAGAGGTCGGTTGGAGTGGAGTGTTTTCCGAGATGGGAATAGAGAGTGTTGTTGTTATTGTTGTTGTTGTTGTTGGAAGGAATGTTGCCCATGTTGGTGTCGTTGAAAGTTATTTTTTGAATTTTTTATCGAAATGACAGTTGACACTTACCTTGCTTAGGAAAGCAAGAAATTTGAAATTGGAATCTGAAACAATATTTCAAAAACAAATTCTTTTCTGTTGTATCTATGATGGACTACTCATTGATTATTGTTTACAAGGTCAAACAAACCATTCAACCAAAATACTGTGAAATTGTTGAGCCATGCATTTCCAATTGTTAAATTCAACAACAAACACGTCCACAACCAACTCAAAGAACCTTCAATTTCAAAATCCGTTAAAAAAATTGTTTGCTTTAGAAGAGAGCTCTCTATGAATCTCACATAGACACACATCTCTTCCAATCTCTCAATTCAATTATTATTTAAATTATTATATATTACTCTCAATACTATAATATTACAAATTCATCCATTATACTCCTTCGGAAAGAAAATGGACGAACACGATCCTATGAATGATCATTCCGAGCCTTTCTCTCCTCATGATGAAGCGTTCAGTGATATCATGCAAGATGACTACTACGATGATACAGAAGATGAAAGAGCCTCTTCTTCTTCTTCTTCCAATCATATCCATACGTTGGGAGATTTAAAACAAGTTCTATTACAACATGTTCGTGAGGAATGTCCGGCTGCTTGCTCTAACAAACATGATGATCTACCAAAGACTTTGTTTTTTGATGAAGAAAAAATTAGAGCTGTTTATATATTTGGTAGTCAGACGTATAATTGTACGAAAATTGAAGGAGTGGTTGATGGGAAATTAAGCTCGAAAGATCCATTCTCGAATCGTGGTGGACGATATGGTATTAGCCCTCGAGGTGAGACACATGTGAGAGTTTTGAGTAATGATAAGAAGAGTGAATTGAAATATTTGGCGTCCTCTGATTTTGATGTTTTAATTGTTTGTGATGATTTGTACTCGACTGATAGTTCGTTGGGTTCTTACTCGAGCGATCAGCAGTTTAAATGGGAAACTGGTTTATGTTTGAATTTTGAGGATGGTTGTGAAACAGCTTTCTTGGAATTTGACATTTCATTCTATAATACTTCCTATTTTGTCTCATATATGAATTACCATCAACCTGTTTATATCCAGAGTGTCACGAACAAGTATTGGGAAGATGTGTTTGTCATATTTGAGGATGAAAAGATGAAATATTTTAGAAGTACGTGGTGTGACTGGAACATGTCCATCCCTCGACTCAAAGTTGCATTTTCTACTGAACTCGATTACTGCTTTGAGAAGGCACAACGATTTTGGAACATGTCTAAAGGAGAAACGGATGAACTGAAATACAATGACAATTACAATCGATATACCACGAGTAGAACGACCGAACAGTTGAGGAAAACTTCTAAAAAAAACATTTGCCATGGTTTAAGAAAACTGAGATTTGCATATCAGTATTTGGCAAATGGAAAAATTGTTGACATGCAAGAATCGAATAATTTGGTACAGGAAGTGTTTGATACAACTCATTACTATTCTCAATGGAGTCAGTTCGAAACAACTTACATACCAATCTATGATGAGAACAAGTTACAGTTTCAAACTGTATGTGAAAACATTATTGGAGTTGCCGAGAGTTTGCTCACCAACTACGATCACCAATCTGTCCATCAATCTCTTGCATTTTTGACTTTTCTGAATAGGTATTGTACAAAAGACAACCAAGAAGGAAGAAAAATTGTGAATGAATGCATGAGGTCAACGCAAGCATTGACACAACAAGACCAAGAGTGTGTTCAGAACTCTGTGGGGTATCTTTTTAATGACGTGCATTCCTTGACCAAATTATTTAATATTGATGTGTTACCCTTTGAGCTTGCATGTGAAACAATAACTCCACAACATCTCTCTCAGTGCACTACTTTCCAACTCTCTTTAAATCCCAGCATGTTTTATTTGGGTTATGATCGGCAAATTTGTAATGAAGTGTTGCAATGTGACGGTGCAATTATTGAACACGTTGGATCTACATCATTTAAATTATTATGTGCTCCAAGATTGTTTGTTCCAGACATTCGAGACCAACCAGAACTTACTTATAACTGTCCATCGGTGAAATGTTTCAAGCTTCCCTATGGTGACAAAGTGAGTCTATTCTTCTATAGAAACAATTGGGTCATTGCATGTCCAGAAATTGAACGTACGAATTGGAAACAATGGGTCTTGTTGCAACCATCGAGCTCCGTAACTTGGAGAGATGCATTTTGGAGTATGTGGGATCATTTGAAAATGGAGTTGCCAAAAGACCAAATGCAAGACAAAACCTTTCATTTCGTGTGGAATAAGCAAAATGGTATCACTTTGGTTTCAGCTCGTGTGCATCAGACTTGCCAGTTTTTATCTCATTCTGAAATGACATTACTCTGTGAACAATTGCATTGGAAAGCTTTGGAGCCCATGAAAGAATTAGACGGAAATGCAACGTCTAGTTCCAATTTGTGGAACCAAGCATTGGAAAAAAGCGCTTCCTTGGATCCAACCATCTATGAAGGATTCATTTTCCTCCCTAATGACGTTCTTCATGCCTCTAATGGACCTCTTTTGCAAGTGAAAACTCCAATTCATTATCTCATGCCAAAATTGAATATTACCAATCCTTTCTATTCAGGAACTGAAGTGTTAAACTCGAGTGTATTTGAACAACCAGATGAATCTCTCGTCCGATCAGAAATGAATGACCAGGCACTCTTTTATACTGCAGTGATGCACAATCATGAATTGACAACTCAAATTCAACAAGTCATTCAACAGAGAAATCCATTATTTTTGGATATTTACAAACAATTTGTGGAATATTTGGACAAGTATTTTATGGAACATCCATCCATTGACGATCATGTAAACACCAAGCAATATTTTAGAGAACAGTTCATTGCAAGATTCTTGGGATACCAAGAAGTAGTGGATCCATTTCATGAAATGGTATTGGATATCATTTATGAAATATGAACTTTATGATAAATTCTACCCCATTATTAAATTCAATTCAAATAATTATTACAAAATATTGAAATTTCATTTAATACTCAATTTTGAAATTACTAAAAAAAATGACCACTTTGATTCTGCTAAATTTGTGGCTTCCTGAGCATCATCATGATGAATTTACTTCCTCCGATACAAATCCATCGAATCATCTCAACGAGTTGTACGAAAAATTACAATTAAAAATTCGAAGAAAGAAATGGCCTTGTTTTAATCCCGAGCGAAAATCATTGACCATGAATTCTTTTACTCTGGTCCATACGTTCGGAGAAGAAGAAAATACGAGCAGTAATAGCAATGATAACACTGATTTGATGTCCAATAGCAGACAAATGACTGCCGTTTATGATGTTAAAATTTCGTATCGTCATGGATTAATATTCATTGTGGATTACAATCAAATACAAGTGTTTGATTTGTATTCAAAACAATTTAAACATTTCATCAGATGTCAAGGAGTAACGTATTTGTATGTGCAGGAAGATGAAACATATTCCTCATTAATTGTCGTTCGGCATTTAGATTTGCATTCGAATGAGGTTGTGAAATATGATTTGGAAATGTTATTATTTCAAAGCAGTAGCAACTCATCAACAATAGAAAACGAACAAACAACGGACCATGTAATAGATCCATTGTGGAAACATGACTTACGGTCAACTAGCACGAATGTTAGTATATGGAAGTCGAGAAAGTTATGTTTTGTGGCAGAGACAGTACCTTTTTCTGCAATTAGCGTGTTAGATCTCAATGATGGACGTTTGATTGAGACTATTCCAACGAAACTACCAAACCTTTCTTGCTTGGCTTTTATGGATTTTAATGAAACACATGTCAACATTGGATCTACTAATAATCACCACTCCAATTACTTATTTGTGGGCTCTTATGTCGATGAAGACGCTATTGAAATTTATTCTAGAACGACAACAGAACCCAATGGATCTATGTTGGAACCATGGACTCTAATAACAACATGGCAGGGTATTGATTATCAAATATCTTCTCTACTATTCGACTGGAAAAGCGGAAATTTAATTGTTGCAGAGCTCGCTAAACCAACAATTCATTTTCTGAACTTAGATGGCGAGCATGTGAAAGAAGTAACGTTTGCCAATGACAAAAACAAGTCGTACGGATGTGGTGAAATGTGTGTGAATGAAATAACGGGAGAATTTTTTATTTGTGACTATGACAATAATTTGGTCTTTGATTTCTTGTAAAAGAATGAACACTTTCACGACTAGTTAACCAATGAGTTTCAATATCATAATTTCATAGTTTTTAAGGTAAACGAACCCCGAATCGAATGACTTGTAGTCATGTCTAGACATGCCAACAGAGAACAACGTCGTGTTTATTGGCAATTTATTGGATAAACTCTGGCTCATTGGAAAATTGCAAAATGTCAACAAGCAAAATTGATCCGGCAAGGCAAGAATGACATTCGATGAAAATGTCAGGTCGGGTGCTTGAAAATCCAAGTCGGCCTTCACAGCGCTCTCACGCAACAGAAATGCTTTCCATTTTTGTCGTTAAGAAGCTTCGCGTGTGTGAAATAATTTTTTGAACCCACGCAATTGATAAATCAACAACGCCTCAACACAACAAAAAAAACATGGACAGTCAAGTAGTAATAACACCCATCTCTTCAAGCTGTGATTGTCATGACACACTTGTGGACAACATGGTTAACAACGACACGATTCTCATCTCTGACATTTCTATGAATGATGACATGATGATTCAAACATTTCTTTCAAACTCGAGCTCGGACGAGAAAAACAACCTCTCCTCCACAACGACATTCCGACCCAAACACATTTCATTAACCAGCAATCCCTCTTCTACTTGTCATTTCACCTCTCCTTCCAAAGCATCTTTATCATCATCACTCATTCGTCATTCCTCTCTTCAAGATTGTAATAACAACAACAACAAGAAACATCGTTCGACCACTTCAACGACTTTGGATGATTCGAGTTCAGAAAGTGCAAATTCCATTCAATCCAAACATTCAAGTCAATTAGGAGAGAATGTTAAAGTAGAAATGGAAATTCTCGATTCCATGATTGTTCATCCGAGTGGACATTCAGTGTTACAACTCTCTGCCAAGCATCGTGTCTTGTTAGTTTTTATCAAATGGTTTGGATGTCCCATGTGTCAAAATGTCATTGATGAATTACAAAAATACTTGTCAAGTTTTTTACTGTTAAACATCATTCCAGTCGTGTGTCATCAAGAACATGTCGATAAATTTTCCAAATACATTTCACATACTCAAATCATGCATTGTTCCATTACCAATGACATTAAGAAGGCATTTCTAGTTCAACGTGCTTCATTATTGCGTCATGCCATGATGATGCCAACCTTATTTTCATACATGATCAAACATCGAAAGAAATTCTTTCTACCTTCTCGAAAGGAAATGAAACATATGGACATGTTATCTTCATTTGGAATGTATATGGTATTTAAGGGGGAAGTGTGTCATAGTTTCAGTTCTGAAAAGTTGAATGAGAGACCAGATTATGGAAGTTATATTTTCCAACTCGAAGAAGAGGAACTCTTGTTTAAAGAATATTCACAAACGCCTGAAGAATTTATTCCAGATTTGGTGAAATTATTTCCAACCATGAAAGAAATATTGAGACAAGTACGAATGGAAAAACGAAAAAGTGTTACACATGCGATGATTCAGAATGTGATGAATCCAACAACGTTTCATAATCCTACAAGTGACGAGAATGATTCACTGACAGTAACAACAGTGCTCGAAAATGCATCCATGAGAAGATTCTTTAAGGCATTCCTTGCCAACTCGTTTTGTTTGGAATCTGTCATTTTCTATGAACAAGTCATGCAGTACAAGATGTTGTGTCAACAAGAGCAACATGTTGCGAACATGCAATGTAAATTAACCAATTCATCATATTATTCAAGTCCAGGAACCATGTCGGTTCTGTCAGATGTTGAAAATTTTCTGGAACTGCAACAGGGCATTGAACAAAAAGCCAAATACATTATTGAGACATTTCTGGAAGATCATTCCATGTTTCTCATCAACACAAGTAAGAAAATCATTTCGAAAATGAAAACTAGTATGGAAGAATGTGGATATACTGAAACATTGTTTGATGAAATTGTCAAAGATCTTATTCAACAGGTTCTCGTGTATAATTTTGAAGAATTTACTGCGAGCAAAATTTTTGAAGATATGAAATCAAGATTAATAAATAATAAGGTTCATTAGTGTGACCATAATTAACTGATAATTCTGTAGAGAGAATGACATTGTAGAATTTTCTCAAAATCCTTTCTACTTATGCATATGAAGCTGCCAATTTTGAATTTAACAGCTCTGCCATTGTTTTTCCTTTCTTGTGAATTCGTTTACCCTCCAAATACAGCATAGCCTCAGCATAAGTGTCTGGCACTACCTTGTGAACGATTGGACATGTAAAGGCAAAGTGGAAAATATTACATTGTAACTTCTTTCCACTTGGAGGATCAAGAACCCAAACTTCAACTCGGATTTCTAAAGACTTGTCTCCTGCGTAAACAATCTGAGAAGTGAACTCTACGACACTTCCTACTTCCACAGGCTTCAAGAACGAGTTTTCATTCAAAGCAAGGAACACAGGCTTATGTTTGGTGTACATGTAGGCTGTTATGAATCCAATTTCATAAGCCTCTCTCAACAAGAATCCACCAAATATTTTACCATGAATATTTCTGTTGGTTGGATGCATGATCATAATGTTGTTTTGTTTGGTCATGCTCATTGGCATACATGCTTGTGGTTCTCCTCCGTCAAGAGATAAATAATGAATGGTTGGTCCAGTTGATTCATAATCGTTTGAAATGTGAGGCTGCTTCATCTTTTGAAGGAACATGTCGTGAATGAGCAATCTCTCTTCGTCACTTGGTGGTTTTTTCATGAGACTTGATTCACTCATAGCTTTTCTTCTTGCTTGGTTTTCTTTTCCCATTTCAAAAAGAAACTTGTCATCTTCATTTTGTGGAACAACTGCGTGAATTTTTGTACTCTTATTGGTGGCCTTATCTAGAGCTACCATGACAAAATAGGCAACCATCACAAGCTCCTTCTGCTCATTTGCAATTCCAGTTGTGAATGTATTCTTATATAATTGTGAATCATTGAGTGGAATATCCTTCTTGATGCTATGAACTTCAATTCTAATCTCCATACTTGATGTGCCCGTGAAAGTGACCTTACCAACGATTTCCAAATCGAAGAATGGAATAATTGGCTTTTGGAGCTCAATTCTATCGATGGCTGCTGTCACAATTGTGAGAGGTCTTCGTTTATCAAAGCCATCCGAATGTTTATACGCAACTTCTCCGGCAATTGCATCTAAATCCTCAAGCAATCTTCCAATACGCATACCATTAAAAGCATTGGTATAAATGTCTCTCAATTTCGAATCAGTAGAGAATGGCAGCTTGATAACGACCTCGCTCTCGGAAGGAGTTTTTGTGCCGACTTCAAACGTGGCTTTTTGATCGGGGCTAGCCTCTGCAGAGGACGCTGAAAGCATTTCACCCAAATGTTCTTGTTGTTGTTGAGAAAGATATCTTCTCTCGAATCTGTGCTTGTTTAAAAAGTAATCAAGACTTTTTGATCAAGTATTTCAAAAATAATAATTATCATCATCATCCGAATTAGGATAACATTAGGATTCATGGAATATCAGAGCACGATTAATAGTTCGGAACAACATGTAATAGGAACAATAACTCAAACATACTCTTTGGCTACTCGAACAGAAGGATTTTGTGATTCCGTTTGGGATGATGATGAAGGTTGAACTTGTTTCTCATTTCTCAACACCAATTGTTGATGATAATTTTGTGCAAAATAATGATGATTTGTAGCACTTTTCAGCAAGGTACCGGAGGTTGCTTCCTTCTTGAGAACCTTACAGCTTCTTGCCACTGTACCAAACAACGACGCAGTTGAACGCATTTTTTGATTTCTGATTGTCTAGGTCGAAAAGTTGAATAACTGATTTAATGGTCTCCAAGTTGTTGAGTTGGGTCAAGAGAATTTACTTTTCACAGAGTCAAGATTCCAATTAGGCGTGGTTGTTTTCATCTTCTTCGAGTTCAGCATCGTCGTCTTGTGTGTGACAGTTATCGGTGGCTTTATCAACTTGATTCAGCTTGGCAAGCTTTTCTCGTCGTCTCATTTCAGATCGAGAAATGAACTCTAAATCGGTGCAACCAAGCATCTTCTTTACAGTGGTCAAATCTTTTTGAGATATTTTCACACATTGATCTTTGATAAGGGAATGCAGACTAGTTTGTTCTTTCTTGTTAACAATGAGCAAGTTAAGAATGAATGGAGGCTCACCGGAAAGAATGGTTTTAGCAATTGTTGTAAAATTTTTCATGGGAATATCTTCATAGTCCACGTTGGGAAAATCTTTTTCCAATTCTTGTTGAATGTAATGCTTGTAATTTTGAATCTTTTCAACATAATTGTTAAAGTAATTAATTAGTTTGTCATTAAAATCTCTTAACCGGATTCTGTCTTCCTCTCTTTTTACAAATCCAATAATATCGTCGACTTTTGACTCCAACACATAATTCCACATGGCTGCTTCTTTGAGCTCTCCCTTTGTATAATTTTCAAAATACGTCCATATGTTGTTGTTCACTGAAAGTGCTTACCTTACTAATAAATGCATTTGTTTTGTGAATATCGGAATACCACATGGATTTGACTTTGAACATCCATCCATTATTCAACGCTAACACATAGCCTTCCACTCCTCGTTCTTTTCTAATTGCTTTCAATAGCTCTTCAATGTCTCCTTTCATAGCTGCACTAATGACTTCATGGTTTGAACATTCCTTAACACATTCAATGCCGTATTTATCAGCACTTTCTTTGACTTGTCTGTAAGGCAAAAAGTTGCCGTTCACTGTATGCCGAATTGCTAACAGCGACAGGAATGGCTTGTCTCCATAATCAATCACAATTTTGTGATCTTGTGAAAAAAATTCGAAAAGTGGGGTATATCCTCGATTGTGCCAGTAGACGGAAAATAGTATGAAATTCTGAGCGGTGGGTGGTAATTTGAGGAATTGTTCATTTTGAGCAAGTGCCTCTTCATCAATTTTAAAAACTAAATATTCTTCTTCTTCTGGTGTAATTTCCTGTAGAATCAAAGGAAACTGAGGTATATTTTTCAAATGATCACGAAGGATTACCTTAATATCTTCTGTATGGTTTTCATTACTATTTCTTTTCGAACACTCATTTCCTAATTGATACAACAATTCTTCCATTGCAATCACAATGGCATTCGTGTGTGACAATTTTGTCCTCATTCTCAATCTGAACGTGGTGTATTCGCGCTGAACATTTCCATGATCAAACAACGCACTTGTTGCATAATTATTCTTTGCCATTGATGCAATTCCGTTTTCCTCTTCACTAGCAATGCATCGCTCAATAATTGGTGAACACAAACTTCCATCCAACTTTTCCAGCAACACAAATGGAGCATCACTACCATGTCCATGATCATTTTCCAGAACTTTCTTTAACAAGTATTCAACTCTCTTCTTGGAAGATTCCTCCATCTCATCCACATTGAAAAATTTTGGCATGGTCCTCGACATGATTTTCTTTGTTTCATCATCAAAGGCTAAACCTCGGACTTCTCTTCGCAACATTCTCCGATGATATTCATTAGGATTTGTTGAAAATAATTCTTGTAATTGATCAAATCCCGAATACTGAAATACGGGCGGAAATAATTTAGAGCTCACATTTTCATACGAAGCATAGATGAAAGGAGGTCGATGATTGATGGTAATATAATTTTCAACACCCTTTATATTGTCTTCAATTTGAGAGAGATGACAAAGTTTTGCATAACACAGTGAATCCATGTCATGTTGTTGGTGGGTAGAAGCCTCAACGGATGAAATGAGCATTTTTTTCTGAAACGAAACAGTTCATGAACATAGTCAACCACTGCATTCTCAAACTTGCACTCTTGAAACTTTTAATGTTGTTCTGAACTCTTGTTGACCTTGTTTTTGCAATAACTGTAGTTTGGTCCATTTCCACAAGTAAATGGAAATAGTAAATCAACCACAAAAACAAAAAAAAAATACAGGGATGGGTTTATTGAAGAATAAACAAATTATAGGTACTCAATTGTCCGACGAGAGTGTGTCTAATGGGTGTGTATGTGTGGGGTTTAAATGTTGTCGGAGTTGAGTTCGCCAAGCTGATTGCTACATGTTTCCCAAGCAGTTGCAAATTTTGCAGTTTTGGGTTTAATTATATATCCTCTAGCCTTCTTGAGTACAGTAGAACTGTTCCAAGTGGCGTTTTTGTAACAACTGCCAACATAAGCAGCGAATGAGAGATATATTTCATTTAGCCAATCAGTCAAGGCTGGGGGAGATAGGTCTAGTTGTTGGAGAGATTCGTCTTTGATACTACCATTCCACTCCATTGGAATACAAGAGAGAGAATGGTTAGAGGGAAGTCTGACAAGCGGGGCGTTGAATTTGAGGGAACTATTGTCCCATTTTGTGTATAATGATTTGATTTCTGGGCTACACATGGCGCATGAGGTGAATACATGTTCCCAGTTGGCTTTGGTGTTGCAAATGTGGCAATTAGGGTAATCTTTTCCGAAATTTCTAAGGATTTCTGCTTTGTGCAGGTGAGCAAATAACAGTCGTTGCTGGAATGGTTTGAGTGAATAATTGTTCCAAAAGGAGATGGTACATGGATGCCAGATTCTATTATGGTCTAAGGTTCCAAGGCCAGAAATGCTCATGGTTGATCTATCACTGTTTAGCAATTCAGTTCTAGGGTCGACAGGGGTTTCGTATTCATTGACAAATGAATATCGTTCATCAATGTATTGGAGAGACCAATTATTTTGAGCAGCAATATTTTTCACGTGGTTCCAAAATGGTTCGTTAAAAGTAGTATCTTTCCAAGCAGCCAAAGCTATATTTTTGGTGATGGAGGATGAGGAATTGAATAATCTAACTGCTGTGCAAATAGGTTCAATAGAGAATAAAATAGAGGGCGAGTAATACCAAGACCCCCAATTTGTTTGCAATTAAAAACGACTGATTTTGATAATGTGTAATCTAATCCAATAGCCTTTCTGATAAAATTAGCAACCATAATATCTGCTTTGTCTAGAGAATTCTTACTGATTCCATTGAAGCTACAGGCATATCTAGGCAATGATATAATTTTAGACATAATTGTAGTGGTGATACTGTTGAGATATAGATTAGAAGTTTTAGCTGATGCAAGTCGATTCGAGATTTTGTTGACTGGGTTATCAGAGGACCAAGAAAGATTATCCTTAAAGGTACATATACCCCCAAGGTATTCAATAGAAGTAGACGAGGCAATTGTATCCTGTCCAATAGTGACTAGGGCTTTAGATAGTTTAGATTTAGCTGTAATAGCTAAGAGCTTGCATTTCTTGGGAGCTAAAGCGAGTCCTATTTTCTTTAACTCTCGGCCGAGGCTTTTAAGAGAGGAATTCATTTCAATCTTAGTATTAGCTATCAATAAAATATCATCGGCATATAATAATAAAAGGATAGTAATATCAAATATTTGGACTCCTTTTAGTTTTTCTTGTATATTAGTTGAGGAGTTAATATAGAGATTAAACCATGCTGGACTTGAAGGGTCGCCTTGTGGGACTCCAACATTCGCATCGAAAGGGGAGGATAGGAATCCGTTAACTAGTACTTTCATAACGCTATTGGAAATCATGGATGTCAAGAGATTAATGACAGAGCTACGGAAACCATGTTTTTTGAGAATGCTGATAAATCTTTTATGGATTACTGATCCATAAGCATTTTTGATATCTAAAGCCATAGCGAATACTTCTTGTTTGTGCTGACATTTGTATGCTAGGGCAGTCCGAAGATTGATAAGGTGCTCTAATGTTGAGCCTTTTTTCATGAATCCTCGCTGAGCAGTATGGATTAAATTAGCCTCTTCAAGGATATTCATGAATTGTTTGTTGATAATAGAAGAAAATAGGCGATAGATCACAGATAATACTACTATAGGTCTAAAGTCTGATAATTTTGTAGGCATATTGACTTTGGGTAATGGGAGTAGAATACCAATACCCAATTCTTTAGGAACCATTTCACTGTCAATTGTGTGATTGATACATTTTGCAAGTACTTGGAGCGAATTGTTGTCTAGAATTTTCAACAACGGCACCGAGATATTATCATAGCCAGCCATGGAATTTTTTGTTTTAGAAATAACTTTACCCAACTCTTTGGCAGTGATATGTTGGAATTTCCATTGGGCTACAGTATTATTTTTCTTGATTTCCGGAAGGGTTTTAGTCACTTCTTGTTCTGTGTTAAACATGGCTGAAAAATGATCTACAATTATCGAGTTATGGTTACTTTGGACTACATTGAGTATAGAAGAACTGACTAATTCTTTTCTGAAGGCATAGGAGTACGGTTGTTTAGAGCTAAGATTGTTAATTCTATTCACGAAGACCCGTTTACGGTCAGCCAATAGAGATCCAATAAGCTTGTTAAGCGAGGCTTTAGCTTCCTCTAATTTAGCCTTAATATTGTTGAGGCTAAAATTATTATTCAAGAACTGGCTGGTGACAGTAGAGACATATTTACGCTTATAAAGATACTGTTTCAAATCAAAAATGATCGTCTGAAATTGTCTAACATTACGATTATCAGTAATCAATGAAGGCTTGTCGGTGCTAGGAGAGCCATATTTCTTCACAATTTTAGCAAGGGTATTTTGGGCTTCTAAGAGAGTGCTAGGGTTGTCCATAGCAAAATCGTTATTAATTTCCTTCATCTTGGATTGCAGAGTTTTAGGATGAATAATATATTTGTTGAACTTTTCTGGGAAGTCTAAAATAGGGTTACTGGGAAAGGAGATAGTTAAAAGTTTGTGAGAATAAGCAGTAGAAACATCATCTACATTAGAATAATCATTGTGGGAAGTAATAATATGGTCCGGGCGAGAAAAACCATGAGAGTATTTGTTGCGTTGAGAGAACGAAGGTGTGTTTGGAATGGGAACAACATCAAAGAGCTTCAATTTGTCACATTGGTCAATTAATAGTCGCTCATGGGCAGCATAGGATACCTTATTGAATGTTTTAGTATTGGCATTCAAGTCTCCCAATATGACAATACGTTCACCATGCAAGACCGCTGTTTGAGCAGCAATGTTGATAATATTGAGAGCCTTATTCATGAATTCTAATTTGTTTTTGTTAGCCGGGCCATACCAATTGAAAATACGGACCACACCTAGGCATTTATGTTCCAAAATGACTTCTGATAGTCTGCCTTGAATATGCTCGATGAATTGGAGTACCTTAATAAAAGGTGACGGTTTGACAATAGTAGCAATTCCTGCTCCATTATCTCCCTCGGTGGCGTTGGAAGTATAGACTAAGTAGCCACGAAAGAAGGACCTGAAATACCATACATTCCAATAGTCTTCCGTACTGGATTTTAAATGAGTTTCCTGGATATTAAGGATATCCAGTTCATATTTTCGGGCTAGGGTAAGTAATTGAGATTGTTTTACCCAGCCAACTCCTCCGAAATTAGCAGTACCTAAATTGAAGGAGTTTCTTATAGAATGAGAGGCCATTAAAGGGAATGTCGGCCCTTCTTATGCCCACTTTTACTCTTGCGAGTAGTAGTGCCTAAGAGAGCGTTGACTTTTTGGTTAATTTCTTCAATAGCTTTGTTGATCTTATTAAAGCCTTCAGTGACCTTTTTTCCAGACCAGACAGCCATTTCCTTTGTCAATTTTTGGAGAGCTGATGACATTTCAGACATTTGTTTTTCAACAGCTTCCATTCTGTGACTGATGGAGTTGGCAACTCTAGTAGAGAATGAGAGGTTTCTGAAACTATGATTTCCAACTTGGACGAACTTGGTAATGTTATTGGTGATTTGATCCTTTTTGACACCAACAACAGCCACCTTATTAGCCAACTCGATACTCTCAATCTTGACTTTCCATTGGGAACTAATGGCACCCTTGAGTTTAGGAAGATCTTTTTCTTTACCGTTAAAGGCGATACGGAAACGAGAGATATCTGTTCTCATTTTGGAAAGCTTAAATTTCTTCAAATGATTGGCTGGTAATTCAATATTAGTACCAATAGCCCAAAACTCTTGATCATCTATCTTGCTAAAATTGATGTTGTTGATAGAAGTACCAAGAGTTGAGATAATAGAGTGCATATTAGTCTTATCTAAGTCTTTGTCGACCTTATAACGGAATGACGTTTTGACGGTTTGAGGAATCATGGTTAGCTTGGACTTAGCACCAGAAGATATTGCTTGGTTTGCCAATTTGCGCGACTTGAAGAAGAGAATAATGCACTCCAATTCACTGACAACTCTACTACCGTACAACGCATCGGCATTCATTGCGACGGTTGCAAGGACTTCTTCGACAGAGTTGGTAGTAAAGGCCACCACTCTGAAGAGTTTATGATGTCGCTTCAGTTTGGTAGAATGGTCGTCGGTCATGGCCGAGGTACTAAAAACTGAGACGCCAGAGGTTGTAGTAATATTAGAGACCTCCGGTTGCGACAACATAGGAGAGTTGCATACAGTGCTGGGTTGTATTACCGACAAATTGGCTATATTGACGGAGGACGGAGTTTCTAAAATTTCGTTTTCCATCTCCTCTCTCAATTTATCATGTGCCGATTTTTGAGCAGAGAGAGATTTGTTTGCAGTATGCGGGCGATCAGCGACCTCTTTGATAGAGGCGTGATGGCGAAGGTGATAAGTGTCTTCATCGCCGAGGGCGGTTTGGTTTTCAGACATTTTTTCGAAGACCAAAAACAAAAAAAAAATGACTTCACTCAACTTTGATAGCCTTCCTCCGTCCGTGGCTGCAGAGAGTCAATTATTGGATCAAACACCCCGATCTGCAGTCTCGGACCAATCATTCAACAAGAGGAATTTTGGAAATAATAATCACGGCCTAACGAGCAAACAATCAACCTTACCTGAGAGTATTGATTTCGGAGAAGAACCAACCTCAGCAATCGTAGTATCTGATGATGATAATTTCAATCGTAATCGCAACAACACTGAGAAGAAGGGCAAAAACACAGATGATGAGGAGATGGAATTTCGGTTTTCTCAATATCAAGATGATGATGAGGATCAACAGGAAAATGTTACTTCTGACACAGAAAATAATAATCAACAACAATCACCTCCTTTGATTTTATCTTCTCAAGAGAGTGAAGCTAGTATTAAATTATCTTCTTCGTCAATCAAAAGAAATCTAGGTCAAAAAACAAAGCTGCTACCAACGATTATCCTTCTACGCAAGAGCAAGCTGAATCTGATCATGCTGAGGAATCGTCAAAAACTAAAGAAGCAACAACACCAAATTTTTCATTATCGGACGATGACAATGCATCTCACAGAAAGTATTCACTTCGAAAAACACCTGTTAGAAAATATCAAGAAACCAAACGTAAAAAGAAGCAATTGAAAAAAAAGCAAGAAGAACAAATCAGCGATGATGACATTGTTGAAAACATCACATATCTAAGTGACGAAATTCCAGACGAGTATATTATGCCAGCAAAGAAACGAGAAGAAACTGAAGAAGAACGACAAGAACGCCTCCAGTTAGAAAAGCAGAAAAAACAAGAAGAACTAAAACAAAGAAAAAAGAGACTGGAGGCACTATCGAATTCGGTAGGAAAGAGAAACAAACACAAATCCATATACATTTCTGAGGATGAGGACGACGATTCCTCGATAAGAGGTAGCAGCGGAAAGCGCAAAGGTTTATTTGATGAAGAGGAGCTTTTCTCTCAACCCTCTTCTCAAGAAGAGGAAGTTACATTTTCCTCACCAAGAAAAAGACTAAAGAAAAAGAAGGAATCACCTCCTTCGTCACCTTTACAATTTGACGCTGAAGATGATGACAGCGACCAGCTTAGTGAGCTAGAAAAAGAGGTCACCAAGTACAATCCACTCTTATCAAAGAACAAGAAGAGGCAACTCAAATTTAGAACGGAGAAACAACCCAGATCAAGAAAAAATAAGGATGAAGACGAAGACGAAATTGAGGAATCTGAATCTCAACCAGGAATGATGACAATGAGTCAGTTCATTGTCAGTGAGGATGAAATGATGGAAGACAACGATGACGGAGAAGACAGTGATCAACAAGAATCCAACTACTCGAGAAGTGTTTACAGACAAGTAGACATGATACAAAACAATCAAGATTCACAAGAAATACTGTCGTTCCTAACTGGAGAAACTCGATTGACCACAGATTTGAAGAGTTCATTTACTACCTATATCCACTTTTTAACAAGTCATTTATTAGATGAAGACTTTATCAAATCGTTAACATCAATCAAGTACAGATCCAAGTTCAGTAGCGCTGTCAAAATGGTTGAAGGGAAATTAGCAACCATGAAAGATAGCTTACTTTTTAGCTCGGCGTGGAAAAAGAGGCACAAAGATTTGCTTCAGTACTATCCCATCATTAAGGCACGTGAAATCTCATTGAAAGATACTGAAATTAAGGAAGATAATAACTTTTGTCAAGCATGTGGACGAAAGAACCATCAAGCAGAGTATTGTTTGATTTTCAAGCCTCCAAGAGCAACGATAAAATATGAGTTTAATTCAGGAGCAAATATTGAATGGATTGACTCTCCGAACGAAGATGAAGAAGATGATGTTATTCAATTATCACAAAGAAGAGCAACATCCAAAAAGTCAAAACCTCATTTCCTCACTCAAAAAGAGAAGAGCTTTGTTGGTTCTACCTGCTACAAACGATCATTGCTTTATCACAGTTTCCAACACTACAAGTTTCATCTCATTCAACACATTATTTCCAAAATTGACAAAATTGCTCAAAGTTATACTGGTGAGGAAGAAATCACAAGCGACTACATCTTGGAAAAGATTCTTTCAAAAAAGAGCTGGATTGATGGCATGTTTAGAAAATACATCAAGCTCACAGAAGAAGCTGAAGCAAGTTATGCAAATTCTAAAGAGACAGGAGTTATTGATGTTGTAGATGAATTATTTGATGTTTATGACTCTGAGGAAGAAGTAAAGGATGATAACAACTCTGACGGAGATGCTGAAGGATTTATTGTGACAAACACGAGTGGTGGATTGAGATTGAAGAGAAAGAAGCCAAAAACTGACAGCGAAGAAGATGAAAATGATCCTAACTTGGTCACAAATGATTCACAACAAGAGGAAGGGCCACGTTCTAAACAAACAAAGACTAAATCAAGCAGACAAGATGAAGAAAGTGACGGTGTTGTGTTCGATGTTGAGGACGATCCTCCACAATCGCCTTCTCCACCTGATAAGACAGCAAAAAATCCTAACAACAAGGAGGAGGAAGATTTTTCAAAATTGATCGATGTTTCATCTGATGATGATGACATATTTGACATAACAATTTAATTGGAATGTATTAATGCATGTTTATTTCTAATTTCTATACAATTGAAGATACAATTATTGTTGAGGAATTTTCAAGACAATTTTTCCAACAGTTCTCTGAGTTTCAATGAGCTTGTGTGCTTGAGAGACGTTTTCCAAAGTCACCACTTTAGCAATTGGAATTTTGTTGGCAAGATCTTCCTTCACAAGCCAATTCAAAATCTTTTCATAAGTATTTCCATCAGCTGACATGGCTAAAAATGAATAATTATCAGCACCGAAAGCAGTGTTTCCTTGAGAAGGCAAAGATCCTGCAATGGTCACAAACACAGATTCAGGAGAATTTTTCAGAACATTAATGCCATACAGGTCATTGTACCCTCCAATAGTGTCCAATACAATATCAAAGGTCTCCACATATGCGTCCTTCAAACGTTTAGACAATTGATCCTTTCCTTCGGAATAATCCAAAACCTCATCGGCACCTAATGATTTCACAAACGAAGAATTCTTTTTAGAAGCAATTGCGACCACCAACTCTGCTTTGAAATAATACTTTGCAAGCAAAATAGCTGCAGCACCAGTACCACCAGAACCACCAATAATCAAAACTTTTCTTCCCTTCAATGAATCTTGCTGGCCAGATTGAGCAGTATGGAATTTTTGAAAGGATTGGAAAGTGGTGAGATAGATAACACCACCTGCTGCTCCTACTTGATGATCGATAATTTTTGGTTTGTGAGCTAGATCATTTTCGTGGTATGAAACAAATTGTTGATAGGTACCGCTTGAAAATGTTGGACCACTCACTTCGTCACCAATTTTGAATTTTGTGACTTTTGATCCAATAGCGACGACACTTCCACTTGCTAATGAATTTCATATTTTCGATTCATTGGTTCATTGAATAATGAACTTACCATCTACTCCAAGAACATACGGGAATGTCTTCACTTTGGGATAGGAGCCTTTTCTAATCTTGTAGTCGACTGGATTTACTGAAGCATACTGGTTTCTCACTAACACAGTGTACTCGCCTAATGATGGAATGGGATAATTGTCCACAATTTCGAAACTTGTTTCTGGATCATTATTATACTTGTGAATAATTGCTGCTTTTTGATGTGATGGAAGAGCCATTTTGTGTGGTGTTGTCACTGATGTATTGATTTTGTTTTTGTTGTTGCAGTAGGGTGATGTGAGCTTTTGGGCTTTTTATAGGTTGCGCAGAAAGTACAAGCGTGCGTATTTGGAGCTCGCGGTCGGAAAGTGATACGCGAACTTCCATAGCAGAGCAAAGGGAATGAAGGAAAGTGTGTTAAATTTAAATTTACATGGTTATGTTCTAATGATAATACGCGTGGAAGTTTAAGACTCAAATTCACACGACTTTGAAATTCAATACAATGTATTTAAATCAAATGAAACAATGATTGAATGGAAAATCATCAACTGAACATGTTATTTAGAAATTCCAGGACTCAACCATTGCATACACGAAGGTTGATTGTACAACCATTTGCCAAAATCAGCCTTAGAAATTTTACAGGAATGATCTCCACTTTGTTTGGCTTGCTCAAAGCACTTGTCAACAATATTTTCAATATCTGCCTGATCAATCATTTGTGATGTCGTAGCGCTGGAAATTTGTGGTAAATTCAATGTTTCACGAACATCACCTAATAATACAAGACTCTTGTTAAAAAGACAAGAAAGTAAGTGAATCATTTCATGTCGTTCAATGTATCCATTTCCATCTTCATCATAGACAGAGAAAATGACTGTTGAAAGTTTGTTTAAATGATCATGATTACCACCAGAATAAACACTTACAATCGACTTTTTCCTCAAATGAACCCTTTAGCAATACAGAGAGACCCGTCACAAATTCTCTAAAATCAATAGTTTCACTCTTGTCGCTATCAAAAATTTCTGATAATCATTATTGTGAATCACATCCATAAAATGTAATGACGATATAATCATTGAAGTCATTTAGTACATACTGTAATATCGTTCAAGAATTTCTGGTTTTTCAGAAAAATCAATATTCAACAATTCCGAAAGTGCTTCACTGAATAATTCTCGAGTCATTCTACCATTTTCCTGTCCTGAATTTTCGATTTGTGTGGAATACTTGGAAAAGAGATTGGCCAACTCTAGTTTACCAACTGTGGAGTTTACAATTTTTTCACATTGATGCCGTTTATGGATACCAAAAACCGTTTTAAAGACCATCAATTATTGAAATTGGGTCAAATTTGGTTCTATCATCATTTACACACTTACAATGAGATTTTTCTTGTAGCTCTACAATTGACTTCTCTACATTGGATCTCTCCTTCTTCTCCAACAACATTCTCGGACTAATTCTAATATTTGAGAAACGATCAATCACGTCCAAAGAATCAAATCTCTGAATTTGCATTCGATTGGTTCTGTATACAAGAAGAAAAGAATCATCATCACGAATATTTTGAATAATTATTCAACATCATCGGAATTCGGAGTTAATGGAAAACGATGATAAAAAATTTTAAATGATGATCATTTTCTCTACCTACAATGACTTGTTTAGAGATTTGTGTGGTAATACTTTGTGGAGTTTCTCAACATGAACAGGTTGTGATTCCTGTGAGGAAGCTGGGTCTAATGACGATTCCACGACAAGCTGTGGTTGTGAAGACATTTTTTTAAGGTTTCTATTTCCTTGAGTATTCATGACACGATAGTGAAATGGCAAGGATTATTTTGGAAATTTCTTTTTTGAATCACAAAAGAAATGATTTTCCTATTCAATAAATATTCTCGGAAATGATTGTTATTTCACACAAGCTAATTACTCAGTTGGTTCCTCTTCAAAAGCACCATTCAAGGATGGATCTCTAACAATTTGTCTCTTAAAGGTTGGTTTGATAAAGTCATTCAATTCCTTAGCATACATTTCATATCTAGAGGTAGACTGGAACATCCACTTGTCTTTCACTTGTCTATTAAGATTGAGATCAATTTCAGCAACCAATAATCCATCACCCAAACGAGTCAACTCTGGTGATCTAGATGCATCAGGAGCAGAGACATAAGAGCTTCCGTAAAAGTGGCCAAAATCTTTGTGAGCTGGCTTTCCATCAGCACTAGTAAATTCATTAGGGAAATATTCAGTTCCAACTCGGTTGATGCTAGCAACAAAGTAACTATTGGCAATGGCAGCATTTCTTCCTTCAATTGGCCACATTGGTTCAGATAAACCACCGACAGTTGCACTATTGTTACAATAATGGGAATATCCACAGTTAATTATTCGTGTGAACACAATAACACGTTTCATCATTGCAAAACTTACCTTGGATTGAAAACAATTTCAGCACCGTTCAATCCGTATGATTGCCAGTTGAGTGGAATGTGACGCCCATAGCAAATATTGATACCAATTCTACCAAATTGGGTCTCAAAGACAGGATGACCCAAATTGCCCTCCAAGTAATAGGTGGCTTCATTGAAATCTCCAACACGTGGAATGTGATTCTTTCGGACCTTTCCAATGTAGTTTCCTCTATTGCCAATCACAACAGCAGTATTCCAAATGACATCATTGTGTTCCGAGTCTCTCTCCAAAATTGGAGAAACAATTACCATGTTATACTTTTTAGCGAGCTTTCTCAAGAATAAAGTACTTCTGCCAGTCTCTGCCTCCTCAGCAAATTCCATCCATGGCTAATTGGCGTGCATGGCCACAATTTCATCATCACATTGCAAAATCATTTTTGACAAGTGTCATCATGCACGAGATCGTTATCAAAAATTTCACATACGGTCCACACACATTTCATCATCAAAGCAATAATAGTATTGTGCATAATTCCATCTCTACATCAATCATATTATCATAAAAAACGTACCTGTTTCTCTCTTGTACAAAATGCAAAAGGCATGGTCCATGCTTCTTGCAATCCAACAACATTTACTCCCATCAATGCAGCAGCATCAATCATTCTCTCAATCTTCTCTTCAATGGCCTTGTATTGAACATCGACTGGTTCCGTAGTATTTGCTCCGATCGCATTTTGAATCAAACCCAATCTCACAATACGTGGAGGACGACTTTGCTCTTTTGCTACGTTATGAATCATGGAATAGGCTCTCACTTCAAACTTGTTCTTTACGGCAGAGGAACGGACTTGTTCAGGTATCGAGAGACTCTTCCATTCATTTCCATACAAAATTCTACGGACTTGAGCAAAGGTTTGTTCGGGGAGGTGAGTTTTGAGAGCATCATAGACGGTAGAGAGGCTAGTCATTCCCTGATCGTTGGGTTTAATGTGAGGATTTCCTTCTAGATCAATCATCACTTCTTCTGCCAATGATGTGTGGATCATCAAGATCATCATGGCAGCAGCTGTTGCAAGAACAACGCCTGACCATAGATTGTGTTTGGACATTTTTTTTTGTAAAGTTGAGATCAATACCTAACATTTTACATCTTCTTTGCTTTTTAATGCTTTCCTGATCTAATCACTGGTTGGAGGAAGTGGTGGTGGAGGTGGAGGAGGTACCATCATTGGCAGAAGAAGTGATGATTGATCTTTGTCTCAGTCATTTGGTCGATTTCAGGTGTTCCATATTTGTAAATCCGTTCATTGCCTTATAGCGATGATACTAATCAATCGTCCGTTTGGTAACTTTTATTTGCATTGTGTCTCGTTCGTCTGACGAAAGGACGGAGAATAAACAATCGAATCATAATGACCAGGTCGAAATAGGAGTGACAGGATGGTATTGAACCGATCTTCTGCTCCATCACATGATTCCTTTGCATCCAATTGAGTTGAATGAGTGGGAGGATATTTCAAACAAGTGAGACGTTCTTGTGAATGACTCACATGATAAATATGTAATTGGAAACAAAAATTCACTTGACATCCATTGAATAAATGTTTCAACACCGTAATTAAAGAATTGATTTGAATTTCCTCTGCCTCAATTCCCATTGGCATGACTTCTTTCAACACATAATCATGTATCAATGTTGAAATGGATTTTCCAGTATCTAAACTTTGAAATTCAAAATACATATCAAGAGAATGATTCTTTTCAAACACATGACTTGCTGTTAAATATCTCAATAACAGGACCATTCCATCAGAAAATTCTGGCTGGTTCATGAGTTGAATGATTTCTGACACATTGTTCCATGACTTTGGTAATTCTTCTCCTATCCGAAATAGTTCACTAAAAAGTCAAAAATTCTTGTTCGAATCTCTGACAATGAAGAATTTAAATGACTCGGAAGTTTAAAACTATTTTTCATGATGGTTAAAACCCCTTTAAGAAAATGGTTCCAAATTTTCACTCGAAACGATTCTTCTCGTTCTCCCAATATTTTAAGAAATGAAAATGCAAAAGCTCTGTAAAAACAATTTCCATCTCCTCGAATCATTTGAAAAACAAAATCGTCTTTTTCAATATTGGAAAATGTCAGAGGTACGTCTAACGAATTATTTGAGAGAACAGTCGTGAGCAAGGAAGACAAGTGGTTCTCCTTATTTGGTAGATCATTGTTTTCAGTTATTGGAATTTGAGAATTGGAATTATCATTAACATGTTCCGTCTGAACATGTTCTGAACTACATGTCACAGGAGCTTCCTTATTCATTTCGTTGGTTGGAGAATCATGATGAGTTGCAAAGGTGGAAGAACCGTTCATCACGACAACAACAGTTCTTCATTACTTAAATGAGTCTGTTCAATACCATTGGTGGTTGTGTTCTGATGTTCATTGACCACATCATCCTCTGAAATATCCATTGGGTCTGATTTTTGATCATCGTTGTTTGTAATTGTCATTATGGGAGTATTGTCATTGAGAGGTGGAGCTTCAAGTTCGTCCAATTTTGGATACAATGGTTGATCTTGAGGAGGTTCAAAGTTGGTATTGAAATTATTATTAATGATTATATTAACGGATTGGTTGGTAAGAGGCTGAGAAGAAGAATTTTCTGCACCATCGTTAGAATTACTGATTTGAGCTGTTTGTTCATCCGAGTTTTCGAAGGATCCATGTTTTCACTTGTGTTGACAAGTGACACTTCTTGTTCTTGTACACTCGCAATGATATAATCTTTCCAATTACACAACGCAATTTCCCATTGAGCCATAACATCTTCCACAATCAACGCCAAATTTTTTCTAATCCTTTCATTTCCTTTATATTCTTTTTGTAATTCATCAAGAGATTTACTTTTCTGAATAAAAGGGATCCATTCTGATTTCTGAAATTCTTCCTTCTTCATCATGATGAATGGATCTCGGACCGAGTCGGTGTGAATAAGTGCAAACAAAAGTATTTTTTTTACAATACAAGGTGGGGACTTGATTTCTTCGTGATTCATGACAAAAAAGGATGTTGGGAATTCTCAGATCAAACCAAAAAGCTATTAATGACAGTCGTCCAGGACTCCGCAGTCAACATGTCAAATTGTGTGAATATTAAAAAAATTCTTTAATATTCACGCCAACTCCTTCTCGAGTGTTGATTTCAAAATGTTCTTCAATTTCTTGCAAACATCAACATCCTCTTCGAACTCCAAAAAGCCGAACAATCCATCAAGCAGCACTTCGACATTCCTTGATCCTTCACATTTGATCGCAACTCACGAGATGGAATGTTCCGTTTGTTATGAAACGTTTGAATTAAACAACGATTCCAACACAATCTCTACACCATGTGTCAATCCCAGTTGCCAACAAGATGTCTGTTCAAAATGTATTTTCAAAGCCATTGATTCCAATATTCAAAACAATTGTCATGACATGAAATGTATCACTTGTCACACACTTCTTGACAGTGAGAAGGTGATGGAATTTTTAAAAAGTTTTTCAGTGCCTCTGTCAGAAAAATATGATCGAATAATGGTGTGTAAAGCACTTGAAAACGATCCAGGATTTGTATGGTGTGCCCATGGATGTGGCTCTGGAGTGATTTCGGATGAGGACGCGCAAATTGTGACATGCGACACATGTGGCAAAAAAACCTGTTTTATTTGTAAAACCAAATGGCATGAAGGAATTACATGTCAAGAGTTGAATAACCATCGATATTTAACTCATTCTCAGTATCCTCTTAGCAATGTCTTGGAAGAGTATGATGATGACGATGTGTACTCTTCCGACGGAGATTATGAATTGGCTAACAACCTGCAAGAGATGACTCTTTTGAATGAAATCGAAAGTGAAAAATACATCCAACAGATCACGAAAGAATGTCCTAAGTGTAAATTTCGTTTTGAAAAAGAAGAGAATGATTGTGATCATGTGAAATGTGTGAAATGTCAATTTGAGTTTTGTTGGTCTTGCGGAGCCGATCACAAATTGATCATGCAGAAGGATAATTCGTATCATGATCCATCCTGTAGATTTCATAGCAGCAATATTAATCAATAATTTTAGATGTTACATTTTTAGCAAACAGAATTCCCAACCTGAATTCAAAATAATTCAAAATAATTAAAACAAAAAAAATGTATCAAAGACCCTTTTCATACATGTCGAACCAACAACAACAGCAACCAGTAATCATTGATCGTTCCGTTGGTTCCAGCAGCAAGACAGCCAACTCGAACATGACACAAACAGAATGTACCATTTGTACCGATGAGTTTTCCATTTCACCTCTTGTCATTCATCCTTGTACAGAGTGTACCAAACGAACCGTTTGCGACTCTTGTCTTGTGAATTATTTGGATGAACGTATCAACAACAATAATTTTCGTCAAATTCACTGCATCGATGACAATTGTCAAGCTGTTTTGGATTCGACCCGAATTTTTGAATATTTAAAACAGTTGGGTGGTCAACGTGAATTACAGCTTGTACAACGTTACGATCGATTCTTGTTGAATACATTCATGAGTTCACAAGATGGATTCATTTGGTGTCAGCATAATTGTGGAAATGGACAAATTCACTATGAGAAAGAAAATGCACCCATTGTCACTTGTAACACTTGTCACAGAAAATCGTGTTTTGTCCATAAAACCATTTGGCATGAAGGAATGACTTGTGCTGAATTCGACTCGGATCGAAACGGAGATGCCAAGAGTAAGCAGCACTTTTTGGAGAATGCCAACAGAGTTTATCGCTCTTGTCCTGGATGTGGTGTTGTCATTGAAAAGAATGGAGGATGTGATCATATGAATTGTACTCAATGTGGACGTCGTTACAATTGGTCAGAGTCTTCTTACAAGCAAAAGTTGTGAATATATTTTATAGAAATGTTGTACAGTAAAACACTCGAATCGTGTTGTCCTGTAGAAAATCTTGATTGCTTCAAATGGTTTCCTCATCCTCCTCTAATAACTCATTGTCGTCTAGATCAGTTGAACTATTCTCATCGTCATCAAAATCAATTTCAATGTCAATCAATTCATCATCCTCATTGTCATACACTTCTACGATATCTTCAGAATACCATTCGTTTGGTCTCAACACCATTGTACTCACATCACGCTCAATTAACACACTTTCCAATTCTTTTACAAAAACAGACAGTTCATGGATATACATTCCAATTCTAGACTCTGAAACATTCTGTTCCATTCCAATACAAACATCCTCGTCAAATTCATTTTCAATTACTTGTAGTAACAATTTCATCTTTTTTGAAATGTCACACAATTCCAAAGGAACATATTCTGAAAATATAGATAATTGTTTTTTTCGGAGATCCAATACTTGATTTGAGAATAAACTCATACCCTCAAACTCCAACATGCTATCGTTTAAATCAGCAATGGTATCGGAAGGAACTGGATTGGTAAATGCACACAATGTGATAAGTTTTCGTCTCATGCCATCGATTTTACGCCTCACTTTTGGATAATCATTGTACATTCGATACCAATTATGAATCTTGTTGAAGAATTCTTCTGTTCTCTTATTAAGCCAACTCTTTGGAATCTCCCAATTCACAGTAGATATTAATCCAGAACGAAAAGAAATTGTTCTCTCATCAACCAATTCGAGAGCAGTGTGAATATTGAGAGAAGGATATTCCATTTGAATCTCATACAGCAAGCATTCTAAAAAGAACTTCCAAGCAGTTGAAGTGTGTAAAATTTTCACTTGTACCAATGATGTTGGTACAAATTGTGTTTCATCTTGAGTGACAATTGTATTCACGGTGTAATTTTCATCATCATCGTTGTTGTTCTTTTGTTCAAGATTTGCCTTCGTATTATAGATGATGGACTCAGGAAGAGTCAAGTATTTAAGCTTTGGAAAAACGACAAACAGAGCCTCAATAAACGTCGTCAAAGGGATGATGCGAGAGATGTCCAAATTTCGAATGGCCAAGCTTTTAATTTGCTTGTATGGGTTAATTTTGTTCTGTCTAACGTCATCAGCTAGTGTAGAGAGGTAAGGATAAGTCAATGAAACCAATGTTAAACCAAAAACACTTTTTGGGAACGTGATATGCAGTCCAGGAAGAACAACATGATTCAGGCGAGAAGCTGAAAACAAGTGTCGTGGGATATCATAGTGGTTCCATAACTTCAACGTCTTCAGCTGTTGGGGTGTTAATTGTTTTAAGAACTCTTGATCGCTATCAGATAAGGCGTTACAAAATTCCAATGAGTGAAGAGTTGTGGGAAAAGTTGTAGAGTCAGGAAATGTAATCTCAGAGTTTAGAAAAGAAAGACCAATTAAACTTCTTGTTTTCAAGGTGACTGATCTTTGAACGTCTTGTAAGGTTTTACACTCGTCAAATTTCAAGTATTTGATTCTGCTTTGCATTCCGAGCAGTTCAACCAGAGATTTCTGAGAAACAAACATCCTGTGAAGGGTCACAGTTTCAAACTTCTCAGTTAAACTGAGCCCGTTGTTGCACAACTTCAAAATATGAGAAATGGTCAACTTTGTTTTAGACAAGTTTGCAAATAAATTGTCTCCATACATTTTGCAAACCTCCAACAAATCTTTCAACATGAATGTCAATAAACCTTCCGAGTTCACGTAAAATCCTGGTGAATTCATCCACACACTCAACAGAGCTTCCTTTGACAAACACAGACTTGCAATCCTCTTCGAAGTTAACATCAAATTCACAAGAGATGATAACCAATAATTTTCAGGAATGAAACTCCAAATGGTCGAGATTAAGTCCAACACGTAGAGAGGATTCTGATCTGGGATGGGTTTTCTACGAAGGGGAAGAAAATAGGCCTCTGGATCGTAATCACAAACACGACGATGATAATACTCATCGTACAAATATTTGTCTTTCCCAAGAATTGAAGCAATTACTGCATCGTCCAAGTTGTAAGCTGCTTGATAATGTGGATGAGGAATGTTATGATGATTGGACCCATACTTGTGCGTGTCACTGCCGTCAGCGTGATTAAGAACAGGTTCCTGACCGGTACGATCTCGCATATGAAGATTTCGTTTCATTTTTTGATTGGTTTGTTATAACAACGTTTCTGATGTGAAGTTGCTCGTGTTATAATATTAATAATAGCAGCAATAGCGTATTTTAAGCATCAATCCGAATTAGAATTGTTTGAATGTTGCAAATTCGTTTCTTCTTCCGTGACATCTTCAATTAGGGTAGATGACTGCATTTCAATAATATGTTCAGTCGTTGTTGACAAAGAAGTTTCTACATCATTCAATGACGACTGTTCTGGATCAAACAAAAATTGATGATATTCTAAACAAAATGAATGACGTCCGATAATTCATGTTTGTGAATAACATTGAATATTATATTTTTCACGAAAGTTGCAAGAACCAACATACCATGACAATACTTTTCCAAATACTCCACAAAAAACGCTTCCTCCAACTCCTCTTTTCCATCCATCTTTCGCATCACATATTTAAATCCATTATCATTATCCAGTACTTTCAAAGATATCTCTTCGCATTCCAACACTAAATCTTGTGGCTTGTTTTTTATTTCGTTCAAATAATCCATCACGTATCGGAAGAGCTTGGATCCATTGTATGGATTTGATGTTAATGAGAGTGTGGTTGATGATGATGAAGAATCGTCTTCCACCTCAAGATGCGCCGATGAGTGTTCCGATGAAGAAGAAAGTTGTTTTTCGTTTTCGGTCATTTTTTTTAACTCAAAAAATTTGTTCCTCGAGTGTTCCTTATTAAGGTGCTGTTTGAAGAATAAATTTTTTGTCCAACCCATACTCTTTATTACAACACTTCTTCCAAAAACTCATCAAACACATCATCGGAAAGAGTGTGTTCAGCTGTAGCGGTTACAGCAGATGGAGATGTAAGAGGTTTCAAGAGCTCTGCATAGGTGGAGGGTCTCTTGGCACAAGCACAGGTTTCACATCCAAAAAACTTTCGAACTCCAAATTCACAATGAGAGGTATCACAGTTCATCTTTGGACACGCGACTTGAGCTCCAAATTTATATCCAACCCATCCACCGAAATGTTGCCAAGTCAATTCCATTTCTTGTTCGACACGTTTCTTACATTGACACGATGGACAAATACCATGACTTGGTTTGTAACCACTTGGACAGAATCGATAACATCGTTTGCATTTTGGACGAATCAATTGAGAACGAGGTATACATTCACATTGTCCATTCACAACTCTTGCCAGTCCAGCAATTTTCTTACACTTTCTCTTGCATGCTTGTTTCAACAACACATTTTGATTGTCGTTAGTGGTTGTTGTTTCCTGTTGTTCTGGAGTCAATACATTGGGATTGACGGATCCATGTGGAGGTGTACCACAACGAATGGGTGTCGGTTTGGGTGTTGGTTTATCTTCTTCACGTCCATCTTTGCAAACACATGTTGGACAACCTGTCTTGGTCATTTTGTAACCATTGGGACAATGCAACATGCAAGCGACTTGTGGACATGCAAAATTTGTTGGTTTTTTGCAGGCGCACACTGGACATCCTGTTTTCTCAGATACTTTAAAACCATGTCTACAGGCCATCTTGCAAAGAACTGGAGGACATTCCTTTTTAGCAAAATCTGGTTTTTTGAATTTGGAATTCACATGATGTAATGACACTTGAGCCCATACGAAGGATTCAAGAACCAATAGTGCACACAAGAACAAACTTGCGAGTAGAAGAGCGATTGGGACTTTTTGCATTTTTTTAAAGATGGTTTAGATTTCGCGAGGACATGTCCTTTTCCATTTATAGCTTTGGTTATGATCATCATGATTGTAATGATTGCAATGGTTGTGGCATTATAATCGTAATCAATGGAAACAAACGAAAGTATTGTAATGACTGTTCACATTCTTTACACAAGTTGTGAAACGAAAATTTACCAAAATTTTCTTTATTTGGAATTTGATTTTGTGCTTGTTAAGGTCAACGTTGAAGTGGTTGAGGGTTTCATAATTTGATTCATGAGAATGACATACTCAAACGCTGCATCCCATCGATCTAATTCTTCTTGCGAGCTGTAACAAATATAGAAAACTCGTTTCTTGCATATAACTTCCAAGCAAAACGGATAATCCTTGTTACTGGTATACTTTTCATCGAGATTTTGTTTCGCACATTCAATTTCATCGGTGGGTACAGTATTTTTCATCTTTTTCTTTTTCAAGCTCTTACTTGATTTAATTTCGTAATAACCAAAATGTTCAATCGTTAAAAGGAAGTATCTTTCGGTCCAACTTTTTCGTAACTTTCCTTGTTTCAATGCCATTCCATCACAAATGATGATTCCTTTTCTAATTTCCAAGGCAAAGGAAATCATTTTTGAAATGTGATCCAATGATAAATTATATTGACCTGTGTATTGAGAGTAGGTCAGTAAGCGGCTCCAAATTTCAATTGCATTTTGGATGTGTTTGTCTGATTCTTTTCCGAATTTAGCTCTTGCCCAGAAAAAGTAAACTTCTCCCAAAATTGCCATTGCAACCATGTGGAATGGTTTTGCTTCAAGAACTTTGTTGAGCGCCACAATCGAGGATGTGAATAAATCATCAACTTCTTTCAACAGTCGAGCTCTATTTTCAGCTTGCATGGATTCATTAAGACTTTCCGCTTCTGATTTTTGTTGCTTCTTCTTTTCATGAGTTTTTAAAGTATTTACAATGTGCGATTCACTCGATGACGTGATGTTGGTTGTTTTTAAAGCTCCCATTTCAAAATATAATTGACTTTGGAACATGACCATGTCTGTATTCGGACGTACCATGATGGAACATGCCTTGTCAATCGCTTCAATAGCTTTTTCCATGAGCGACTCTCGTGTTAATATGGTTCGAATATTAATGTCACCCATTTTGTCAGAATAAATCAAACTATATCGCAAACGGAGGTCATCCTTGTTATTTTCATCAAGAACAACTGTCTTGGACGTTTGATCTGAGAGAATTTTTCTATTATTTTCTCGTAAGAGTTCTTTCTTATCATCGAGCATTCTATGTTTAAATAATAAATCATGCCAAGAGAGTCCACTTGTTAAAATTTCAGATCGAGAACAATTTCTCATTGGCTCTCCATCAATATTATCATACATGGACAGATAGTCATTACAAGCTAAAATAGAGGCTGAAGGAATAAGCAGTAAGGCATACTCATAAATAGAATTCGAGAGTCGGAAAAACAAATGTGGGTTCACATTATGTTCCACACAAAATATTTCAGATTTTCGCATTTCTACATTGCATACACTTTCCCATAACGAAACACATCCTTTACAGAGCTTTTCACTTTCACTCGCAACAGTATTTTGCAAAATAGACTGAGCATGTCTAGGTATTGCTTTGTTTTGTTCTGCGTTTAAACGTGATTCTAATTTTTGAAAATCAGAATAATTTAAAGACATGGTTCCAACCGAGTTCACTGCTGTCACCGTTGATTCGTAATCAAAATTGGATAATGTAGTGTCACTGGATGAGGTATTTTCTCCTGCATAAATAGTTGAATGTTCTCTTTTTCTTCTCACCCAATATAATAACAAAACTGCATACTTGTAGAGACATTGATGATGAAGTGGACAATAGACATAATTAATAAAGGAACCATTTCTTCCATCTTCGTCACATCTCACAAATTTCGAATTGATACAACAAACATCGTCCTTGTCCTTGTCAATGGTTGACAAAATCTTTTCTATACAAATCTTGATACATGTGTTATACTTTTCCTGAGCTTGTGAACAGAGAGCTGCCCAACGTTGTTTTCTTCGAACAGACCATTGCGTGAGAACATCTCCAAAATACATGTACATGTAAGCTCTTTTTGATTCTTGTGAAATATCTACAACAATAGGTTCAATGTCCTTTTCATCCACAGGTGTTTTCTTTTTTGGTTTTTGTGTGGACTTTTCAAAAAGCTTAATGGCAGAATCCATGTGAAGACAAATGTCTTGAAACATGTTTTCAATTTGTTGTTGAGCTTGCTGAGCTGCTTTTTGAGAAGAACTTGTCGGAGAAGTCATTCCTCTAGGACTTGGACTTGGTGAACTTTTCGATGAAAAACTTGCTCGAACTGGAGAGTCCAATGAAACTGCCATCACATTGTCCAATGATCCTAAAGAATATCCAGTACCAATGGTCAGATTGGGAGCAGAAAGTGGTTCACTAGGAGACATGTTATTTCCATTCACAACTGGTGAGTCAGTAATCTTAATAGGTGGAGATATAGAAGCAGAATTTTGTGAATGTTGTTGACCGACAGGAGAATTGTTAATTCCAACACCACTGCTGTTACCACTACTACCACCGCTATTAGAAATATTGGAAGACAGTTGTGAACTTTCTCGTTCCAATTCATCCAATCGAGGAAATGACAATTCATATAAAACTCTTGCCAGTAATAAATGTAAATCTGATTTTAACATTAAATCCAGTGAATATTCTCGACTCAATTCACAACAAGTTATTGCATTTCTCAACTTGTATTCTGCCTTATTGAGTAAATGAATGACATGTCCAGCTTGACTTGACAAGGTTTTAGATGAACAAACCATCAAGGTGGCATAACCAAAAACAAGAGCTTTCAAAGGAGTTTCTGAATTCGAAGTAGAAGTATTCATAGTTGTTCCCATCGTCATACTTGAATTAAATGACAAGAGTGAAGCTGACAATATTGGTGTGACTTCGGGTTGTTGTTGTTGTTGATTCAATTCATTGATTTGATCCAAAATTTCTTGTGCATAAATTCCTCTCTTTTGATTGTCAATTCCCATAAACGGCGATGAATAATTAATGAGAGAAAAAACAGCATCTGTGAAACCAGATTTTGCGTTCATATTGGCAGATGTCGATGATCGTAGTGAAGAGGAAAGAAGTGAATGTCGTGGATTTGATGACAAGTTGTTTTCATTAATTTTGAGATTATTGGTATGGAGAGAGGAAGAAGAATTAAATTTGGAATGTTGTTTGTTGTTGTTGGATGAATTGGAGGAAGAGGTATTGGAAGAAGAATTATTGGAGTGCTGTTGTTGTTGTTCCAAATGATGATCCATCGTCGTACTGCCATCGCATTCTATAAACGTCGGAGGTTCATCGATATTCTCGAGTCGTAATTTGAAATCTAAAAGGAGTGTGGAAATATTTGTTGTTGTTGATGGTGATGACAATGATGAATTCATACTACTACTGTTACTGGAAGAAGACGAAGAAGAGGATGAAGGAGTTGCTGATCGAGGAGAAGGCGTCGAGGAGATGGTGGTCGAGGAAGAAAGGGACGACGCGGATGACATTTTTTTTGTGTTCTTGGTTCGTGGTGATTTCAGAATGATCGAGTCACTTCTACGGAGAAGCATCTGTGAGTTGTTTCGACGGGTCGAAATTGAAAGTTTTTCCTCACACTCGAATGTGTGTGTGAAAATGCATGAGAAAGTTTAATATCGTTGTTAGTGAATCAATTCCATTGTGATTTTCACACAACAACAATTTGAGCCAATCCTCCAACCATAGATGATGAAGGCCATCTTTGAATAGATCTTTCAAACGTACGTCTAAAGTAAGGTATATCAATCTCTTGATGATCTGAGAGCGAAATTCATGATCCTTTTTCAAGTATTCATTCCATTTCAAACTTGTAATCCAAATCAGGTCGTCTCTCTGAAATATCTCCTTCAAACTTGAGTAATTGTTTCTTAATGGAACCCGAACTACTGTCCAAAGGTTGATAGCGCTGATAAGCTCCCACCCTTAAATCATCAGAAACTGCAGGTGGTTCATATTGATCATTTCTTGGTTTGAGAAGATCCGATACTGCAGTGTGTTTTCGTTCTTGACGTTGATATCTACTTTGAATACTTTCTGTAGATTCTGAGGAGAGTGTTAAATTCTTCTTTGAAGATACATCCAAAGAAGGAGAAGAAGGAAGAGCCATTTCTGATTGCTGTAGACTTTTCAATTGTTCCTGCTCGAATTCTTTCAATTGTCTTCCAACAAGCTTCAAATGAGACCTCCTCATGGCTTGATATTCAATGGGTAATGGTGTTCTTTGATCTGAATCGAGTGATTTTAACATGGTCGATTTATCGGCTGTGGGAGCTGCCATGACCAAAGGAGAACGACCTGTAGGAACATTGGTAAATAATTCTTCGGTACCTTCAGCGTAGAAACGATTATAGGGTCGCCATCCCACATACGAGGTTCGTTTTTTGGATATAGAGCTGCCATTACCGCTTTCATCGTCATCATCGTCAATGCCTCGAACTGCTTTATCAATTTCATCACTCAAATACATGGCACTTCTCAATACTCTTAAATCGGTCACTTTGCCTCCAGTGTCTCGAAAAAAGTCTTCCAGAGCTCTCTTTTGTTTTTCCTTAGCTGAAATTCTTTTTTTTGCTTTTTCTTGTTCGAGAGTTTGAGCTGTGAGACTTTCTTTAAAAGTGAGAGCTGGAGCTCCAATAAATACATTTTTAACAGGTTCCGAAAGAAGATGGCTGAGAAATCGATAGGAAAGTAGACTGACTAGATATGCAATCAGTGAGACCTTTTGAAAAATAAATTGCCAAGAAATTTGAATTCAAAATGTTTTTTCAATATTAATATTAAAATTGATTGTTGGTGTTGAATAATTATTTAAAATTATCCCGATCATATATTCCATTTTGAAACAATAATTATCGTTGAAAAATGAACGCCATATTAAAGTCAATTATTAAATGTTGGCAGTCGATCCGTCGACGTTCGAATGTTAAATTTTATCACATACCACTGCCACCATTTTTTTTGTTCGATTAGAGACAACAAAACTGAATTCATTGGCTCACAACAACCTTGTTAAAGAATAAATGTATGGATGGAATTTGATCTGTCATTGTCACACACGCGTTTATTCCTCAGAGACTTCATAATCAACGTGAATACGTTCAACTTGCTCCAATTCTTTCATAATACTTTGGTTCATGTTGTAATCATATGGTCCAAAAACTCCCTTATTGGTAATTTCACCGCTCAAAATTTTCTTTGTGGCAATAGCACATGGATAACCGACAGTCTTGGCCATTGCAAAACCTCTTTCATCTCCAAAATCAACTAATTTAGCAACAATGGTTCTCTTCTTTCCTTCTGCAGTTTCAATGACAAACTTATTGTACATGAAGAGCATGTCTCTTTCTCCTTCTTTATACTCCATCATTTCTAATAAGGTTTGAGAGAAGGTATCCAAAACATTACCCTTAAATGGAGCAGTCTTGTCACTGAATAATCCGTAGAATTTGAATGCATTGAGAGCAGTCTTGGCCTTCTCAGAATTTGGATCCAAATTCAACTTCTTCAACAATGCACTTTCGAGTTCACTCTCCTCAGTACTACTTGCAGAAAGAAGGGTTTGCATAATTTCTCTCCATTGCTTATCCTTAAATTCTGGTCGTGGAGTTAAATCGACCAAACCTGCTCCAATAAAGAATTCAACCACTTCACAATTACCCTTATATCTCAATGTACCTCTCAAAACATCGTCAGCATATTTCAAGTTATAATGTTCCTTGAATGGAGTGGAGTCACGATTTGGATAACCTTCAAAGGTTGGAATCTTATCATCCAATTGCAATTCTCTTCTTGAAGACAACAATTTGGATGCCTCTACGGATTGAAGTTGACCATGTTCATACCACTTTGCAGTGTTTTGCAAAGCCATCAAAACACCTCGAGGAGACCAAGAGAATTTGTACTTCATTGGATTATCAATATGATCAGGATGTGGCAAACCTCCACACCAACTGTAGAAACTCTTAATTTTACCTCCTTTCAAATCTTGTTCTTCATGAACAATCTTGGTTGCTATTTAGAATTCGAAAAGCAATTTTCAGAAATCAAGAATTGCAAGCTCCTAATACGTACCAATAATGTGATCAATTCCTGGATCGACTCCAATCTCATTCATACAGGCCAATCCTAAATCTTTAAATTGTTGATCCAATTCCCGTAAAGCAGGAGAAATGTATGAAGTCGTAACCATATTCTTACGATGTTGCAAACAAGCTTTAGCAACCAAAACGTGATATGTATAGGGAACGAGAGAAATAGCCAAATCGTGTTGAGAAACCAACTCGGAAAGCTTTTCATGTTCATTCTCAATATCAAGAGCAACTTGGGCCGTACGAATGGCAGGCTCGTGAGCGTACTGCTGACACATCTCTTGAGACTTGGCCAAAGTACGAGAAGCAACGGAAACGAAAATATTCAAACCATCACGGGTGAGGCTTTCTAATGTGGTTCCTGCAACAAAACCGGAGCCAAGTAATAAAACTCTGTGTTGGAAGGTGGACATGATGAAAATTATAATTCTATGATGATGAAAATAATAAAAATCAGTTCATTATTATTTGAAAAGCCATGAGCAAGACAAAGAGACGTAAAAATCAATGAAAATAACACATCAGTAAATAATAGATCAATGACAACTCTATGGCTTACAAATGAGCGAAGAGAACGTACTAATCAAAACTTGATGATTTTTGTTTTCAAATTTCATAATGACCTCTACACGCTCGAGAAAAAAATCCATTCATCTTCTGTCTTGCTGCTCTCGGAGTATTTCTCACATGCAGCTATCTGTTTTTGGAAGAATCGACTTTTGGATCAAATAAGCCATGAGGTCTGCTTGTCCAATTGGATTACACATAGCAAGACTGCCAGCCCTCCGTGTTGCAGGATGGATTTGGATTCAGGAGTTGAAAAAAAAATAAATGACTTGGGAAGCGGCCATGTCGGTTGGTTGAACAACTCATCGAAAAACAAATTCACAACAACAATCTAGTAATCATCATCGTTGTGCTTTACCACCACATCATCAACAACATGCCTAAGGAACCATCAACAAAGAGACTACCATCAACCAACACAAAGTCAGATGAAGGTAAATCTGAAGGGAAACGGAAGAGACGTTACAAATGCCATCCATTGGAGGCCTTTGTGAAGGTCGATGAGGTACCCATAAATATGCACCCAAGTCCTTTGTCCATCATCAACTATGAACATGAAGACCATCACAAACAAGCATCTAGAATGGAAATGAAGCTCGTAAACTTTCTGTGGGATTTTAATTCACCATGCAACGGACAAGCAAGATGTCGTTTACCAGTTGGTGAGTGTGAGGAACAAACCTTTGATATGTATATGTGTCGTACAATGAAACCACATATGTACACAAGAATAGAACAATATTCTCCTTGGATCAATCGAACAGGAGACACTGAAATCAATCGTCACATAATATATGAATTTGAATATCCAAATTTTCCTTCCTTTGGAGATGGTGAATGGGCCAAAAATTATATGACCGTAAATCAAAAGAACGTTGGTGATAATCTTAGAAAAAGATTCCAAGTTGATTTAAGTGAAGATTTCGACAATATTGCTTACCGTTGCATTGTATCAAAGTTGGTGATCTCTTACGACACCAGATTGGAATTATATTATGCCTACTTGTGTCATTGGGTTCAAGCGAAGGATGGAAAATATTGGATTGAGAGCTTTTGAAAATTTTCGATTAAAATTTTCGTTTCTTTTGAGAAACTTGTGTACTCATTGTTCCACTAAAACTGGTCGCCTGGTCGCTTTGTCGTGTATTCTTTGCTTGTTTTCGCTTGGTTGTCGTTTTCTCTGATTGTTTTTCTGTGTTTTGTGATTGTTGCTCTTGTTCTTGAAAGCTTGTAGAAATAGTTTGCTGCAAAGTAGCAAGATCCACATTCGACTCATCCAAATCGTAATACAAATCGTGTAATTCTTGAGGTGCTTCTTTGAGGTGAATTGAATTCCATGAATAAATTTGTTTGAGCCGTTTTTCATTCCAATAAGTACTTCCAAATTTCTCTCCTATATCAATCGCAGTCAGGACTTTTCGCCATTGCCATAACAGCAATTGTTTGGTTACATGAATTTTGTGACGACCACCACCGTTATTAATCACTCTATTAAACACGGCATGGTGAAACAAATGAGAACGTTCGAACCCTTGATTACTTAAAATAGATAAGGACAAGTCATCGTCGAGCAATTCTGTCATCATAGATGGAAGATGTGTAAGAAAATGAAAATAATGAGCTTTGATACCTTTGCTCCATATTCGATAACAAGCACATAAAAACTCCATGATCATCTTGTCCAATTTAAAGATTCTGTCTGGTGTAAGTATTTGTTTAGTATTGGGATCATCTTGTTTAGCCTCAACGATAATTATAATATTCCTTAATAATTTCAAAATATTCAAATATTTCTCCTTAGTGTGCTGTTCGATGTCATTCACTATCACTTCAACATTACTTAAAATTGTGTTGCATTGATCCCCAGACAGCATGCTCGATTTGGCAGTAACTCTTTCTGACGATTGTGAAATACCATATTCAGTCACTCGTTGTTTCAACTCTCTCCAATTAAAATGCTCTAATCCTTTTAATTTTTGCAAATTCTGCAATATGGTATTATTGTATTGCCCACTTGAAGCCATATAAGCAATTGTATTTTCAACTAATCGCTGTTTAACATGAAGAGCACACATAATTAAATCTTTAGGACTGAATGGCAAGGAACCTCCAAGGGTTGTTCGATTGTTTGCTCCAAATTCTTCAACAGTTTTTGCCATGCAGTATGGACAAATATCAAATTCAAATGTAAATCCAACATTGTGCATGTCTGAAACATAGAACAAATGAACCTCAGATTTTTCAAAATATGTTTTTTGTGACACAGCTTTGATTTCGTCTGTCAATGTTCCAATGGTTTCCTTAATACTCTCTTTTGTTTCAGACATTTGAAATAATCCAATATAAAAGACAGAGGATACAGCTTGAGAAGGAAACACATCTCTTAAATTAAGAGGAACTAATGCAACGGCTACTTGTTTCACTTTGTTAATTTCACGTCCATCCACAGAAATTTTGAAAAATATTTTCTTTTTAAGTTTTCCTCCTAGAGATCGATATAACTTTAGAATATAATAAATAGCTTCATCTAAATCTATGATGTGACCAATGAATTCAGCACTTGGGCATCTTAATTTGAATATTTCTTCCACTCTCTCATTCAATTGTTTTTTTAAATTACTCATTTCTTTCTTACAAGGCAACTCCTTCATTAAGGAAACTTCTTTTCGAAGGTTGTGATAAGTATTATCAGAAATTAAATTATTGTCTCTCCAATACTGAACTATTGTAGGATCTCTTTTTTCGATAAGATATTGTTTCAGTTGTTTGTACCGAATGTTTTCTTTCAAGTTTTTTTCTATAATATTAATTGTTTTTTGAATGCCTTCTTTTGTTTGCAAGAATGTTTCAAACCAGGCGTGAATATTGTGTCCAAGAGTCCCTAACATTTTCTCAAATACTGATACCATTTCTCTAGCTCGATCTTTGTTATTGCGAGTAAAAGAATCTTGTCCTAACTGCATACTTGAATATTTATGGTCATGTGCTTGGATATCATGACATCCACAATGTGAACATTCCCAAAATTTCATGTTGACGGTATTGGTATCTTTATTGCTTGATATAGGATGATGTGAACAAGCATGGTTTGTGAAAATAGGATGCGAATGTTGTTGATGTTCATTTGTAAGTTGTTGTGAATTATTAGTCAATCCATTCCCATGAGAGTGTAAATGAGTATTCAAGTAATGCCAAAGCCAATGTTGAGAGAGTTGTTGATGAAATAGCTCATTAGTATGCACAAACGGATCCATATGATTTAATTGCGGGCTGTGTGGGTGAGTGTTTTGAGATGGATTGAATTGTTGAGTCTGGTCCTGGCTTGGTGGAGATGGAAAATCTGAAATTGGTGGTTGATGTTGCGTGTTCATTTCATTTTCAGAGATTAAATTCAAGATGGTATTGATGGTGTTATCTTCACTTTGATCGGTTTGATTTTGTTCACCTATTGAGGAGAAATTTGTGAACTGAAATAAATCATCACTAAATTCTTCATCGTTTTCTTCTGTTTCGTCATTGTCTACGTCATCAAAATAAAGAGCGGCTTCGTTGATTAAGTTGTTGTTGTCTTCACAATTACTATAACATTGATCACAATCATTCCATATTTCACTATCGATCTCGTTATCAAAATCCATAACATCAACCAAGCTCGTTTCTTTTGAAAAAGTGGTGAATATGTGGCGTATTAGTTTTTCTTGATCTTTTTTGCCTGTAGATAATTTAAGAATTGTTTGTAATGAAGCTACCAAATTCGTGATGATGACTCCATTGCGGAAGGGAGATGGCAATCCGATAGCCTGTTGCTGCTGATGATTGAGTGTATCTTTGCCATCTTTAATGGTGAGAAGTAATCTTGATGTTTTTTCGTTTTTTCCAACAAAAAAAGAATCAATAATTTCATCTGCTGCAAAGTATTGCTGTCCATTGTATTCATATGATTTCAAAGAGTGGAATGGAGGTAATTGGTGTTTGATCTCCAAAACTTCACACATTTTTTGATGAATAAAACATTTTCATAGCAAGACAAGCCAACAGAGCGGGTTGCTGGATGGATTTGGTCGCCAACTCCTGTCGCTGGGCTCTCTATTGACAGAACAGTGAACTTGGAAGCTTCAATTTCAAGATTTTTCTTTGCCAGCGTTAAGCCGGTTCTCTACAGAAACTTTTTTTTTTTCGAGGGACATAAATCGTGTCCCTGAAGCCCGGAGTTCACTTTCGCTGGCCAGTCTTGCTATGTTCTTAATCATTCACATTTAAAAAGCTTACTCTTGAATCCATGTTCATCTACCAAC